AGCGAGATATAATAAGTATATACTATTATAAAAGGGTAGTCTAGATCTAAATATACCTATTACTTATAGATTTATATTATAATCGATTACGGTATTTAAAGGCTACTATCGAACTTACTATATATACGCGAGATATAAAGCGAGACTCTCTAAAATAAATAAAGAATAATAACTCTACGTCTATATCTCGAGTATATTACGAGCTACTACGGCTAGCTTACTCCGAATACGCCTATATTACTATTTTATTTTCGAATAACTATATTTCTTACTAATAAAGTAACCTTCGTAAACTAAGAGCGATCTTATCTTATATATCTACGTCTATCTTAAGAAGATAGTATATAAGATATAGATATAGATTTTCGTATAGAAAACTATAAGATAGATAGTTTAAATAAACTTCTAGATAGCCTAGAAGTACTTTATTAATATAATATTAATATCTACCTAACGAGTTTCGCGGCTATCTATATATAGATATTAAAAACGGCGAGTAGCTAAAGTACTAGAAGTATAGTTAAAGGCCGTTCTAGATAGATATATTCTTTATATTTTAGATAATAAGCTATATATTACTAAGCGATAATAAATAAGTAAGCTAATCTATAACTATAACGTAATAGAATCTAATTATTAGTAGTACTCTCTAGGATATTATAATTATCTCTATTCTATTATTAATTATATAAAATTATTTATCTATTCTATATAATAGAAGATCTACTAAGATTTATCGAAACTAAGAAATAATATACTTAGTTTACCTAGATTATACTTTAAGTTATATTATATAGCTACTAGAAATATAGTATCTTTACCTAATACGAACTATACTATTTTTAACTATAATCGACTAGATTAATTAAATTATTATAATTTAAAGGAGATAAGAGATAGTAAAGTCTTCGCTAATATAGTTATAGACTATATAATATATATTAAGTTAAATCTTACTATATAGGCGAGATAGAATAAGTAACTCGAAATATAGTCGATAATTAAGTTTATTTCTATAATTAATACGAATAAGGCGTAGTCGTTAGTAAATATAGTAATTAAAGAATTTAGATTATCTTTATAAGACTATAATATTAGTAATATCTAATATCTAGAACTAATATTATTATAGAAGTAATACTATAAACTAATTAGACTCTCTACGCTATATTCTCAACGTAGTCGATAATAGACTATCTAGTTAAGCTACTTATTTAGCTATAATAGACTCTATCGAGATATAAATATAGAAAGAAGATCTTTTATAGCGATACGAGAGAAAACTTCTTAAGTACGTAGACTAGAGAGTAGAAGATCGGTTATAAACTAGCGACGAATATCTAGAGAAGATTATATAGACTATCGAGAATATAAGATATAGTAAAGATATATTACTTTCGAATAAAAGCTTATAAGATAAACTATCTATAACTATAATTAAAGATAGTCTAGTAGACGAGATCGTATAACTAAAGAATAGCTTCTTAAAGAAGATTATATAATATAAAGATCTTATCGAGAGTATAGAGAAGATAGATATTAATAATATATAGAAGGAGAGATTAGAATTAGATCTATCTTTTACGACTATATTAGTAGAGATAATTATATAGAATATCGAGAATAGAAACGGCGAATATAGCGATAAATCTAAGTATATATCTAATATACCGTTAACGCTAGAGAATAGCTACGACGATAATTATATATCTAAGTCGTAAGAGATAGAAGAATATAAGATAGAGAAGAAGAATAATAATAATAATATTAATAATAATAATAAGGAGTATAAGGATAATAAATATAAGAATTAAGAGAACGATAATAAGAAGTACGAGAAGAATCCTAATTAGGACGAGATTTAGAGTATATACCTTATAGAGATAAGTACTATCTAAGATAGATACTACGTAGATTTATTAACTTTTAGTCTATTAACTTTACTCTATATTATTAGAAAGACGTATTTAAGTTAATAACGTAATTATAGTAAAGTAAAGTAAGTTAATATCGTAATATAATAAAGTAAAGCGAGTTAATAGCGTAAAGACGACGAAGTAAAGCGAGGAACTAGTAATAATTAAGGCGAGTTATAAAGACCTACTTTCAACCTATATTAGATTTTGAAACTTCGGAAATTTGGACTACAACTTCCGCCATTACCGGTACAGCTTTGCGGCGAGTTGGGAGACACTTTGGCGGAGTGGTTAACGCGATGCCCTGCTATAGTAGTTGAGGCATTTCCTTCGGGAGCGCAGGTTCGAATCCTGCAGGTGTCGAATCTTTTTGATCTACCACATCATATATTTTTGATCTTTTTCATTTTTTGTGAGATGCGACTCTTTACAATAGACGCATTCACTGGTACGGGCAGTCACCGAGCCTGGACGCTTCAACCAAAGTGTACCTAGGTACATCCCTGCTTCGAGCTGATAAGCAATACAGAAAGTATCGCGGGTACTGCATTGCCGCGGCATTGCCGAGCAAGGCTACCTTACGCTTGAGAGCGTAGAAAATCGATGAGAACTTGAAGCTGACTCCAGCTACTAGTAGTAGGTTGATTACCAGGTATTGTAGGCAGTGCCTGTTACCAGTCTGCAGCCCACTGCCATGATGCCTCGTTCGATGTGCCGGCTTCGAGCATGCTACAGACTAGTACCTTGGGTACAGTAATTAGGTACTATTTACGTACGTGGTAGGTCCTGTAGTCATCCTCACCTCGTCGGCGAGTCGCTTATTTCTCTCCGACAGGACATAGTGCACAAGAATAGTCGCAATCGGAGCCCGCTCGCAAGCCACGGACAATGGTGTCTCTGATAGTACCTCGAGAATCAAGCCTAGTTTCACATTGGCTGCCGTGCCTTCAACTAGAACCTCGCTACTGTACAGGTCACTGCACCATTCGAAACCAGGAACCAAACTCGCCCGCATGATCAGAGAACATCATTATTGCAAGACCAGCCTGAGTGGCACATCCCATTCTCATCGTTTGTCGCCCCGCTATCGTCATGACTGATATCGAACAAATTCCGTGGCCAGTATGAGAGCTATGTACAGCACTCCATGTAGCCAGACTTGCTAGCCAGTACTAGTAGTGGTCTTTGAAAATCAACTGCATCGCTTCATACACCGCCCACATGTTGGGAGAATGAAGCCAGTCGGTGTCCATACACTTCACTCCAATCTGCTCTTCCCAGAGCCTAGATATCTATGGATGTCGTCTTGCATCTGATGACAGGCTTCCACTAAGACAACACATGCACTTCGTAGAAGGTGTTGTGCTGGCCGCACCACATCAACAAGCTGCAAGAAGGTACCCATGTCCGTGTCCCTGCACCTGAAGACGCTCCTCCCGAAGTACCTTCGGAGGTGTATGGCAATGTCTTGAACGGTGGTATCTCGATATATCTTTCCACTCCAGCTCTTCCGTGAGATGCATCTCCATGGGCTTCGCGGTATTGTCGAGAGTGTGGTGGGATTTGCCATGCGTTGTTGCTGTTCTGGGTGACAAAGTGTCTCGTTGCCATGCTCTGGTAGGTGCTGTAGGGGACTTCACTTTCGCGGCTTTCCAGCTCTTCGTCATCGCAAATCATCGTGTTCTTTTCCTCTTCGTCCAGCGGTGGTGTATTTGCACTCATGGAATAGCCCGAGGCCACCCGTGGTCCGACATTCCACTGTTCTGGAACTGGATCGCCGTGCGACGGGACCGAGGGACCTTGGAGCACTCTCGTGGTGACCTCGACAACGTGGGAAACCTCGCATTTCGGGAAGCTATGGTCAGGGTTATCCGCACACTCGAGAAAGGTTCGCAGCTGGAGATTCATCAGATGGCGGCCTGGATTGACAAAAGTGCGTGGCAAGTGAGCAGGATTACTCTCCGCCACCGCACAGCAGAAGAGTTTGGGGCGGCAGGTCAATGGCGGAGGTGCGAAGTTGTCCCAAGAGTAGCCATTGCCAGTGCGCTCATACTTGTGCACATCTCTGCCTGTGTTCGATCGATAGCCGCCGCCGCCAAACCCTCCGCCTCTAGCAGCCATCATGCAGTGCTCGAACAATGCCAATGTTGAAGGTTAGGAAGGGTGCAGTGCGCAAAGCAAGCCGCAAGTGTTGATGTTTGGTCAAAGGGTGGGATGTGTGCGTGTAGGTGATGGTGAGTTGAGTTCGCTGTGGCCGTTGGCGCTGCATCTAGATCGGTTGTGTTAGTAGTTGAAGGAGAACGAAATATCCAACAACTTGAAGCACGTACACAGTGTGACTGGGAAGACCGTCTCCTGTTATGAAGAGTCTACAGGATGCGGGTGAGTGAGCTGCGGATGAGGTTGTGCGCTCACTTCAAACTGCCACTGCCTTCAGGTTCAGATCCAGACATGTACAAACTCGGGTTGCAAGGCGGCCTGCACAAAGTGTGAAATACTGCCACACCCTCACTCCAGTGCAGGGTATTTAGTATCTCCTGGACTGCCAGTGCCCTTCGTGTCTTGTCTGGCGTTCATGGAACAAGGCGCCACCAACTTGAATTGCTAAAGTCATAGTCATGATATTCATCAGAGCTGTCCCCGGCCGCTGCCTCTACGGTTGTTGGAACTCCCCCAACCAGTACAATACGTCGATTACTGGTTTGCAACCACCTGGATGTGATTCTTCCGCTGCAACAGTGTGTGAGTTAGTCCACAGAGATACAAAGGGGACAGCCTTACCTTCCATTTGTCCATTTCGTCTTGTTTGGCCTTGTATTGTTTCACCAACTCTTCCAACACCTGCTTCAGCCCATCCGAATTTGTCTTCAGTGCCGGCAGAACATCCTTCACGGTTCTCTCCACCAGCACGCCGTTGATGAGTCGGAAGCATTTGCGATCTTCTGGAAGTGGCTGAAGGGTTTCAATCACCAGCCTACAGCCGCAGTCAGTCCGCCAGGTCCCTCTCAGCGGTGGAAGGTCCGGACACCGTCGTGTGTCCACACCGCCGTGTGTCTCTGTATAGGGTCGAGGTACGCACTTATGCTCTTCAATCTCTTGCTCAATCTCGCCAACCTTCTGTGCCAGTGATTGTAACGTATTCTTGTAATTAGTGTATTGCATTTGCAGCTCTGTTACTCTTTAGCACGGTTGGGACTCAACGGAAACAGTGTATTACCTTGCTGCTTCTTGTGCGCTGAGTCCTGTCCAGACGCCATCTTGTTGCAAACTGTGATCGCTCTTGAAAGTGTTGAAGTTGTCTGTACTGAGGTGGGATGGAATCAATTGCGGAGTTGTAGATAAACGTGCGTGAGACTTTCGCGTAAACTCCGGATCAACTTTTTGGTGTCACTCTTGTTCCACTACTACTAGTAGTGAATTGCGAACCTACGTAACTACGACACGTCTATCATTCTGCAAGAACAGCCGTCTGCTTCCTGGCGGCGTTCTACTTGTCTCCAAGTGCAGTGTTTCAACAATGGAGCGTAGCCATAGCCCAAAGAGGCGCAAACTGGCTGGCGACTTTCACCTTTCTGAAGCGGCCGACGAAGATCTAGGACCCTCTTTCAAACCACAACATCCCTCAAAGTCCCGTTTCTCCCGGCCGTCAGACCGGAGTCACAGTCGAGCGCCGAAACCCAAGTCTCAACCCCATCAAGAAGAATTCGAGGGCCCCGAGCCATTTTTCAACGATGAAGATACCAACGCGTTGGACCGAGATTGGTACGAAGGCGACGAATTTGGCCATGCCTTTGGCGACGAAACCCATAATCCCTTTGGCGGTACGGACGTATCGTGGGCCGATAGGCAACGCGAGCAAGCCCTGGCCGATAAGAAACTTGGAAAACGGATCACTGCGAAAGCGGCGCAAAAGCAGAAAGAGGTAGATGCATGGGAGGCGAATCGTATGGTCACGTCGGGCGTCGCGCAGAGACGAGATCAAGGTCAGGACTTTGACGACGACGAGTCAGTCCGAGTCCATTTGTTGGTGCACGATTTGAAGCCACCGTTTCTGGACGGGAAAACCATCTTCACAAAACAGCTGGAACCAGTCCCGGCGGTTCGCGATGCCCAGAGTGATATGGCGGTCTTTGCCCGAAAAGGCAGCAAAGTCGTCAGGGAGCGGAGACAGCAAAAGGAACGCCAGAAGCAAGCACAAGATGCCACCAATGTCGCCGGCACGACCTTGGGAAATATCATGGGGGTAAAAGAGGACGAAGGCGACAGTGCCGCAGCTGTGCCTGGGGAAGACACTGGCAAAAGCAAATTCGCAAGTCATCTCAAAAAGAGCGCAGGTACTTCAGCATTTAGCAGAAGCAAGACTCTGAAGGAGCAAAGAGAATATCTGCCTGCTTTTGCCGTGAGAGAGGAGCTCATGCGTGTGATACGGGACAACCAGGTCATTATTGTGGTTGGGCAGACTGGCTCTGGCAAAACCACACAGTTGACACAGTTCCTCTATGAGGAAGGCTACGGTAAACTAGGCTTGATCGGCTGTACTCAACCTCGAAGAGTCGCGGCCATGAGTGTGGCAAAGCGTGTCAGTGAAGAGATGGAGGTCGAACTAGGCGGTTTGGTCGGCTACGCCATTCGTTTTGAGGACTGTACCAGCGACGAGACGGTGATCAAATGTAAGCTCGACTTTTACCTTGCCTATATATGAGGAGACTGACTTGCTGTCTAGATATGACCGATGGAGTATTACTCCGAGAATCATTGACGCAAAGAGATCTGGACAAATATTCATGCATCATCATGGATGAGGCACATGAGCGGGCGCTAAATACAGATGTCCTGATGGGTTTGATCAAAAAGGTACTCGCTCGACGCAGAGACCTCAAGCTAATTGTCACTTCTGCCACCATGAATTCGGAACGTTTTTCACGCTTCTATGGAGGGGCGCCCGAGTTCATCATTCCTGGCCGTACATTTCCTGTTGATATCCAATTCTCGCGTTCGCCGTGTGAAGACTACGTCGACAGCGCAGTCAAGCAAGTGTTGGCAATTCATGTCTCCCAGGGCCCTGGTGACATTCTCGTCTTTATGACCGGTCAAGAGGACATTGAGGTGACTTGCGAGTTGATAGAGGAGCGACTACGGCTGCTGGTGGATCCCCCGAAGCTGTTGGTACTTCCCATATATTCTCAAATGCCCGCAGATCTCCAGGCCAAGATTTTTGATCCTGCGCCTCCTGGGGTCCGTAAGGTTGTCGTTGCCACCAACATTGCCGAAACTTCGCTGACAGTGGACGGAATCATGTACGTCGTGGATGCCGGATACTCGAAGTTGAAAGTCTACAACCCACGAATGGGTATGGACACGCTACAGATCACGCCCATCTCGCAAGCCAATGCCTCTCAAAGAGCCGGGAGAGCGGGCCGCACAGGTCCAGGCAAGGCTTTTCATCTTTTTACAGAAAGTGCTTTTAAAAATGAGCTCTACATCCAGACCATTCCTGAAATTCAACGCACCAACCTGGCGAACACGGTCCTCCTGCTCAAGTCACTCGGAGTCAAGGACCTGCTAGAGTTTGACTTTATGGACCCGCCACCCCAAGATACGATCACCACCTCTCTTTTCGATCTCTGGGCTTTGGGCGCTCTGGACCATGTCGGCGATCTGACATCAATTGGTCGAACCATGACGGCGTTTCCTATGGATCCTTCTCTCGCCAAGATGTTGATTACATCCTCCACGGAGTATAGCTGCAGCGAGGAAATGCTGACCATCGTGAGCATGCTTTCGGTGCCTTCCGTCTTCTACAGACCAAAGGAGAGGCAGGAGGAAGCCGACGCAGCACGAGAGAAATTCTTCGTCCACGAGTCTGATCATCTGACATTACTTCACGTATATACACAATGGAGGAGCAACGGGTACAGCGATGCATGGTGTATTCGACATTTTCTTCACCCGAAAGCACTGCGACGGGCAAAAGAAATACGAGAACAATTGCACGATATCATGGTCGGCCAGCAAAAGATGGAATTAGTCTCATGTGGAACTGATTGGGACGTGATTCGAAAATGCATCTGCTCCGGTTACTATCATCAAGCCGCTCGTCGACGCGGCGTTGGAGAGTATATCAACCTACGAACCAGTGTGACCGTCCAGCTTCATCCCACGTCCGCTCTCTACGGGCTGGGAGATCCGCCTGACTATGTTGTCTATCACGAATTGATCCTGACAAGCAAGGAATACATGAGTTGTGTGACAGCAGTTGACCCTCACTGGCTTGCGGACCTTGGAGGTGTGTTTTACAGCCTGAAGTCAAAGGAATACAGCGGAAGAGAAAAGCGGATCATCGAGAGCGAATTCAATCGCAAAATGGAGATCGAGAAGCAGATGGCAGAGGATCGTGCTAGGGAGGAAAAACGTCGCCAAGAAGAGGAGGAGAAAGAGAGGCTGCTGGCAGGGAGAACCAAGAGCAGTGGCGTCGTGGTGAAGAAGATGGGCAGTCATGGCGTGGTCAAGAAACCAGTAGTCCCTAGGCGTCGCATGGGGTTTTGAAGAAACTCAGCATGTCCCAGGATAGAAACATACTGAGTAAGGGGTAGGCATAATGCCCAGTGCCATATCCTTTTATGAACAATCAAACAATCTGTTCCTACCAAGTATTAGCTGAACAACCTTCTGTTGCCATTCCTTCAAAGATCGGCTTATTAAGCCTTGTCCCGTCAAACTGAAGTTGGAGCAAGTGAATGCAAGGCTGAAGTGAGATATACGCTAGTACAATTCAGGCATAGTTCAGCCCTGCGACGTGCCAAGCGCCTGCCTCATTCACTGCTAAAGTCGCGTCGTTCGTGTCCAATTCTGGTTCTATTCGCTTTCCATCGCCCGATCCCCCTGTTCCATATGCTTCAAGGTGAACCGCACCACTTCACATCGAATTGTATGCTCTTGGAAGATGCTGGTAGTGCCTCCAACCAGTCTCAAGGCAAGAGTGGTAGAGGAGGACCTCTATCTAAGAGGAGCCCTTGACAGCACCAGAAGAAGACCCAATTGACTTTCTTCAGCCATGGTCTGCTAGATTTCGAGACAATTGCCCTGGTTGTGATATTGCAGAGGTGGTGGCGAGGATGTGGCATATGTTCTCAAGGGCTTTGATTATGCTGCGTGTACACTGTTGAAAACTACCTCGAACACCACTATCTTTGTACATCTACTAAGGTAAGTTATCTCTCTGCACAACATGCATTTCTACACAGTGCCGTCCTTCAACGCGCCATCTTCACTACCTTCACACCTTCTTTCTATCTTAACCGCGCCACCTTTTCAACATAACACGACTAATCAACATGGCAGATAACAAAGAGGACAAGTCCTTCGCGGACCAGGCTGTTTCATCTCCTGGTAAGTCTACTTCAGCACTATTAGAGGAATGCATATCATTCCCGCGGTTGTATCCACAAAGCGAGCCGATCTACTGTCCCCTGGCGCGACCCAAGGGTGATATGAATCGAACAGCTGACCGGAGACAGGGACCCCCTCGAGTGAAGCGCCTTTCTCTGATCAACGTCCCCCAGTAGAACCCCGGACACCAGGTTGTTCCAATTCACCATTCAAATCGACCAGTGGGAACCCTCCACGAGCTGTCCGATCTGGGTCATCTCCATTCTTTGGCAGTTCGCGAAGTCATTATCAGGCAAAGTGGAAGTCTCCCCACCAGGAAGACAGCACTACAACTTCTGGCATTGTCCCTCCCACAGACACACCTGAGACTACCACACTTCTGAGCCGATCTTCTAAACAAGGACGCCGATTCTCCCCGGCCACTCCCTCTGATCGTACCTCCACAAGACTCTCACAGAAGAGCTCCAAAAACTCACCAGCACCAAAACGTGTTATCCGACCAGACACCTGGTGGCAGAACCGTAATACTCAGAAACCGAGCGCTAGTGAAACTGCGACTCCTTCTCCTCCACCCTCAGTACCCGATCAATTCCGTTCACGACCACCTCTTCTACCTGTTTTCCAGAACCCTGCTACTCAAGCACCGAGTGCTAGTGAGACTGCAGCTCCTCCTCCTCCGCCTAAGCAATACCCTAGACGACCGATCCCTCCGGTTATTTGGCGGAACCTCGAAACTCAAACCCCGAGTGCTAGTTCAACTGCGGCTTCTCCCCTACCCGAGCGATCACCTCTACGCCCACTTCATCCATCTGTTTGGCAAAACCCGCCCCCTCCAGTCCCTGAGAGATCACCTTTACGCCCGCTTCATCCATCTGTTTGGGAAAACGCACCTCCTCCCGTACCGGAGAGATTACCCTTACGACTACTTGCTCGACCTGCTGGGCAAAACGCTGGTAGCCAAACACCCAGTGCTAGTGAACCTGCGGCCCCTCCTCCCCTCCCTGAGAGATCGCCACTCAGACTCTTACATCGACCTTCGCAACCACTTGTACACCAGTCCACCGAGGCACCTGTTCCAGAAACTCCATCAGTCGATCCTCGCGTTACCGCTAACGAGGACAGAGCGCTCTACGCAGAACTAAGTCCGCCTCCGCTTTCCCTCCGGAAAACTAGACAACCAGGAAGTGCACCTACTACCCCAGGGCCGCCTCCTCCAAGAGATTTTGGTTCCAGCACTGCCCAGGAAAGATCTCATCAGCTCTCGAGACAGCCGGCAGTCAGACGTCAAGCCCGAAGGCCGGCCCTCAGAACATACGCGTCAGTCCCTGCGGACGCTGTTACTCCATCGCCAAGCCCGAAGGTCCTTGCTGAGCGAGAGAAGACACTCAATATTCTGTGCTCGTCACCTACCCCTGAAGAAGAACGACTTCAGGAGCTAAAATACCTCGAACACCTTGAAAGACGTCGAGCTGCATACGACATGGCAAGTCTTCGACCAGAATCTGCGGCCGCCATGACGGCTCACCGGCGTGAAGCGGTGCGTCTTGCGCAGGATCAGCAGCGGGCAGTAGCCGAGAATTGTAAGAGATCGAAACTACCCGAACCTGACTATGACTTTGATGAGCTTACCGGTCGGGGTAGTTTTGGACGAGTCTACAAAGGACGCCAACGCTCCACCGGCAAGGTGGTGGCCATCAAAGTGATCGACATCGACAAAGCCGACTTCAAAGCACATGGCGACGTGCGAGACGAACAGATCCGCGACTTTAATCGAGAAATCCGAATATTGAGACAAGCGCAAGAGAGTGGTGCCGAAAATCTCAACCATATCATCGAAGCCTTGACGGTGCACAGTCAGTTATGGATGGTTTGTGAATACTGCCCTGGTGGAAGTGTCAAGACGTTGATGCGGGCGACGAATGACCGGTTGGCAGAAAAATACATCATAGTGGTGGCAAGAGAGCTGGCGAAGGCTTTGAAGGGACTGCATGCTGCTGGGATCTTGCACCGAGACGTGAAGGCTGCAAATGTGCTTATTCATCAGGAAGGTCGTCTTGAGCTATGTGATTTTGGTGTTTCAACGGTGCTGGATACGCAGACCGACAAGCGCAAGACATTCATCGGGACGCTGCACTGGATGCCGCCAGAGCTGTGGACCGAGAACCCCGAATATTCGGACGAAGTGGATGTCTGGGAGTATGGCTGCACTCTCTACGAATGCGCTGTGGGGCAGCCTCCAAATGCCGACTTGCGTGAACGGCAACAACTCAAGATGAGAATGAGACGGCTCAAACAAGCAATAACATTACCTGAAAACCAGACATTCAGCGACGGACTTCGCTCGCTTGTTGCGTCGACACTCAGTCCAGATGTAGCTTCCCGTCCGTCCATGAAAGATGTGCTCGAGCACCCCTATCTCAAAGACACGGAAGAAACCCATCCCACCAGTATTCTTGCCGAACTCGTCCAAACTTACTACGCATGGGTGATGAGCGGTGGCCAGCGAATATCGTTGTTTATGCCTGGAGGAGCCGCTGGGGCTTCCACGTTCGAGCCCAATGAGGACGTGGACGACGAATGGAACTTCAGTATGACTCAAGACTTTCAGCGACGTGTCTCGGCGATCCTTGAACATTCCGACTTTTCTGGCAATGAAACCATGGAAGGAGAGGAAACTCCAAGAGGTTCAATATCAACAGCAGCAACCAGCGTCGTCACCCCTCCGAAGGAGATGACGGCGGTAGAAAGGGCGAACTTCGAAGCGCGTGTTCAACGCGGAGCCGATCTTTCCAACATTTTTGACCCAAGCAAACCCGCTTACGATTACAAAATCAAACAGGATTTTATCCCCATCCCTGAACAACGCCAGATCTCAGATCTTCCCTTTCGAGCAATGGCCGAAGATAGGCCAAGCTCAATTGCGTCGAATGTGATTGATTTAGGCGACTTTGATGAATCAGATTATGCCGTGGCTGCCACACCACGGACAGATGACAAGATCCAGACTGCATATGCTGCGACACCTTTGAAAGAGGAAACCATCAGGCTTGCTGATGCATCTACATTGCGAGAAAAGCGTGCAAACTCCAAAGGTCCTCGAGATCCGAACAATAGCAACCAATCCCTTACCGCTAGAAGAGCTTCATCCTCCCATGACGTCCCTCGAACTACTGCTGCTCATGACTTTGCCATGTCACAAGAAGACTGGACGGTCAAGAATCGGGCCAAAGCCCCTGAATTACAAGAGCCTGCCGAGATTACCTCTTCCCGCCCTGGCCATGCCACCATGGACTGGTCGTTTGCCGCGGCCATGTCTGAAGTAGCAATTCCACAGATCAACGAACCAGAACCGGCCGTCGATGATGAACCAGGGCCAGCAGCTGAAGATACCACCACCGATGGCGCACTCCAGCAAAAGTCGAAAAAGCATGCCACAATGGACTGGTCTTTCACTCAAGCAATGGCCGAGGCAAGCAGCAGCCAAGGCGCCACCGAAGAATCGCCAATCATCAACTCGTCTCCTCCAACCGCCCAGCAAATTCCCTCGTCTAGACCAACTCCGACACGCCCTGCGCCGCTGCTCCGCCAGATGACCATGCCCGTGACAATGGGCGATTTCGCACAAGCCGAGGAGCAAGAAATCCCACGGCCGTCAACGGCGCTGTCCGAGGCGTACAGCGACATCAGCACGGCGTCGACCGATGTGGATCCGTTCGGCTTGGAGCGCGACGACGACGGAGACGATGAATACCCGGGGGCCACGGCTCTTGACGACGACGTTGGCGGGCTGGGTGGCTTCTACACTGGCAGAGGCCGGACCATGTTTGGCGGGCGCAGCCAACGCTCGTCAATGGCATCAACCCCGGCGACGGCGGCTGGTCCTGGCCCTGAACCGTACAGGGACGGCTTCCCGGGCCTGTCTGCGTCGGGTGGCCGCGGTGCCGTCGGCGCACGACATGGGCGCAACCCATCGGCCGTGTCTGGGCCAGTTTCTGCTGGCGGTGGTGGTGGTGTGTCTGAGGCGGGTACCGCCGGCGGCCGTTTGACCGTCGACGTTCCCCCTGCATTCCCACCCAGCAGTGTCGCGATGAGCGCGGCTGCCTCTTCTTCCGAGGTCGAGGCCGAGCTCACGCGCCTGCTGGAGGAGATGCAGGGGACGTTGAATGCGGCGAGTCAGGTCGTCGGCGGGCTGGTGGTGCGTAGGAGGAGGGCGGAGGGGGAGAGCGAATGGGAGGATGAGGAGTAGGGGGTGGCTTTTGGTGACTTGCTTACTTGGTACTGGTAGATTGGCAATCATTGTTGGCTTTTTTGGTCCAGACGGACATGGCTAGAAGAGAGGCAGCTCAATTTATGCATGCTTGAGCGAATTACTGACCTGACTTTCTCATGTCGTTTTCCTGCTTGGAACTGCTTCTTGTAACCGTGTCTGGATAAGCCAGTAACTTAAGCGCCTGAATGTAACCGAATGCCCGCACTGTGTGTGGCTAGGAATGTGTACCTGTATATGGTATCAGCATACTATCGGCACGAGGCTGAGCGAGATATCTAGGTAGGCACCATTAAAACACCATGAGTATTGTTCCGATAGGAGTTGCTATTGACACTGGACTGGCTCGGCCTAACTCCGGCTTATCGAAACTCCGCAGCCTCGTTCAAGTTGTGTGTATACATGTACTACAACTATTCATTGTTGCATTCATTCGCTAGACACGTCTCGAAGAGTCACGTCCAGGAAAGAAGTATCGCGCTCAGAGAAAGACAAGCCCAAGACAGAGACAGAGAAATGGTTCGACTACTACAACTGATATCTTGACGATTCCTGTCCGACTCGGAGTCTCTTGCGGGCGCGGTGCTGCACCCTCATTCCAGTGGTCCAGGTCACATTGAACAACAACGACAACAATGTAAGCCAAGTTCACAAGTCCTAGTTTTTGCTGTCGCTCTTATTTCCTCCTCTGATTCAAGTTCCCCCACTAATCATTGCAATTCACCTGCATTTGCAATCACTAGGCCCGTCTTCGCCCTCCTCATCATCTCCAAAGCCGGTTCGCTCATCTACCACCGCACATTTCCCACGTTGACTCCCGGCACCGGCACGAACACAACCACAAGCACCGCGGCGGGTAACACGCAAGGCACACTAGGCCTTCCAGGCACAAGCACACTCACGACCAACGACTATCTCGTCCTCGCGGGCACATTTCACGGCGTCCATGCGATTACGAGATCATTGACGCCGAGAATACCGTTACCTCCCACCGTTTCCGCAGCAGAACCGAATGGCAGTGGTGGAGTTGTGAACCCAGAAGGAGGATCAAGATCATCACGAAAATTGAATTGGACATATCCAGACCCAACAGTTCCACCGTCCGGAATCGAATCGTTAGAATCGTCCTTTTTCAGGCTCACAGTGTTTCAAACACTCAGCGGGACCAAGTTCTTGTTGTTTACGGATCCGAGCATGCCGAATACAGATGTCCTCATGAAGGGGGTCTATGAGCGGTATGCGGATTATGTGTGCAAGAATCCTTTTTGGCAGATGGAGATGCCGATTAGGATTGATGCTTGGGAGAGGAGTTTGAATCAATGGTTGACGAGGAGGTGATTTGGTCCTGATACACAACGGAAAGAGAGATGGAGAGACAAACACAAAAGAAAAAGATACGAAATGATGAAGATGTAAAGACATTGAGCGAAGAGACAAGACAATATGGTACAGATATGGCATTGACACAACACAACACATCCGGTTGGCGCTGGGGAATGGATTTGTTCTCTAGAGCAGAGCGAAGCAGAGCAGGAAAGACGAAAAGAACATGATTGCTTGTGGTGGCCTAGTGCAAGCATGGATGGTTACAACTTGAAGCCGAGTCGAGTTGAGCTTGAGCAGCACCAAAGAGACGCAGTGGCGGAAGGGAAGCGGGTGAACGACAATTGTTGATCGCAGATCGTTGATTCTACACTGACGACGACCACGATGGCACACGCACGGCAAGGGAGGCGCGAGAGCAGGGTTGGATGGACAATCTACTGCTACTGCTACCGGACCTCAAGCTGCTGACAATACGGATCGGGTGGCCCCGTTCTCGCCGACACGTGGTATCTGGCCAGAGGTCATGTATCCATACATTGTCTATGTGTTTGTTCTACTGATTTGCTTTACACAATCCGCCGCCGGCAGCATTGTGTTGGGCCGGAATGGAACCAAAGAGGGCGGAAGCGGAGCGGTTCACTTGCATGACGATAGCCACACATCATCATGACTGCGGTTCAACTTGGATGGACAAGTGTGTGTCTGTGCCTTTATCCTTTCGTGCAGTGTGATGAAAAGATATTAGCCATGCTGTTGCATGACAAAGTGTCTTATTGAAACGGAAAGAGCGTCCGACACAGGGCAGCTACTCGGGCAACCGAGATTCGGCCATCCTTACGAGTCTGGACGATTTCGACTTCGATTTCGCACCGGGAAGCCAGCTGCTGATACTAGTAGCTGGGCTAATTTACAGTACTTGGTTCTACTTGAAATCTTGGCTGGTTTGATGACAAACCCGAGTCGGCAGAAGCACCTTGCCCTTGTGACAAGTCTTTTCGGTCACCGCACTTCATATTTAATTTCGAATGCGATCCGGTCCCGCGGTTTCAATTCAACGAATGATCCAGATGGTCAGCTCATCATTGATGTGAGGTATCTCAAATATCTGGTCCAGCCTGAGTAGCTGCAAGCTGAGTTACCCTATGCACACGCATGCATATGCGTGCACTTTGATGAACCGAACCGAACCAGTCATTTCATTCCATTCCACCGACAGGCCCATGCCAGACCAGGGCAGCTCATGTCCTTCGAACATATCCCATGGTGATCATAGCATACCTATTCGCAAAGAGAAATCATCGTGTCTCTCCGTGCTGCATGCTGCTTCAAACCAGTTTAGTTTCGTGAGATATAGATATCTACCTCCCTTCGCTGGGGTCCCTTTCCCGCTGCAAGTACTATCCTTTTAGTCAACCCAACCCAACCCATCCTAGGTATTCCGTTCCAGCACATTCTACCATGTCCCAGTGCGTATCATCCTGTTAAGACGGTCTCTTTTGCCCTCAACTCATTTCATTGAAAACGGCTGAATTCCAAGACCATGCCCTGAGTGCCCCATCTCAATCCGATCCAATCCCTTTTTGGCCATACGTGCTTTGATCATAGATTCAATTCGTTCGTCGTTTGACTGTCTTGTGTCTTGTTTGATAGTGGACATTACAGTCCGTTCGTGGTCTCATTGTAAAGTGTGGTAGTGGTATGGTATGGTATACGTCTCCTGTTCACATGCATACGTAAACAGAATGTATCTGTACGGAGTTCATGTGCCTCATCACTGTCAATGGTGTCTGGATTCGATTCCTCTGCCGCTGTGCCAATGGCGTGCTCCTTCCCCGCGCGGACACGGAGGACATGAAAAACTGTCCATGCCGAGCCAGCCAGCCATTACTACTGTAGTAGTTCGAGTCCCCCATCCATATGACCCTGGCTGGGCGAACGTGGATGGAATATGCTGGAGCGGAGCAGTTCGCAAGGGCGTCTAACTGGCGTCCATATGCCTGGGACCCGATACAAATATGTTTGGTACGTTCCTACGCGCCATGCTCATGCCATGCTTCAGTCCTGACCATAGTTCCATCTTCTCTTCAGACCGGCTGAATCAATGACGTTGGCCACGCTTTGCTGCCACTGTCGAGAGGTGATCAGCATGGACGATCCGACAGGGCTCGCAGAATAAGGCGTCGGGATCGGCGGCGAGGAAGTGTCATGGAAAGACTGTTGAGGTTGTTGTGACTGAGACTGCGACTGCGGCTGCATTTGCTGGGCAAAGTACTGTTGCTGTTGCTGCCCGTAGCCGTACGTAGGAGATCCGGCCGAGGTGAAACTGGCCTGGAAATTGGCGGGAATATTCCCTCCTGGGGGCGACGACCCCGTGCTGCCGTACATGGATGGGGGCGGGGCCAAAGCGGACGGAGGAATGGCAAATGCCGCGTCAAACTGTTCAATGATCGGCGTTGGGTTCCATTGGACGTTCATGTCTGGGGCCGATGTGGGCGGCTGCTGCTGCTGCTGGTAGAACCCGCCGGTTGCCGCTGGCATGGCCGAAGAAAACTGCTGCTCGGGCATTTCAAAGCTGGCCTGCTGGGCGAAAACGGGCGTCTGAGGTTTCGAATCACTAGAATATGCCGATACGGGAGGCGTTGCTAGGTACGGCGTTTGCGCTTGACGCATTTGGCTCATGTGCTGAGGTAGATAAGAGCCCGGTTGAGGCTGTTGTTGTTGTTGCTGCTGCTGCTGTTGCAGATCGAGAAGTTGATGGGGCTGAGTCTGGGGTAGTGGCGGATGTTGTTGCTGTAGTTGCTGCTGCTGTTGTTGTAGGCTCTGCTTTTCGTAAGACGGCTGGGACGCGGGAGAAGAGCGGGACTGGTCTGATGGTGAGCCCAAGGGGAAAGTGGGTTTGAGCTCAAAGGGTTTGTTGACGTCCGCCGAAAAGGCAGCACGTAACGCGTTAATCTGGGCCTCGGTATCTGGCATTGGCCATGCGGCAACACAGCGTTCTAATATGCGCATGTGTCGGACGAAATAGTCTCGCGCTTCAGAGTTGTACTCGGGATCCGGAGACGACAAGGCAATCAGGTGCAGCATAATGCAGGTCAATATGGCGTAAATGGTGAAATTGATGCCTCGCTGCATACACTGAAGACCCACCATGTCCCACTTGGCCAAAATGCCTTCCTGAAGACGACAGAGGACCTTGGCCGAGTTGTAGCATACGCTCATGTGGTGTCTCCATTGGCTGTCGGCCGCAAAAGATTCGGATGCCTTGAGTTGCGGTCGATGAAGCATGACGACGCCGAGGTGGTAATGCGAGTGCATGTTGCCGACAAAGTGAGAGGGCAACGACGGGATGCCACCATTCGGCGGCAACACCACTTGCAGATCTTTGGGTAGTTCGTCCGGCCATTTTTTGAAAGCGGCATTGTACGCAACAAACTCCTGGTCCAAACCCCAATCCTTCTTTTTCTTCAGCTTGTGCGAGACGCCGGTGATCAGGCGGATGTTGCGAACATTACGAACGAAATAGGCAAACTGGCGGGATATGGCCTTTTCGAAGTCGTCCATATCGGAGCATGGGGGATTCGTGCTAGCATCCACGGAATGAGGGTCGACTCCAAGATCCGTACGGCCTGGACGATGTCAGTGAATTATGTCCGCCTAGTCTACACAGAAGCAACCAACCTTGAGGCCCTCCAACCATGGTCTCACAGACCAGTAGGGTCTGCCACACTCGCGTCTTGGTCAGACATTCAACAGGGTCTGACCCACAAGATTCTCCAGAAGCATGGATTTCGTGGTGCTCATGTAATTCCAGATCTTTGGCCATGCTCACGGCAGTTTTGCAAGTCATCCAAGATCGATAGTAATAGCCACGTTTAGGAACGCTCTCTCGAGCCTTGAGTAAAAGTAGTAGCGCCTGGACAGTGCTCAGCCGTGGACTGTCCAGGAAACAGGGCTCATGTTCTGATCGGTATCAGTCTCATGATCACACAATATTCCAGAAGTACTTACGATTCGCCATTGCAATCCATTGTGCCCCTTGAGCGGGATCATCCGACAAGCGACCGGCATTGGCAAAGACAGCTTCCAAAACGAGCGGAGATATGGAATCTTTGTCATTGTGCCATTGTTCGTAGAAACGCCTCCTGTTCAAGACTGGGACATAGGGATGGACATCGCGGAAGAAAATCTTGAAAGCTCGCATAGCTTCTTCCTGCGACGGCATAAGAGCTGGTGGGATCCTAATCTGGGAGCCTGCCCCAGTATTGAAGACGGTGGGGACTTTGACTTCCGGCTCGGCTTCTTGAACAGGAGTGTCGGGTTCCTTGCCGTCCTTCTTCTCTGACCTCAGGTACGGCGCGATTCCATTCTCCTCGATCTTCAAGGAACCAAGATGTTCCATGAGCCCTTCAGCCGTGACGGGATCGGCCGGTGAGGAGTCAGCGTTCTCTCGATCAAAAGGTTGCTGAGAGTCATGTTGAGCCTGTCCATATATGGAGAAATCTGACTGGTAGGTGTCATTCAGAGTCCCTGTGAATTGTTGCTGATCCGGAAAGTAGCTCCCATACTGTCTCGCGACGTTGCCGTACGGAGGCTTTTGATAGTCGGTGGCATAAGGATCGTAAGCGAATGTGTTGGCTTGGCCGACAGTGAAGTCCTGAACAGCCGGCGCATAGCTTTGCGCCGATTGAGTCGGGGCGGATGGAGTTGATAGAAACGATTGCGGTTCAATAGAGCCTTCCGCCCCGCTACTTTGACCTAAGTCCCCGGCTTCAGCGTCTATTCCTCCTGCCGGGGGAACACAGTGTAGTTTCAGGCGCACACATGCGGCGCAAGGCCACGTGTTGGTGGTGGCGGAATCACATTTGATCTTGCGACGACGACATCCTTCGCAAGCGCGCATCACCTTGAGACGCTTGTGCCTGTTATGCTCATCGACGAAGACATAGTTCTTGGGCCCAGGAGGAGGCCCTGGCGGAGGCCCGGACGTCGTCGGATAGCTCTGCATAGTACATTATCCGACGGCGGAATCACACCCCATCGGGCAAGTGGGAGAACGGCGACTGCTTGTTCTAGGAGAGCACTCCGATGTCAAGGCGGGGGGCCTAGCCGTTGACGATTACTAGGGCCGATGTGTTTAACCGGCAAAAGCAGAGATAATGAAGTCGGGCGGGATTTGAAAGCTCGCCGGGCGCAAATCAAATCAGCGCGGATGGCAATAATGTCGCGGTGAGTAATGCGGAAAGATCGGGGCGTCCTCTTCAAGCGAGCTCGAAGTGGTTGGTGGTGGTTCGTGTTGCGTGGCGCAAGAGTCAACAACTTTTGGAGCCTCGGCACGTGAACAAAATATCATGTGTCTGCAAAAGAAGAGGACAGGACAGTTAGGACAAGACACTGGTCCGGGGTGATCCACGGCCAGGCTTGCTTAAAGGTCCGTCAAATGATGGCCAGGCTGCCGGACGATGATCAGATTAAGAAAAATCTAGGCACAAACAGCAGCAGCAAGTGCCAGCAGCGGTACAGAAGTCCAATAACGGTGGTAAGACAGTGGTCGCCATAAAAAGTGGGCGGATTCGGGTATCCCACGTCCAGATCGCGGCAGGCTCATGCGAGCGAAGGCGCCACAGAACGCTTGAGAAGTTGCACCTGATACGTAGCGCGCCTCCTGCTCGTAACTTAGGCCAGCTGCGCGTCCACCAGGACCTTGCGACAGTACAATAGTGTATGATTATATTATAATCGAGCTGGTAGCGAAGACGTAAGCGATCAATGACTGAGCGGCAGTGCTAGGGAATACTGCAAGTTCGAAAGTACCCAGGGCACCGGCAGTAGCAGCAGCATGCAGTATGTTGGTGACCCTTTTCGTTTGTGCGGGCCTAAAGGCACAAACGAACCTCGAACGCGACTGGTGAGACTGGCGAGAGGGGGCCGTTGGTCTTGACAATCTCTCCAGGGTCTGACGGTGACTTCGAATACGAATTTTAGGGGGATGGCCCGTGGTTGGTCTGGAGAGTGGAAGCAAATGTCTGGCTGTCTGGCCGTCCTCGTTGGATGGCCGTCATGACTATTGCCGTCAGCATCCAATGCAACGTCAGAAAATCTGTCAATGAAGGATCCATCAATAACCGGGTCCCAAGGCTGATGAGCCTCTGCTTTCGTTTCAACAGTAGCACCACCATCAGGGGCCATGTCGTGTGAGCAAAACCCAGAAAGAATGGATGCTTCTGGGCCTCCTAAAGGGCCGAATACTGAACATATGCGATATGACCGATCATCGCGTTCGTCTTTAGAGTTCGAGTCTGTCCATTAAATCTGTGCTGTGTACGCCTTCGCAAGCATGAACCAGAGGGAGCGTAACGATCGCTTTTCTCGCTTGGTAGGCAGTGAGAAGGATGATGGTCGCACGTAGCTTTCCTTTGACATCAGCCAGGGAGCGAATCAAGGCGTCCAGAGCCTCTAGAGGCTTATTCTCAAACTCTTCCTGGATCCTCCTATGTCGCACGTCTTTAAGCTACTACTCGAACGCTCCACAGGGAGTGGAGGTTTGACAACAATCTGAGGATACCGAATTCCTTTGGGAAGCACATGCTTCTGGAATATTTATACATTCGGACAGTTACATCGCTAGTGTGCGACAGACTCTTGTGCGTCCAGGTACTTCATTCTGCAGGGTTTCCCGTTGGATTGCCCTCTGGACATGACGCCAGAGAAGTTGTGCAAGCCTGCGGATGATCAGAAACTGCCACATCATCATGTCTAAAGGGTGGAAGACGTCGACACCTTAAATGCCTGACCCGAGGTCAGGAGGTGCGACAAGCCAACACCGTCTCGAACAAGCTGCGAGTTAGACTTTGCTCCTTCTGGATGCGGTCTGTAGAATTCCACTGTGGGAGTGTAGTCCACGACGGTGGACCCGCGAGATCACCCACTATGCTTGACACCACAGGCCCACGGCGACCGGCGGCCGGCAGATCTTGATCTTGTTGTGGCCCGAATTCGGCCGACAGATTCTGGAATGTGTCGTTGTATGTCCTGAGGCCGTTTGCGGAGGGGCTTTACAGGGCCATGTCAGGCTATGTATACATTGGGCATAGAGAGACACACGGGACGTTTTGATCGGCCACCATAGAAGATGTTGCGATATAATATATCTGTAGCTGAGCGGTAGGGGGAAATCCACCGTCACCGAGATCGTCCGTAAGCGAGTCGGCGCCATCAAGACTGCCGACTGAAACTCTGCGGCGCTCGCTGCAGATTGCGTCCGGTCTCTGCTTGAGTACAGAGCACGAGACGATGGATTTCTCCTTGCGAGGTGTGCTTTTGTCACGAGTAAATGAAATCGTATATGAACGAAAGCTGGAAGAACGGAAGACCAGCCATGAGAAGGCAGATGCCGCCATCGCATAATGTAGCTGTGCTGCGCAGTATCATCACGTGGTCATACTGCGGAGCGAAAGTACCGCGATGACAGATCTCGTACCAATCAAATTAATGCCAGTTCGGCGCAATTCCGACTTCCATTTTCACAACTTACAACGTATATGCACTATTGCCACTTGATATCATACGTTGTAGAGATCACTAGAAACGTTCATACTTGCAGCCACCGCCCGTTTTACAACGCGCCCTTGTGTCGTCAATAATCTCTGCGCGTTGAGACCTACATTCGCGAAACTTTGGGCCTCTCGGACTCGCTCATACTAGTATTGTTTGCCATTTGCGCGCAGCTTACTTGCCCCGCGCCATTACCATGGAAGACGGAAAGAACGCCAACCCTCTCATTCTCAACCCTTCAGACTTGCCGACGCGGAGACGACGGCCATCAACACGAAAAAATCACTCTGTCGGGGATGTGACCTTTGCCTATCCCGCGCCATCATTCGACAATGATCCATTCATGCGGTCTTCAAGCCCCTCGTCGATAGAGGGAAGCGACAGTGATGCGGAGGATGAGCCGATTGATGCGCAAGAAATATATGACTTAATTGCTACAATGTCAGACCCCGAACATCCCATCACGCTGGGGTCGTTGGCCGTCGTATCGCTCCCCGATATATCGATCAAGCCCACCATTCCGAGCCGGCCCAACTCCAATCTCCAGACCGTCACCGTCTTGATCACACCCACAATACAACATTGCAGCTTGGCCACCGTGATAGGCTTAGGAGTGCGGGTGCGGTTGGAGGAATCTCTGCCACCAAGATTCAGGGTGGACGTACGGATAAAAGAAGGCACACATTCTACTGCAGACGAGGTGAATAAGCAATTGGCCGATAAGGAGAGAGTAGCGGCGGCACTATGGAACCCGACTCTACAGAGCTTCATCAAGAAAATGCTCGAAACATGTGAATGAGAATCTACAATAAAAAGAAAGGAACTTCAACAGATTACTGGCACCACATAAGACTGCAGCCCGAAATAAATGCGGACCCTAGATGAATGAAGATGATGGGGTCTCAACTGTTCGATCCGTGCATTGCGATTGACCAAAAAACGATGAAACGCAAAAAAGAAATTCGGAATTGAGCCGAAGACGGGGGTCGAACCCGCAACCTTGAGGTGTCTTATGAATTAAGAGCCACACTGAGAAGATATTAGTTGAATGAAACGGTTGATGTTGGATGGCAGTGAAACTTACCGCTCTACCGATTGAGCTACCCCGGCGGGTGTGATCGCGTGTGTGCGATTGTTGACCAAAATTTTCGGCATTTTTCTCTTAATCCTCTGCTTGTCAGAAAAGCTTGGCCGGGGTCCGCAGCCTCGCACGTCATAGGCTATGGTGCTTCTGCAAGGCTGATGGTGGGGTACATCAGATGGATTGCATAAGGTAAAGGAGAGGTAACCAACTGCATACCACGTCTCTACACTACTACTGTGGAATCTTAACAGAAGAGACATCAAGATTGACCGAAGAGTCCTGCAGTGTAAGTGGTCCTACATGAAGTGCAGATACCTAGGTATGCATATTCGACTGTGTTGGAGGAGAAAGACATGACATTCTCGGACAGCCGTTCACCCATTCGAGGCAATTGATGTCTAGCATTTCACCATTCCAGACAGGTGCAAGTGACGGTACCATTGATTAGCTGGTTTTGGGAGGATGCCACGGCACACGTTGTCGAGTAGCATAGCAAATTGGCATACTGGCGACAGGCACGATAATGAGATCGATCAGGCATGGCTGGCTGTCAAGGTCAAGGAATAGCATGGGGTATTGCCGTCCCTTCATAACATCTTCACACATAATGAATTCCTCAGTGGTGCAACTACTATGGATATATGCCGGCTATATCGCAGATACGCCGCAGCCGATCAAACATGGATAATCCTGCGCTGCACCTGGAAACAAGGTACGTAGAATGCAATGGTGCGACGTACACAATATAATAACCTTCACCTCGCAATGATATCAGGTATGCAAATGTACAGCTACAATAATTGCTGGTGTACATTGTGCATTGTGCAGCTGGAGCGGGTTTGCCTCCAGCCAGCAAAATCTGAAAATCTGAAGCTGGGGCGGAAGCGGCGAGAACACGTGCCCGGGCTCTGGCCAGCGCTTGGCACCGCGATAGGTTTGACCCAACAATGTCGTCGATTCAGAGCCAATTACCAGTGCACGTGGGTGGGTCTTGAGTGTCCTAATCCAACCTCGTCGACGAATTTTCCACTCGGCAGGAGCGAGACTTGGATTTCTGAGCTCATCGTTGGCTGGAGCAAATATCGACCACCCACTCGTCGGCAACGCTGCGATGGAACTGCTCGCCATCCGCGTTACTTTCCACTGTCCACTGCGAGAAATAATGCTATCTCCGTCGGCCTCGAGTGGAAGGACAAGGCGAGGAGCCTTTCAGGTTTGTCCATCCGGATTCTCGCCCTGCAGATCGCCCGCCCGACCCCATAGCAGAGTCTTCCCTGGATGGATCCAGCTCCATCCTTTGGTCCCTGGCCGGAGTCCGTTCGGGGGGTCCCAGGTCGGTGCAGAGCTTGTTCCCTCGCACAATCTTTATGTCGCTTCTCCTACTTCTCCAGATGTATGACCTGTTTCAGACCCTTTCTTCCAAAGTAAAGCTCCTCTCATCATCGCTCCTGCTCAGGTTGTTGAGAGAGGAAGACGTCGAATTTCTCGATATCAGAGCCTGTCCTGGTGTTCCTCATCAGAGCCTCCTCTGTTACGTCAACATCCGTCTTTCTTACTCGTTCCTCCTTGCATTCATTCTTGTATACTACCTAGCTACCTTCATCGGTTCATAAAGCTAGGCTGACGAACTCTCTCTGCCTGCTACCCTCCTCTCTGGCGAGTTCAGCACATAACAAGACATCGCAGCCGACGAGATCATCATCTTGCAGCATCGACATCGACATTTTCACGTTCCGGTGGCATTGACTACCAATAACAAGGGCACGCGAGCTGCCGGCCGTCATCTCTTACGGTCGCTTGTCAGCGAATCAGCTGGGGGCCCTTGATCTCGTGGCTACACCCAAGCTTTGTTTGGTCTCTCTCGACCTTTCCTGTCCGGTGCCACCTACACGGGAGGCGTTCTGATCAGAAGTCGTTGTACATACGACCCCTGCTTCCGATCCGCTACATCCGACTATCAAGCACTTTATAGTTGGAGTTGGTCGTTGCTTAGCTCTCCGCCGTCGACCCCTACCATCACCGACTCGCTTGTTCGCCTTGGCTGACATAGGGAGTTTTCCTTCTTATTGTCACTGACGACATCTCCCTCTTATACAAAGCTCGACCGATCTGCTTCGACTGTCACCAAGGAGTCGTTGCACTTCTCCATCTCCAACCAAAACCCCGGCTCGGTCACCATCTGCCGTTGCTTCTTCTGTCTTTGCACAGTCCATTTGACAACATGTCCTACGACGGGCCAGTGATCGACTACGGGCCGAACCCCCCTCACGGGCCAGATGTCACGGGCCATCATCCTCCTTTCGAATATGCTGATTTTGACATGACCCATGCCGAAAAGGAAGTCTTTCGACAGATCCTGAAGCCCGACGACAGTTACGATGAAAATGGCGTCTACTGGGCCGACTTGCCCTGGCTTCAGCGAGCCAGATTCGTCAGCAGAGTCAACCGCGAAGAAACGAGACGGGAGTTTCGGGCTTTCTGGCGAATGTTCAAAAAGGACCCTCTAGCTCCCGTTAGCTTCTACTTCCGAAACATGGTTCTTCCTGGTGCCGGCCTTGGTCTCGAAGGATACGTGCTTTTCTCGATCGGCAATCTGAAGCCTCTGTTCCAAAAGGGATTCGCCGAATGCTGGAACTCACAGACCATTTGCAACCCGACCTGGATCAAGGCTGTCGACTACCTCGAAATCTGTGGTATCATTGTCGGTCAAATTCTCGTCGGCTTCATCGGCGACTGGATCGGCCGTCGGTGGGGTCTGATCCAAGATGCAACCATTATGTTTATCGGCCTGCTCATGTTGACTGCTTCATGGGGTGTCACTCAGAACGGCTGGGTCATCTGCTATGCTTGGTCGCTGTTTTTCTACGGTATCGGTGTTGGCGGCGAGTACCCCATGACTGCTACTTCAGGCATGGAGAACTCGGTTGGCTCCGGAAAGATTTCGACCAGGGAAGACCGTCTCCACCGGGGCCGCAAGGTTACCAGCGCGTTCTTGATGCAAGGTTGGGGTCAGTTCTTCAACCAAGTCATTCTCATCCTGCTGCTTTTGATCTTCCACCATGGTAGTGGCAATGCCCCTTATTCCAAGGTCGCAGTGCAATATACCTTCCGGGTTTCGTTCGCCATTCCCGCCGTCGGCACCTTGTGGCTGGTTTACTGGCGTACTTTCAAGGTCAAATCTGGCGCCAACAAACAGTTGCAGTACGCCAAAAAGAAGAACGCCGTGACTGGATATGACACAGAATCCTTGTCTCTCACCGTCCGCCACTTCGGTGGGCGTTTGATCGCCACCGCTGGGACCTGGTACATGAACGACATTTTCTTCTACGGCAACAAGTTGTTCCAGAGCGAATTCATCAAGGTCATCATGCCTCACAGCAACTCAATCATGCCCGGCTGGCTATACAACCTCATCAATGTCGGCGTGTCGCTCTGTGGGTATTATCTGGCCAGCTTCTTGATTGACAACAAACTTTATGGTCGCAAGCACATGCAAAGTGTTGGATTCCTGATGGATTTCATCCTCTTCATCGTCCCGGCGTTCAACTTCAAGCATTACACCTCGATTAACCACATCAAGGAGTTCCAGGCCATGTACTTCCTGTCCTCCTTCTTCAACCAGTTTGGCCCCAACTCTGTCACCTTCATTGCCGCCGCCGAAGTCTATCCCGTTGCCGTTCGAGCCACCGCTCACGGTTTCTCGGCCGCCGTGGGCAAACTCGGCGCCTTGACGGCTTCTGTTCTTTACAACTACATTGACACTCAGACCAAGTTTTATGTCGTCCCGTGGTTTGGCCTGGCGGGAGTGGTCCTCAATGTCCTCTTCATGCCCGACACAACCGGGTTGGATCTCAAGGAACAGGAGCGCCGCTGGGCGTACATCCGTTCCGGTCGCGAACACGAGTACCATGGGATTGCCATTCATCCCAAACACTTGAGTTTGTGGGAGCGCATGCGGGGTGTTGGCAAGCACTACGATCCCGAGCTCGACTACCAGAAACGAATTGAGGAGATGCGGGCCGAGTGGGAGGAGCGCATGGCACAAAAGATTCAAGAGAAGCAACACGCCCACGATGAGCACGACGATGCTTTTGATGACGACTTCCATGAGAACGTCAGCTCCTACTTCAAGCGGTCCACTCGATCTCCTCTGATCCAGGGTGCCGAGAATGAAAAGATCCCTCCTCACGAAGGCCTGAAAGGTCAAAACGGTGAAGGCATCTGATTTGATTTCTTCGGAAGGGCTTTGGCCTCTGGGCCTTTCACCTTTGACGGGCGACGGGCGACTCATGCTGTCGCATGATGGACATTTTTTGAGGAGGATGTGTAAAGGTTCGATGGGTTACAAAGCGTCCCGCTTGGATAAGCGAAGAAGTACAGGGAGACGGCAAAAATCGGATGCAATGTGTGAGGTTGGAAGCGTGTCCAGCGATGATTAGATGACCTAGATTGTTCACGTTCAATGTTTAGCTTTATGATTTCAGCACGACCGACTCAGTCTCTGGTGATCAACAATACATAGAAAATAATGGGATCCTACATTACAGGCAATCGCACTATCTCTCATGGCTTTGTCCTGAATCAGGCCTTGCAGAATAGTCTTGTACGGTGCTTTGTGAGCCTGAGGCACCAGCTGAAGTTGTTTCAGTGTGCAGACTGAGGGCAACAGCACCAGGCATAAAAGCGGCGTCAAAGGAGCTTCCTTACTCGGCCAACGCTGCGCCGTACTGACGCGTGCATTGCGCTGCCTTACGGTCCCGTATTATTATGACTTCCCGGACCTCAGCCGCAGGAGATACTGACACTGGCCACTTGCTATGTACCACGGACAACTTGAACACTTCGACAACTACCTTGGATCTTCCCGAGTAATCCGCCGCCGATCACAACCTCTGACCAGCTCAACATTGTGAAAGATCGACCAGACACTCCCAATTTCTTCCAGACACGAGGTCAGCCTACCTCTACCACCCTCGTTAGTCCTAATCTTGGGTACTCTCGACCTGCGACCGCCATCATGGTGCTCGAGGCGACTATGATTGTGGTGGACAACAGCGAGGCGAGCAGGAATGGCGACTATCTGTAGGTCCAACTGTCCAAATCTGATGTGACCCTTTTCTTCCACCGCTAACCCGTCTGTCATGCAGCCCGAACAGATTCTCGGCGCAGTCTGAAGCCGTGTCACTCATTTTCAACGCAAAGACGTCAGCCAATCCGGAATCAGCGGTCGGACTGATGTCGATGGCCGGAACGGGGCCTACTGTGCTCACAACGCCGACGACCAACTACGGAGCATTGCTTTCCGGATTACATGACACCAAGATCAAGGGCCACATCCGATTAGGAACGGCCATCAGCGTGGCGATGCTGGCCCTCAAGCACCGGGCCAACAAGAGCCAGCGGCAACGGGTTGTGGTTTTGATATGCAGCGAGTTAGACCCCAAGTTCGGAGACAAAAATGACACGGAGAAGGAACTGGTCAAGCTGGCCAAGAAGTGCAAGAAGAACAATGTGTCGGTCGACTTTGTTGCTTTCGGCGACGCCCTCGAATCGAATACCAAGTCGATCCTGGAGAAGTTTATTGAGGCTGTTGGCGGCTCGTCCGGAGAAGGTAACCATCTGGCGGTCATCCCGCCTGGACCAGGTCTACTGAGTGATAGCCTCATCACCACTCCTATCATCAACATGGGCGGAGATGCTGGCCACGGAGGAAGCGGCATGGAAGGTGTCGAGACCGGCGGTGGCGAGGGCGCTGGTGGTGCGGCTGGATTCGAGTTCGGCGTCGATCCTTCGGCAGACCCGGAGCTGGCTATGGCTCTGCGCATGAGTATGGAGGAAGAGCAGAACAGACTGGAACGAGAACGCAGAGCTCGCGAGGAGCAAGAAAGACAGGCTGGTGACAGGATGGAGACCATCACGGAAGAGGGTCAGGGTCAACAGCAGCAGCAGCAGCAGTCTACGAACGGGGAAGCTCAAGGGAATAGCACCGACTCGAAACAACCGACGGTAGAGGACGACAAAAAGGAATGATGGGGCGGCTTGCTCGTCGCCTTGTATTAATATTAAGCTCTGAAGAAGCATGTCCAGGCCATGACTACCGCGGATGCCTTGTTCCGTCCTCAAGCCCCCGCGAGATCCGAACCAGATGGTCCTGTTCCTCATGCAAGTACTTTCTCTACGCTTTTATGGTGGTGTTCTTTTTCTGTGGCGCGTTTCTCCTTGTCCTATAGGAACTGCCACTGTGTAAGATGTTTAAGCATGCACGCCTCAGCCATCACAGTTTCCAACTTTGCATGGAACCACTATCTTCCACATGTGTTGATGACCTTCCTTACACCTGTTATATTATTTCCGTGTCCCTCTTACAACAATTTCTGGAGACAGGAAGCTCATGCCTCTTGAGCGAGATATCCAATCGACGTGTGACCATTCCGCCTCGAAATCATCCTTCGTTCCTCGGCTTTTATCTAGATCCCTTTTCTATCTTCACTGCGTGGGTAATAGTGATTCATTTCGCAATATCCAATTTGAAGCCTTCGGTGTCTGACTCAAACCATGCAACAAAATCTGGGGCCGCCTGACCGTACCGTACCAACTTAGTGAGATGGAGAGAGATAGAGAAAGACGCAACTCGGCTGCTGTCTTGCTTCCCGGCTGTGTGCTCCTAGTCCCACGAATTCAAGCATAATTTGGTTTGGTCCTCGTTAGAGGGTTTAGATCCAGCTCGTCCGCCAGGATAGAGACAGTGCTACCACCATGTCCCGTTGCAGTATATCTCTGCATCCATCTTGGCTCCAAAATCGATGCATATCCAGGCTCGCCCAGTAGCTGTTGCGAAGCGGCCTTCCCAGGTGCCTGTCTGTGGTTGCAGTTTTGTCTTCTTGACGATTTTGACCCAAGTTCGGCGTCTGTGCAGTGTGATATGGTATGATATCGCTCGCACGTTGTCCCTTTGGGCGCAGAATCGCATCTACCTGCTTCAGGTAGTTACCGTAGGTGGGCAGGTAGGTGACCAGATATCTCATAGTAGTATCCTTTTCATTCCGTTTCTCGCGCTCATTTCGTTTCGTTTCGTTTCGTTTCGGTTCGGTTCGTGTCATTCCAACATCGTCAAGATCCAAGCCAACATTATGCTCACTTTCTCTTCATCTCGAACCACCACCTCCGGCAGCGCCTATACCAATAATGCGCTCTTCCCGACTGCGCACGATGCGCGCCTTATCTCCCGGCAGAGGCTTCAACTCGTCATTGGGATCGACGACTCCGACTCCTCCTGATGTTGCTCTGCTGCTGCCTCTTGCTTCGCCTGGCCGCTGTTGTTCCTGTTGTTGTTGTTGTTGTTGTTGTTCATTGCGGAACAGTCCGTCCGGGTCTTCGCCCGTCTTGAGATACTTGGCGTACGCGAGGCGGCGGAGATATGCTTCTTCGAAGGATGCGATGTCTTCGGAGGTGATGGTGATGGCGGTGGGGTTGCGGCGGAGCATGGTTGGGGACCCTGAGTAGGTACTGCTGTTGCTGCTGCTGCTGCTGTTGTTGTTGACGCTGATATGTTTGAGGTAGGGAGGTGGTGCTGTAGGAGCGGGAGCCGTACGTAGAGTCAAGAGAGCAGAGGCAGAAGATGAAAATAATAATGCTTGATTTAAAAAATAGTAGGGACTGGCTCGGTCGTGTTGAGATGTAGTGGTACCTGGTGGTGAATGAGGGAACAGAAGCACATTGATGAGTGACTGGCGAGTTCAGGATCTTGATTATTTTATTGGTTCCGCTCCGGTCCCGAGGGCGGATTTTGTTTACAAATTCAATGAATGTACAACAACGTCAGCACTGCAAGTAACAGGCACAATTTGAATATGAGCGGCACGAGACATTGAATGAAATGGTGAAGATACATTTAAATACAATCGAAATCGCAGGACTCCAATCATTTGCAATCTTCCATGATTGCTGTCAAGGTAAGGTACGCGGAGGACCGAAAGCTGAAGCTCTAGGTTCTCTGATACTATCACTTCATCCGAACCTCTTAGGCAGTCCTCTCGATTTATAATCTCCATTGCGGGTGTTGGCATCATGGACTGCCGAGACCTTGCCAGCCTCCAAAGCTCGAATCACCCCTTCGCGCCTCGTTATGCCTTCGGGTGAATGTTGAGGGATCTGGCCCTTGATGGTGACACGCGTTCCTTTCCGCAGGAGCGGCGCATAGTCATGAGTGGCGCGGTGAGTAACAGCACTAGTTGTACAAAGTTAGCAAAGTCTCCAGCTCAAGACGGTGTCGAACGAAAGAACCAATACCGGTTGTCCCACAAAGCCGCCGAGTTCTTCTCCCATTTGAATCGGACCGTGTGGTCCTGGGCAGTGTGGATATGTGTGAAGAGCAGTTCCAGAAGTTTGTCCGACTCGTAACGTTTCAGGCCGTCAATTCGATCCACGAAACCGGAATTCAGGTTCAACACCTGGTAGCCAGTGACTGGATGTGTCCGCACCACGGGATGAAGCGTCTCTACCGGTCTTTCTGGAAGTTGTTTGCCCCAGAAGTTTGTCACCGAGTCGTAGACAAGCTATTGAAATGTGAGTACTCGGAAAGACACGATCGGGAAAATAGAAGATTATGGGAACATACACCTGATGTGTGCCATGCACTCAGCCCGTCCAGAAAGGTTCGCAAAGGCTTGGACAATGTCTCGTACGTCCCGTAACCCGAGATCCTGGGATTGCGTTAGTCTGAAGGGCCACTTTTTGACGATCCATATCCGCCTTCTTGATTAACGTACCAAGCTGTGTCGCCACCAGTTGGAGGCAGAGTGTCGATCTTCAAGAGTGAGAAAGACGGAGGATTCGCCTGAAAGCTACTGTCCGCGTGGAAGTCGGCGAACGGCCACTTGAAGTGGACATAGACACCTCGATAATCCCTTGGGAAATACGGTCAGCAGGGCGTTGAGCGGAAACCGACTCACCAGCGTCTTACTCTTCCTGTTCCTGGATGGTGTGGGTCTTGGGTTTTGTATTCTCTGGATCGACCCCTTCTTCAGGAACACCTAGGCCATTGTCAGCACGACTTTCTCATTCAAGGCTGATGCAAGGCTACCATAGTAGTCGAACAGCTTTCGCTGCTCTTCGGGCGTGATGTCTTGATCACGGAAGAAGACTACCCCACGATGTGCAACCAGCAACGCCAGCTCATCCTTTTGCGCATCCGTCAATGCATTCAGCTGGATCCCAGTGATCAATGTCCCCAGCGACGGAGTCAGGTCCACACGCTGTACCTCGGAACCCGAGAACAGATTCGGCAGATTCGGGTTTGCGAAGAGAGCCCGGTCTTTGGGAACCGCTACAGGCTTGCGAATGCCTTTTGGAGGGATGTGATCTCCATATGGTCGTAAAGGCAATGCCCGTTGGTGAAGGGCCGGGACTTCCGGGGTGTCGGGATAAACGACATCGGTTGGTTTGATATCGCTGTATGTCTCGACCCTCTCACCATTGACACTGAGATTTGGCTCGGGCAACTGCTGTCCTGATGCGACTGAGGCGTCTCCCATTTTGCAGGTACTGTTTACAGCACAGTTCAAACCCAGCTCTTGGTGTCTGTACACCACAAACGACGTGTTCGATTCCAGTCGAGAGGAGGATCATCTACGTTATAACAGCCACGACCATCGGGCAATTTGCCGACCAAGGCAGCCGGACAACTTGTTGCAGAAATGGCGTGCTTTGGATCCCGTCGCTTTGAAACTAGCCTGGCTGGACCTCACGGATCCGAGGAGAGAGTTGTTCATGTCGCCATCCGAAAACCCTACCCATCCCACGTGGCTGGGAACCCGGCATTTCGAAAGTACCTAGGTACCGTGTCCATGGCTACTGCCAAAATCGCGGTGCTGCATAATCAATCCCAATGTTTGTACGGAACGTGGGAGTTGAATCCCCACAAGTATCACTAATAGCCTTGTCCTATTGGTGGTGGACAGCAGCATTCCCGAAAGCGTAATGCCTGATTGAGCGGGACCCGCTCAAGTGCGTGCCCTTGGCCTGGCTGACGCGATCCTGGTACATGCGCAATATCAACATGATTCGTGTATCAAGGGCAATCGTGATTAAGGGGTATCTTGCGTGCTTGAATAGCACGTTCTCGAGCGGTCAACATTCCGACATTTGAGGCATACTGCGACAATGTTGGAAGCCATGCAGTCTGGGCGCAAGCCTTCCGGCGCAGGTACAGGCGAACCAGCGGGCTGGTGTCGCCGAAAAATACATATATTGCTAGTGTTCATTGATCACTTTCTGTCTCTCATTATGTCGCAGATTTAGCAGCTTCACCATCACCGCTGGAGAGACATAGGCGCTGCCGAAAGCCTCTTCGACGTGCAAAGTCCAAGCAATCCAGACAAGACATGTCTATCCCAGCCGACCAAATCCTCGAGGGTGCGGCCGTCAAGGCCTACGCCCATGACACCGTGCTCGACGATGAAGACTCCAGGTCGACATCGCCTGTCCCGCCTGCCCATGTTCCATGGTTCCGGTCGACGAGGTTCCAAGCCGCCGTGCTTGCGGGAGTGTTCTTCTGCGGGCCTGGGATGTATGGATCACTGAATGCCTTGGGCGCCGGCGGCCTTCGCACACCGACCTTGGTGAACATCACCAGCGGAATGTCCTACGGCATGAACTTTGTTTTCGCTTTTCTGACCGGAGTGTTGGTCAATATCTTTGGCGAGCGAATCGTTCTTAGTGTCGGAGTCGTGGGCTTTGGCCTGTATGCAGCAGCGTTATACAGCAACAGTCGATACGGCACAATATGGGCCATGTATGCCACGTCTGCGCTCCAGGGCTTCACGACTGCAATCCTATGGTATGTCTACGTCTACACTGTGAAGTGTGCCACGACGCAAGTTCCTGGAGTGGACTGACAATTGCAAAAGGGTCGTGCAAGCAGCCATCATGCTGGCATATCCGGAACCCGAGTTTAGAGGTCGTTTCAGTGAGTGACTGTGTATCATAGCCTAGCTGTCAGAACTATAACTGATCTGTTTGTGACTTCTAGTTGCCATCTGGTACGGTTCGATTTCCGTGGGCCAGCTGGTCGGCGGCACCATCTCCCTGGCCCTGAATGTGACCAACGACAAGGCCGGAAAAGTATCTACAGGTGCGTGCCGTGGCAGTGCTGTCCATCCAAATCCAATCGAGACAACGTGCTGATTTGATTCTCTCTCTAGTGACTTATATTCCTCTGATTGCGTTGGCGTGTCTTGGTCCCTTCATCGCACTCTTGCTATCACCTCCGGACAAAGTGGTGCGGCGAGATGGACGAGCTGTGAAAAAGAGCAAGCAACCAAGTGCGTGGCAAGAGCTGAAAAGGGTATTTTCGGCTTTTCAACGACGAGAGGCAAGTTTTGCAACAAATCCAATTTACAGTACACAGTCACACCGTACTAACTTTTTGTCGGTCTAGATGGTTCTTCTGCTCCCCCTGATCATCTTCTCCCAATGGTTTCTATCGTACAACAGCACGTTCACGGCCGTGTACCATTCCGTCCGTGGACGAGCCTTGATCGCATTCCTCAACCCCATCGTTGGCGTTCTCGGCACATTGGTGGCCGGGTGGTTCTTGGACACGGGCAGATTTAGACGATCGCAAAAGTTTCGCTGGGCCTATTATTCGTTGTACATTGCATTCACCGCCGTCTGGGTCTGGGCGACCGTGGTGCAATGGTGGTATTCGAAGACGAACCCCAAGGGTTTGGACTGGAAGCAGGGCGAATACTATGCAAGTGCATTGTGGATCTTGGCTTTCTCGTGGGTCTTTACCTTTTTCTTTCCCCCTTTCTTTTGGACCACTCAAAACAGGGCTGACGTTGGGCTGGCGCGCAGGTTTGTCGACCACGGCTTCCAAGTCTTCATGTATGCTCTTGTGGGCACTTTGACAGACGACATTGACGAACTTGCGCGATACACGGGTATGTTGAAGGCTGTCAATACCGGAGGCGCGGCGCTGGGTTATGCCGTTCAGGTCAAATGGAGTATGATGGGCGCCGAATGTATTTTGTAAGTTCAGGCCGACAGCAAAGCTCACTTCTTGCTGTGTGGTTTTGCTGACATATGTTCTGCTGTTTAGGTTGGTGCTTTGGGCTATCCAAATCGTTCCAACATGGTTTGTCGTGCGTGAAGTCAAGGACGAGCACGAGCATCGATGGTCCCAGAAGACAACGACTGGAGAAGACACTCCTGTCGAGAAGGATGCTGTTGTGCCCAAGTAGAGTCTGGCTGTACGTATGTTCTGGACGACTCGGGAAACATGGCCGAATGGCATAGACCACTAGCTAGATGGAAAGGACGGCAGCAGCGTGCCAGCTTTGGGGGAGCGGACGACAAATATAGAGGTTGGAATCTATCGACTTCTGATTTCCTAGTTGCTATCAGTATTGATATCGGGCCGGTCGTTCAGGACAGTGGAACGTGACCCTTGCCCGGCATCATGCAGTGGCCAACACCTCCATGCATGTACTACCAGTGGACGAGATTACCGTAGAGAAAGGGGAAGAAGCGCATATTGAACTTCAATCTCGATTTGCTGCACCATTGGCATGGGACGCGGGCCAAGAAGGACAGGGCAGGGCAGGTTTCCAACCGCCATGATTGGGCACGACGTTCCACGGAGAAATCGAGACCTCGCTGACCAGAACCACGGTAAATCAAAACATAGCAGTAGAGCTCTAGGTTAGAACAAAAGCGCTATAGCTGAAAGAGAACTGCAACTGTACAATGTTGTAGATGGTAACGAAAGAGTTCCCCACAACTGCTGAGAATCATCTCGGGCACCACGGACGATCCTGAGCTCGCGCAAGGTTGCCTGATTCATGCTCAGTGGTGATCTGACGGGTGTTGGAGATGGAAACAATTTAACGGGCGGTCCAGGGTAGTCTGAGTCGAGCATAGACGGTGTGGTCGGCAGCAGGACATGGTACCAGACATGTACAACGGTAGACGGAAGGGACTCACAATGATCAGGTAGTATGGTGGTGGGTTCAGGGTTTCAATAACAGTGGATATCATACCTTATCCTTGATTTAAACGCCTGATCAGGGCCTCAAGAATCCTTTGCCGGTCTCGCTCATGTTTCACTGGATCCGAGGATTGCCGAGTTGCAGCGTAGTACTTGTACGAATGCTTGTAGCAACTCGGGGACCCGGTGGCACCTACAGTACATTGTAGGTGCAGTGGGTGGTGTTTGAACCGCCGTCAAGGTGAGCACGTGAGTCTTTTTGTCACACGCCACCCCGAGTTTCAGGAACAATGAATTTTCTCGCTGGATCTGGGCTTGACCCGAATAAGGGCCACCCACCAAAAAGGCCAGCCAGAATATGAGTCTGACCCGCATTCAAGATTGCTTTTTTCGCACTGCAGTCGAAGGAAAAAGGATGACCGGGTCAACGTATAAACAGTTTTTATGATTGGCGGCTTGAAGTTCGGAAAATCGATGGCTTCCGGAGCAGCCGAACTTGAAGTACAACTTGCTCCACAACCCACATGGAGACTCGGGAGGGTCAGCACTTTACGCCCCAACTCAACCAATTACAAAATAGCTTCCTTCGCAACAGGACCACAGTGGTGGCACTCGCTCCGAATTCGTCAAGGAAACACGCGCGATGTTCCAAAAGTTTATGGGGACGGTCTGTTATTTTGTAAAAGGCGTATTATCTGTACCTAGTACCTAGTAAGTATCAGGAGACTATCCTTACACTGGATGCATACATGTTAAGAGTCTCGTGGCTGTTGCTTTTTGTCTAAGCAAGTCCATCTATATCCGAGAACCTTGTATAGAGTATAGAACTGACTGCCGTCGATAGCTCATGCGATGTCCCTGATTATGCCGTAATATGCGACTCTCTCCGCTTCGGGTCGTTGGGCAGGACATCATCCTCGATGTAGTTCATTTGTTCTTCCTTGGCGTTGAGGTGGTGGAACAAGACCCAGATAAGGATTCCAACGCAGAAAGTTCCGACGCAGAGGCCGACATACATCCACATGATGGCGGGATCGTAGGCGGCAGGGACGAAGGCCTCGCCGATGGCCGAACCGAAAGCGTTGGTGAGCAGGAAGAGCGACTGCACGAACGACTTCATGCGCGGCGGGGCTTTGGTGTATGCATACTCATAGCCCGTTGCCGAAGCAAAAATCTCGGAAATACCGATCAACATATAAGCTGGCGTCTGGATGGCGATGTGGATGTCGTTACCCTGCGCTTTGCCGTTCACGATGGAAGCGTCGCAAAGAGGATGTTCGTAGCAGGGCCCGCGGATGTAGATCTCATGCTGGACAATGGCAGCGTACATCATAGCAAGCGACGCAATGGTGAAACCCGTGACAATACGGCTAATCGGCTTAAAGGCGATGCGCTTCTTGCGCAGCAGGGGATAGACCAGGCGATCCAAGATCGGAACGAAAACGATAATCGAGATGGGATCAAAGTTTTGCATCAGATCGTTGGGGATGCCGTGACCTCTCATCTGAAGGGCTTGGGTGACAAAGTTGTTGGAAAACTGGTTGTAGACGACCCAGTAGATGGGGTAGAGCGTAAAGACCTTGCATGCGGTGAGAGCACGCTTCAATTCTTCGACAAAGCCGTCTTCCCATGTGACGGTCTTGTTGACTCCCTTTGCGCGCAGCCATGACTGCTTCGGTGCATCCATGCTGCGGTGCTTGATCATCAACCCGATGGCTTTGAACGAGTCGCTGACAACGCTTCCCTCGGGCGGTCGGTCGACGTACATCTTGCGGCCGAGGACCAGAACACTGATACCGACTGCAAACATGCAGATACACAGAGTAAAAGCGGACCAGAAGCCAATATCTCGTTCCATATCTGTAACCAGTTAGCAAAGTTTCCTCGCCCTGGGGAAGAGGCCGAACTTACAAGGGGTGGCAAGAAGAGACAGGGCGCCGATGTTGATGGTCCAGTAGAAAATCATGTAGATTCGCTGGATGGTGACATAAGGGTCGATGACAACTCTTTCTCCCTTTTGGGTCACGGCAATCTCCATATGTCTCCTCGTGTATTGCTCAGCAATGAGAGGAGCCACGTTCGCCTTGATGCCTCCGGTACCAATGCCAGTGAGGAGGATCGAAGTGACATAGCCTCCAGTGCCAGCTCCATGATTCAAAGAGACGGGAATCGATGTAAGGACGAGGATGAGAAGACCGACAAAGTAGATACTTGCAGAGGACAGGATCGTCTTGTACTTTCCCAAGTACTGATCTGCGATGAATCCTCCCAGAAGAGGCGTCACATAGCACCAGAATGAATAGAATGTCGTCAAACCAGTTGCGCCCTGGTGACCCATGCCGAGACCACCGGGACCCAAGCTCCCATCCCTAGGATTTTGTACATAGTTTTGGAAGATACCCTGGCAACCATAGTAGGTGAATCGCTCGCAAAGCTCGATCACGGCAACCAGCCAGACCGAACGCGGGAGACTCTCGCCAACATGGCGCAGCGTTGTTTTCTCGTAGTCTGTAGGCTCGCCGCCAACCGGGGTCTCTACATTGCTCTCGCCCTTCTCAGGGATCGATTCGGGAGCAGTGCCTTCGGCCGTCGCAGGCAGGGGAGGCTTCTCTTGGACTTTTTCCGAGATTGCAGAGACTGCAGAGGCCCGTCTCGTTTGCTCGACCTCTGCATGGAGCCTGTAGCGAGTCGTGTCAGCATTGTCCTGCGAGCTCAGAGAGAATGAGAGCGTTCGTACTGTGTGAACTCAGAGTGGTGGTCTGCCATGGCTTGCTGTGCTGCAGATACACCGCGATTGCTGGAGAAGAGATGATGTCTCGGGAAGGAATGAGATCGTGCGACGGCAAACAAGGGCTTTTACATCTGACATTAGCGGTGCCATCGTGATGCAACGTCAGGCCACAGAGGCAATCGAGATATTGGACTAATTGATAACCATGTTACATCAAAGGACCCAGACGGTGTCCAGCAGGAGCCAGCTGGGAGCGGGCATCCCACGCCGCGGGCCAAATCAGGCCCAAATCGATGCTTCGATGGAGCCACCGACGCTTTAGCAGAAGCCGCTATTCGAGTTGCCTCAAGCTTTTCCTAGAAATTCTTGTGGCGATCCGAAGAAGCCAAGCTTTTCTCGGCGCCCTAAGTGGCGGAAAACCGCGTTTGCCGGTCGCTGGCCGGTGAAAGATGCCGTCAAGTGCCCGCAGCTGCGCAGTGCAACCCCAGACGGCGACCTTCAAACTTTCGGTCCTATCTCCTCGAATATCAAATCATCTCGCGAGACTGGTCCAGATAGTCGCTATCGCCATCGCGCTGGCTCTGCACCCCATCGCCATGCTGTATCACGCCCCCCTGCTAGTCACCTGTTCCTACCTAAATTACCACTGCACTGCATGGCACGGAGTCAAGCCCACAGCGGCCCCGGATTGGTGACTGGGGAGACCAGCAATCACGATCCACAATGTACCTCTGCCTCGCTTGCAACATTAGCCTATAATAAGACCAGTCTAGCTGCAAGAGTCCGGTCCTTTCGTTCCAGGTTGCTGGCGCGATAGCCCCCTCGAAAGGTGGTCTCTGAAGCCGAGCTATCCATGATTACCCATCACCGCGGCATGTCGATGGTAGGATCTAGGTTGTGATTCCCAGATTGCACCTCCTTTACAGAGAGACTTGACGTCAACCACTGCAGGTCAGCCACTGATCCATACAACCCAGGACAACTGTACGTTGTACACCACCGCCGACGAGTGATCTCTGCATGTTCCCGACCCCCTTGATCCTTCCTGCAGTTCGTTCCAATCCTGACCGATGATAACCGTCAAGCAAGCCGGTAAAGGTACACGGTGAAGTGGTTGAGCTGTATTAGGCCGGACATCGAGGTCGCTTCGGTGGTCAAGCACGCACCGTTCGTTGCAGATGATTGGTGCTGATTCTCTGGGTATTATGTGATCGGAGTTTCTCGAAAGAAAATAGGCGTCGCCGAAGAACAAACACGCCTGGTATCGAATGGCCTCTGTTGTCATCACAACCTGAATTAATGCCGTAGTCAAAAGACAGTGCCCGGAGCATGACTGGCGGCGACCGTTAAAATGGCGTCTTCGACATGGCCAATTGCGTGACGACCTGGTTACCTAAGACCGAACGATCGAAAAAATAACTACACCACTGGCATTGTATCTCATTTCTTATTGCTGCCACTGTCCTGGGAGTATTATGGTGGGTGTACGGTGTATCTTTGAGACTTCCAGAGATAGACCTGGCGGATTCTACAATCCAGAACCTGTGCCTCGGGCTGAAAGTAATTGCCTATAACTTGAAGATGCTCGGAGGATCTGCACTATCCCGACTGGCGGCGTATCGCCTCCGAACCTCAGGCTGTGTATGCGATGGATCCTAGGAGCAGACTAACCACCGGCCTAGGCTTCCGATGTGGATGATAAGGCGTCAGGCGACAGGGCAATACCAACAGATGTGCTTATCACCAACGAAACTTACCCAGGTATTCAGTCGCCAACATCGTTATGATCAATACAAAGCGGACACGGCAAGCGCCTTTACCTTCTCACTGGCAAGCAGACACGCCCTGTCAGCCATTGCAGTGGACCGAGGAAGGCGCTCGCAGAATTGCGACAAGGCCCGTATCCATTGCAAAGCAATACAACAGAATCTCATTCCTCTTCCACAACTATGACGATAATGCACAAGTCCTAAAACAGCCCGTCACCGCCCCTGCATTAGTTTCGCCAACATTATTGGCATCCTTATCTTCCTATTCACGCAGCTGCTCTAGACACAGCTCCAAATATTCGACCTCTCTGGCCGCATTTCCCGCATCTCCCATAGGAAGTGCCTCTTCCTCGAGCGAACGAATCCGTTTGCGTAGGACATACAACAATCACTCCGTGCAGTCACTTCGAGAGGGACCAACGGCCCTTGCAGGATCCGCCGTACTTTGGGCCCCATCACGGCAATGAAGTCCTGCCTCTTCATGCGTGCGCTTATTTATAAGTAGTGTCCCTCAACCCGTCATCTCAACAACGAACTCGACAAGCTAGGAACACCTGATGAGGCCCTCCGGCATTGAAGAGGGTCGTACGTATTGTATGGTCTTGAAGCGCACATCTTGGAGCGATTCGAACCACACCGACCAGTAGGTGAAAAGCAAGCCTTCAAACATTGGTAGATGGCGAAGCGCCAACAGCCGCCTTGTCTGCCGGTCGACAGGGCGAAGGAGATGGGAGTGGAGCAACACCTCTCCAGCGCGCCAGCGCCGCACGTGCTTCCTCCGCCCAGAGACGGAGCGCCGTGTCCCGTGCTCTCTCGGGAAGCAGTTTTCACAAGTGATGTGGACACGCCGATAAAATTCAAGCACCTGCCTCAGGAGGCACGGAGGCTTGTTCCAACCCAGGCAGCCCAATACCAACTGCTGTGGTAGTCGCGACAAGGCGATAGTAGTGGCCGCTCCCGACCAGACTTGTGCCCACGCGCTATCGATTGTCAAGATCTTCAATGCAGAGACGTAGCCAACACCGTTGACGGTGCTAGACCTAGTGGCCGGCATAATAGAGTCGTGTTAATCGACCGTCACAGAATGCTAGTACTTACCAGCTCAATATCAGATGCATCTAGAGCCCGTGACAGTATGCTTTGGTGCCATATCGTTGACCCTAATACCATCCGCTTGATGGCCAGCTTATCTGACCGGATCATGTCGTTGCCTGCTGCAAGATACAAAAGTGCAATTTGCAAGTGGTGATGACGATGATAGTTTTCGGCGCCTCAGGTAACAATAGGCTGGCTAGTCGAAGGGATGCGCGATGGATCCTCACCAGATCTGCTCTCCGAGACAGCAGGCGTAGTGCACTAGCACGATTGTTGTCTTGAGTCGGCGGCATTTTGCTCGATTCTCTTGAGTGTGAGCAACGCAGTGAATAATCTTTTATTGCAGTGGCGAAGCCGTTCAACGGAAAAAGCTGGGTAGATCCATCAGGACCGGGAGAGCGGCAACCACCCGGAGCGCCCTCATCGGCAAGTGTCTTAGCCATGCTGCTTTCACTGTATACAACATTGTACAGCCATATACACCGCTAACAGCCCGAAGATATAGCAGGAACCGACAGATATATGCTGACCAAGTAACCATTCACCTTTGGGCCCCTTCAATCCTATATCTGGTGTTTTTCTTGCCTAGCAGTCGGAATGGGACGGAACGGAAGTTCAGTTCGCGGCTGTGTTCGTGGAATGTGAGTGGACTGGAACTCGCTTTCCCGACGGCTGGGAGACGGACACTTGGTGGCGCCCGTTGGTGGACGATCGTTCGATGGTGGTTTGCCAATAGCGCGCCCTAGGGAGATGGTAAATTTGGCTTCTGGCACAACTGAGACCATGGCATTTTGGTCAGGCGAGGTCTCTGGTTGAGCACGAGCGTGGGCCGTGGGTACTTGTGACAAGACGCGTTTCCGTGTTAGTGTATCTCGCCTGTCCGCATCAGCGGCGCCCTAAGCCAACGCCCTCCATCAGTCACAAGGAAGAGGCATTCGGAGTCACAGCCGAACATCTGACGGCTGCCCAGGGATATGGACTGACTGCCAAAAAACGATATTATGCGGCTACGCCGGAGACAGAAAGCTGGAAAGGCTCGCGCATGGAATGTTGAGGAGGGCTCCCTATTAGGCCGTGTCTGTAGATCTTAAGCTGCGGGAAGCGTCAAGAGTGGGCTTGGAAACTGGATCCCGGCAGATTCTCTACCAAACCAAACCACAGGAACCGTCAACCAGGCAAAATACCTCCCGCAGCCTGCCGCTGGCGTGTCTTCTAGGTTTTTGTCACTCCCAGAGACCACTCAAGGACTGTACACAATCATGCCAGACGGTCATCTGGCACCTACTACTGCCAACGACCTAGATCCTCCTGAGGCACAATCATGAATATCATTATCCGTCCTGCGATTCTTATTCACCGTCCATTCTCTGACCCTGTTTCCGCCACTGGTCACAACCTTGGAGCAGATATGACCGCCTTGCCCTGTATCCTTAGTCACCGTCAACAATGAATACGCAATCTAGCCTTTCTCCCTTTGCATGTTTCTGACTTCTTGTACTATCGGACCGCCTTCCTCATCTGTCTGAGCGCGCTCCCAGCACGAATTACGACTCTCACTGTGGTACCAATCCACGTCTTTCCAATCATCTGGCGTGGTACAGGAGTGGTGCCCGACACCCTACTTGTGCTCCTCGAGTTTCGATGCCATGGTCATGAGAGATGGCCGGTCCTCTCCCACGTCAAGGTCACCCGTCGTCCCTATTGTTGACGGATGCAGCGATGTCGACGACGCACCCCGGAAACCATCGCACATCGATGTCCCCAAGTCTACAGTAACCACCGAAGTCGCCCTCGCCGCCCTTTCGACCCTTCCCACTCCACTCCTTGTTCTCTCCTCTCTCAAAACTGTTCTGCTTGCCAATTCGGCTGTGGGGAGATTGTTTGGAGTCAATCAAGATGAAGACCAGGTGTCAGCGACGGAACTGCTAAGAGGCCAGGCGCTTTCCCAGATTGGCGTTGATATGGTCTCGGAAGGTGTGCCTATCTGGGTGGACTGGGACAAATTCCTCGACAATCTTGCAGATGGTCTGCAACCAGACCGGAATCGCACCTCCCCAGGAACTGAACATGTGACCGAGACAGCAAGTGGTGAGACCACGCCGACAAGCTCAACATACTCGACCGGGGATTCCTCACCATTGCGAAACAGGGCACAGAAATGTGCGGACACGGTGGTCGACGTCGTTATCTCGTCCAACCACACGACTTCCCGGCAACAGAACCTGACTGAGAGGCAGAGGAACCCCCGAGGCGGGCGTGTCCAAGCAACATGCCGAATGATCATCAGTATCTGGATGCTGGATGGACAGCGCTTCTTCACATTGACCTTCACCAGTTCATCGCCACGCCCCTCCTCCAAGCATCACCCGCACCAGCAAGCAGCACATCGTAACCCTTCTTCAAACTCTACCCGCTCATCCCGTTCGTCTCGTTCATATACTCCTGCTTCTTCGGCTGCTACGTCGGCGGTTGTCACGCCCCGCGAAAATGCAAACCCAGCTGCATTCCCACCTACCCGTGCGCCTGGTAGCTGTGTGGCTTCACCCACAATGACGGACCTCCATAAGGTGGTCAAGATGAAGGAGGCGATGTTGAGCGCGATTGAGATCCCTCTAATCGCCATGTGGAGGGACGAAAGCGTGGTTTACCCCAATCTGGCAGCTCGCCGGCTCTTAGCTGTTGACACCGACCCAATGTCCGGAGAGTCTTACGACTTTATATCCAGGTTCCGTCCTTGGTCGACAGATTTCTCCCGTGAGCTTGAAGAAATCGACAATCCCATCATCGCTCTTTGCCGCAATCAACAGGCCTTTACTAGCTGGCAGATTGGTATGGTAAATGACCTCACTGGACAGAAATCCATATTCGATGTCAGCGGTCATCCCGTCTTCGACGAGAGATCTGGCGAGTTCCTCGCAGGTATGATCGCCTTTAAAGATGTCACTTTGTATACCGACAAGATTGCCCTGCAAATTGCTGAAAAGGAGGAGCAATTCCGTTTGATCTGTGATATGATGCCGCAGATGTGTTGGACAACCTCTCCTGAGGGCAAGATTGACTACTTTTCTAAGAGGTGGTATGAGTACACCGGACTCACCACTGCCCAGTCCCTGGGACATGGCTGGAAATTACCTTTTCACGAGGAAGATATGCCCGACACCCTGCGCAAATGGAAGCACTCCCTGGAGACCGGAGATGAATACAAGACTCAGTACCGGTGCAGGAGGTACGATGGCGAATGGCGGTGGATGCTGGGCCGTGCCCTACCGTTGCGAGATGCGAGATCAGGGAAGATATTGAAATGGTTCGGAAGCTGCACTGATATTCAAGATGTGGTTGACGCAAAGCTCGCGGGCCACAGAGACCGCCAGAACCTCAAAGACTTATTGAAACACTCTCATATGACCTTGTGGATTGTTGACCGACAAGAGAACGTCACGTTCTTCGAGGGCACCTTTCTCGCAGAGGATCAACTTCACGAGAACGCGATTGGAAAGTCCATTTACGACCTGCTGGCAAAACACCTTAATCCAGATTGTGTGGACTGTTTCCGTGACGCCGTCAAGCGTACTCTCAGTGGCGAATCTGATCTAGAAGTGTGTGAGAACGAGGTCAATTCACGGTGGTTTCGTTCCAAAATGGTTCCTCTCAAGGGTAAGCGTGGGCCGAATGGCGTGGAAGACGAGCACTACATTGGCGGTGTTATTGGAATCGCCACCGAAGTCACACAACTACGACATAAGGAGCAAGAAAACATCCAGCTACTGGCAAATGAACGAGCAGCCAAAGAGGCGAGTAAGATGAAGAGCAATTTTCTGGCCAACATGTCCCACGAAATCCGGACACCCATCGCAGGTGTACTCGGTATGTCCGACTTGCTCATGGATACGGCGTTGGACGAGGAACAGAGTGAGTTTGCTCAGAACATCCAACGGTCCGCCAATTCTCTCTTGACGGTAATCAACGATATTCTCGATTTCTCCAAGATCGAATCAGGTCGGCTCGACATTGAGGAGGTTCAGTTCAGCCTCAATGTTGTCCTTGAAGATGTATCCAAAATGCTCTTATATGCAGCCCAGCGGAAAGGCCTGGAATTCTGCAGCGACATTCGGCTTGGGTCTTCGCCCGATCTCGCTTTGCTCGGAGACCCCGGCCGTATTCGGCAGATTCTCACAAATCTGTTGACGAACAGCATCAAGTTTACATCTGACGGATATGTCAAATTGGGCGCTTGCATAACCAGCGAAACCTCTGATAGCATCACTGTTGAGTTCTCCGTTGAGGACAGCGGCATCGGTATCGAAGAGGAGGTCAAGAAGCGGCTGTTCAGCCCCTTCAGTCAAGCAGACTCCAGCACAGCGAGACGATTTGGCGGCACTGGCTTGGGCTTGACAATCTGCAAAAATCTTGTTGCTTTGATGCACGGGACTATCAGCCTCGAATCAAAGCTGGACGCCGGTACCAAGGCTACTTTCGTCATTCCCTTCAAGAAGCCTGAATATCAGAACACTGCCTCCCCGACCCTTCTAGATGTGGGGATGATGCCCGACAGACTGCAGTCCGAACTGTCTCTTTCCATGGGTACTTCCTCGAAAGAGGTGAAACGGAGGTCCCAGAGGCTCTCTCCACCTATCAAGCTGCCCAGTCCTCCGAGCGTGACGGGAGGCAGTTCCCCAGCTCTGGTGCCGTCCTCCGCCACTGAAACATCCATGTCTGATGTACAGCGAGGCCAATACCATATTCTTGTCGTTGAAGGTGCGTACATTCGCCCCTGGAATTCCCAGTGTATAGACTAATGAATTTAGACAACCCGGTCAATCAACAAATCGCTCTCAGGTTCATTAAAGCCCTGGGATTCTCCGCCAGTGCCGTCTGGAACGGGAAGGAGGCACTAGAGTACCTTCTGAAAGCCACCTCTTCAGACATGACCTCTGAACAAGCTCAGGCGTATCCGATGCCCTCCTTGATCCTGATGGATGTGCAAATGCCTGTCCTGGACGGGTACCGCACCACTCATATGATGAGATACCATGCACCCTTCACAAGCATCCCGGTTATTTCGAGGATTCCGGTTGTGGCAATGACTGCTTCTGCCATTCATGGCGATCGGGAAAAATGCGAAAAGGCCGGAATGGACGACTACATGGCGAAGCCGGTGAAGAGAACGCTGCTTGAACAAAAGATCATGAAGTGGATCTATACGGGTCGGGATAGCAATGCGAGCGACGAGAAGGCGGAAACGACCGCGGGTCCGTCGATACGGTCTACCACCCGAGCTTGCACCGACAATTCCTCGACTTGTACAGAGCATGACGCAATCATGTCCGCCCTTTTCAAGCTCGAGTCCGAACAACAAATCCAAGATGTCTCCAATGCCCCAAGTAGGGCTGCTGAGCCAGGAACCGGCTTTGCCGCCCGTCGTTCGAATCTGTCACGGAAGATCCTTGATACAGAAATTCCAGGCGCAGAGACGGAAGCCGATCGGGCAATGCGGCGGTCACAGGCAGAAGACAAAGCAAGAGATCTCCGCAATGCCAAGCTGATGTCTGCCACAGTTGCGGATCGTGCTGCGCGAAGTCACATTGCCCCAGCAGTTGTTGTAGGTGACAATTACCTGCTCGAGGCTCCGATTACGCGGGAAGGTGGCGCCTACCGTGGGGACACGTCGGAAGGAAAGAGTCCTTCCAGAATGGCATTGACAGAGGCCAACGTCTCCCTGCTCAATTACAGTCAGGACACGGACCATTGGGTGTTACGCACGCGCTCTAGAAGTGGCGAGACTGACGACCCGAACATCGGCGACATCCCTGGACCTCCGCCAGAAGGGGTCCTCGCGGTGGATGATCCTGATGAGGTTGGCGCCCATGCGGAAGCACTTGTCCAAGTGCTTTTGCAGCAAGCACATCATCAGAACGAGACTCCTGTTGCTCCGAAACATCCTGACGATGATACTGACAGATCACCGCGGACTAGCCGTCAAGAGATAGGCGGCCTGAGGCGAGACCACCGAAAAAGCAGCGACTGGAGCACGACCACCGCGAAGAGGCTCAATCCAGAATGAACATTTGGCATCCGAGGTCCTGCTCTTCTGATGTATGGGGAACAGCCTTCGCTCTGACATTGCATGATCACGACTCTTTGTGTTCTCGAAAAGCCCAGGACGAGTGTCAGGGGGCTACATGCTTTTCCTTACTTCCGCCTACTTCAAGTAGACGAAACAGGATGAGACACACGACCACGATACGACGGCTCTAGATGCATTTACGGCTGGTTGAAGAGGCCCCGACCAAACAGGGGGTGATTTTTGGACGTTTGTGCAGGGCATTGTGGTTACAGGGAATGGAGCGGTTTGCTTTGGGATTATAGAATGCATTGTACATGACGGAAATCACGACTTCGGTTCGGGGCAGCATGATTCTGTACAACTTGCGACCTTGAGGTAGTAGCGGTGGTGTGTCCCTACCTGAGAGGTACTTATACCCCTTTAGTTATTGTACCATCATTCCCAGGCCACCGATACTAAACCTCTGCTATATCGAACTATTCCTCACCTATAACGACGTTGTACATTGTCTCCAGATGTCACTGCACAGCCTGTAGATTAATAATGCTGCTGGTAGGTGACAAGAAACATCCTAGGGCGGATTCCGGCAACCCAGTTGGTGGCTGGCTGGGTAGGGAGCCCGAAAAACATGAATCTCAGGTATATGTAAAATGCTCAGAAGTGCCCTGGTCGGTGATGTTGGTGGCTGGCACCCCGCCATAATCGAAAAGAGAAGAGTCTGACAGTACAAGCTAACCCCGCCTGCGGCCATTTACGGAGAAGGAGCTCACCCGCTTTCTGTCAGACCATAAACGTTCCTCGCGGCCCGCCATCAACATTGTTATTCCTCTGCGAGTGCGACGGCCTGGCTATATCTCACTCTTTCTACTATTAGGGACTGTACCTTGTACCCAGGTACTTTTTAGGTACCCCCAGAACTGATTGCCGCTGTTGATAGTCCCTGCAGGGCTTTCTCAGCCTTGCCTGGGCTCGTATCATTCCAAGTGCCTCACTCACTGCAGGCTGCGCTCTGGACTGGCGCGTCGGGTGACTTTGGCTGGTGACTTTGGCTCCCTCCCAGGCCGCAGCGCTGCTGTTGCCTATCGCCGTATCCAGACCACTGGATCGCTGTGCCATCCCGCTGCGCCCTTTGGTTCAGGTTGCAGTTCCTCCTCAACCAGAAAACTTGAACTGCTCCTGTCCAGTCGACCGTGGCTTCTATTGCGGCTTCGCGCATCCTGCCACCTGAACCTCAAGTGTTGCTAGCACCTTCACCAGTCACTGACGCCTGTGAAACACAGCCTCATCACTTCTGCTTGCGAACCCTTTCAGGCCTCAAACTTTTCAAACAATGTCTCTTTCTTTCACAAGCCTACTAATATCCGACTGCGTCCCTGCTGTTGGCTTCTCTTTCCCCGTTCATGAAGTAGTTTCCACCATCCAGCCTACAGCATGTCGAACCAGACCATCCTGAGGATATCAAGAGTGAGAGATAGTGGTTTGTTGCAATAGAAATGAAATGCTGATGGACAACATAGGAGATCACTCAGATCCAACAAGGCAGTGACCTCTGTTAGTTACCGTACTGTTCCCTTCCCCGTGGTAGCGTCTAACATTCGAACAGCCATCGCAGTCGCTTGCCAGGAACAAGACGTCCGTCGAGTGAAAGCCCTTATTATCGGCCCGCACGGCACACCGTACGAGTATGGCTTCTTTGAGTTCTCCATCACCTTTGGGTCAGAATACCCAAGCAAGCCGCCAAAAGTCGAGGCGAAAACCACAAATGGAGGCAGGACACGATTCAACCCAAACATTTACGCAGGAGGGAAAGTCTGCCTATCAATCTTAGGGACGTGGCATGGAGAGAGGCCTGGCGAAGAGTGGTCGTCCGCGCAGGGACTGGAGTCAATATTATGGTCCATACAAAGTCTGATGTCGAACAATCCCTACGAAAATGAGCCTGGCTACGAGAACGCCAAGGGGACCGAAGATAACAAGATGAACGACCTCTATTGTGCAAAGGTGGGTCGACAAGTGTGGCGCGACTCGTTGGTTGATGTGCTGATTTCTTTTAGATCCGACATGAGACCCTCCGCGTTGCTGTCATCCAAAAACTCGAGGACGCCCTGGGTATTCAGGCAGATGGTTCGGTGGCCACCGACAAATCTCCGCGATGGGCCACTGGGGAGGGTGCAGACGGATGCGGAGACAATAAAGAGACACCTGCACTGAAGCTCAGGTTCGAACCATTCAAAGACCTGTTCAAGCGGAGATTTCTTTGGTACTATGAGCACTACATGACGACCGTCTCTGTCAACAGCCCAAAGCAGAAAGACGGCTCAGACTTTACCAAGATGCCCTTCGAAGGTGGTGGTAATACCATGGATGGTAAGTTTCGATACTCCGACCTTGGTAAGCGACTCGTTCGCATCAAGGAAGTACTACGCGATGAGACCGCAGCCTGGGCCGCTGAAGGCTTAGCCATGAGTCAACGCGAGGCGTCGAAGGCGGCCCATGTCCGGCGACAGTGCGAGCAACTGGGCGAGTATTTGAAGCAGAAGAAGTGCCACAACATCTCGGTTGAGTTGGAGAACAACAATCCTTATGTCTGGTTGATGACATACTTTGGTAAACCCATGACTCACCTTGACGGCGGGATCTTCAAGATCAGACTGAGCATCAGTCCTCGCTTCCCTGATGAACAGCCCCGTGTCAAGGTCGAAACACCCATCTATCATCACCGAGTTTCTAACGATGGCGTATTATGCTATTTTCCCAAGCGCCCCGATGAGCTGCGAAATCACATCGAGGCCATCGCTGAAGCGCTGGAAGAAGAGTCACCTCCCTACGACCCGCGAACCATTGTCCATCCCGAGGCCACAAAGCTGCTCTGGGGCTCGGAAGCGGACAAGAAGAGGTATTATCGCCAGCTCCGGAGGTCAGCTCAGCGAACGACCGAAGACCCGTTGTAGCATGACGTCTTGAAAACGGGACAGCTTGCATGCCTGCAGAGACGAAGATGTATTGCCAAATGGCGAGCGACATGGCCGGCACTGAGTAAGCCGGGAGACCCACGCTTCGCGGCGAGAAAGGACGAGACTGCTTGATAGAAGGATATGAACCAGTCCCAGCATGAGCAAGGAGCATGAAAAGCATATCCAAGGTGAAGCCGCTTGCAATATGGGCTCCCATATCTACCTAGGTACGCATGCCAGCAGCAGTTCATTTGCTTTGTGTGGCTGGATAGTCCTAGAACAGCGGCTTGTGTCAGATGCAGTCTTGTACTTGATGAATTCATACAGTGGTCTTCAGAACATTGATGCCTGGTTGTAGTATTTCTGGTCGTTTTAATTCTAAAGTACATTCCTGTCAATTTGGATGTCCAGCCTCGCACTAAAGATCCCCATAATTTCCGTCTCGCACGCCACAGGGATTCAGCATGTTCCGGACCGGTTCCACTGTAGCGACTGGCGTCCTCGTAGAAACTGGAACTACAGTACACTGTGTAGTACCTTTGCCAGCACATCCCTCGGTCAGTCGGCGTGTGCAGTTGTCATTCTTTGATTTCGTGCTCACTTGAAGTCAGAATCCGCCGGAGAAATGGCGGAGAGTCGCGTGTCGCCCAAGTCCTACGGCACAGTCCTCGTCATTGGAGGCTGCGGATTCCTGGGTTCGCGCGTTGTCGACCAGCTTCTCAACTTCCCGTCCGAGCAGCAGGGCCAGAATGAATCGCCCGGAGGTTCAAGTTTAGGCAGAGAGACTCAGAAGCACAGCTACGAGCTGCACAACCCTGCCACCTCCGACATCACCTCAGTTACATTCCCTAGCTTGCGTTCACGATATCCTCCCATTTCCCCTACCGGCACTCGAGTCCACGCCCTCGACCTGCGCTGTACGCAGAATCTCTTCTCCGGCTGCACATACCATGAAGCGGACATTACGAATTCCGAAGCCCTCCTCAACGTTTTCCGCAAGGTCAAGCCCGACGTGGTGATCAATACGGCCTCGCCATCATGGGAGGCGCCGCCCGAGGTTCTGCGGAAGGTGAACATTGACGGAACACGGACGCTGCTGGAAGTTGCTGGTGGGAAGCTGGGCGACTGGGGCGGTAAATGCAAAGTGTTTTCACACACGAGCAGTTCGAGCGTGGTCCATGATGGGGATTCGGACCTGATCAATGCCGACGAGCGATATCCCTACGTCTGCCCGAACCCGCGCGAATACTACTCGGAAACCAAAGTCTATGCCGAAAAACTGGCCTTGGAAGCCAACGACAAGCCGGAGTACGGAAACATGTTGACCTGCGCCGTGCGCCCTGCCGGCATCGTGGGTGAAGGTGACAGAGGAGGGTTCAGTGGTGCCATCTTACGGACCGCAAGCGTCGCGCCCGCATGGCAATTGCACATTCAACTCGGGACCGGGAACAATCTATTCGACAATACCTATGTGCACAATGTGGTCTACGGCCTTCTCTGCGCCACGGATGCCCTGCTCGCCACCAACGCACGCCGCCGGTCCGGCTTGGCCGTGGAGCTCGATCATGAACGGGTCGACGGCGAGGCTTTCAACGTGACCAACGAGCAGCCAGCGTATTTTTGGGACTCGTCGCGCTACCTCTACAGCCGCTACGGTCGGAACATTGACATCGACAAGATCTGGGCCATACCGACGGGCCTGGCTTACGCCGTGGGCGCCGCCGCCGAGACATTCAACTGGCTCACCGGCCGCAAGGGAAAGCTCAATCGGCAAACGGTCAAATATGCTTGCATCCACCGATTCTATTCCTGCGACAAATTGAGGCGCCGGACGGGATACAAACCCATCGTTCCTATCGATGAAGGCTTCGCCCGCGCGGTCAAATGGTACAAACTCGACGAAGAACAGTCGCGCCAGACCGAGGGTCAAAAGAAAGTGCAATAAATGGACCATCGAACATCCTACAGTCAGCAAAAGGCGCCGAGACATCGATGAGCGGATGCCTTGGATTACTGTGCGCGTGTGGAGACGTTGAGCACCATGCAGTATACGCTAACTCCTGAATACCAAGCATGCCACACGTGAGATTAAGGGGGCCCTGTATTGAGCTTTTGCGATTTGATGCAATTACTAGCATCGAGGCACAAGCTTGAAGCGGACAAGCCATGGCGCTGTCAATGTTGGGCTCGAATAGACTCGCCTCTTGGACCGGAAGGAGTTGAGCTCTGCGTGTCCACGCGACAACTTCACATTCAGCACCAAGACTCTCGTCAATGCAGCCCTGTATTTTCAGAGCCCCTGCAACAAGGGGTCATCCATAGTTATGCCGAACATGGTCTCGGGAAAAAGCCGTCCAAAGTGATGCCTACCTACCTACCTAGGTAGGTATATGAGCGGTGTGCAAGGCGGCCCAGATGACATCTGGCACGGGAAGTCGGCGGCGGAGACGATCACCCAATAAAAGAACAAGGTCCTGCTCCCAGAGAAACAAATGTATCTTTTCATCTCTGAGCGGCACAAAAAGATTACAAATACAAGTGCAAGAACTGTGTGCCTGTCGGTGAGTTGTACTAGTATCACCCAAGGGTCAGGATTGGAGGCTGAGAGGAAATATGCTTCCAAGATGCGAACGCTCTTTTAGAAATTCCAGCCAATGTCTCGCCTCTTTTCTTTCCCTCGTCCCTTGTGAGAATCTTATGCAGGTTTCACCTTCAAGCGGCGCTGTTGTGTTGTGTTCATGGTTCAAGACCCCGAGTTATTTCCACTTTGAAAGCGCTTTCGCCCACGCAAATAGGTGTACGCAGGCAGTTCTTGGTCAGGATAACACCGGTGCCCATGCATTTTCTTGAAAGTGCTTGGTCAAGTAGTACCATGCCAGTGTACCTTACTCCGACCACCCTCCAGTATCATGTTGATCTTTGAAAACCAACCTTTTATATCTTTGCGCGAACGGGTGAAGGTCACAGCGGAAAACCATAGAACAATGATGTGGCCCCTCCTAACCACCTACAGGTAGTTAGCGTATTACTATTGCCGGAGGTGCCATGCCGCGAGCTTGTCTTGCATGAAGGATGACACTTCACACGCAGTAGCGCTGTCTTGAACTGGTGTAGTGATTGGCGCCCTCCTTCGCGTCGAGCGGATGGGTCAGCTGAGATTCGAAAACACCAAAATGTTTTTCCGCAGAGTGAGGATTGTCGTTTTGGAAAAGAGTTCTGTGGCCCCCGGCAATGAGGAACTCTGGGCGGTTGAAATGATGAGAGAGACCTAGAATAGTGTCGCAGCATCACGATCAGAGATGGTGGATCGTCCTGCTGCTGCAAGGTTGTCCACACAAGTCTTGCAGTGCAGCTGATCAATAATGCGAGAGCCAAGGTCTCATTGGACATGGCACTGCCAACCCTTCGTTTCACCTCACTGCAGTTTGGGCGTTCAAAGCGCCAATTCCCTGCGCCCAGGTTGATCCGTGGCCAAAGCGTTGCGACTACCGCACTGCTCGACCAGTTGAGGCTGTAGATGGTTGTTTCTGATAGATAGCACGATTGCTTTCAAAGGAGCCGTGGAGGAACATGATACTTGGAAATCCCGCAAGGAGGGAGGTGACCCATGACAGTCGCGGCCTTACTAGGGCTCTGACTTGCCGGGGCACCGGTAATGCAGATGCAGATTATTGTTCTGTAACCGAATAACTGTCAACAAACAGGTGGAGGAGGGTATGATGTTAGACTGTCCTCTGGGTTCCTTCGCACATTTCCATCTTCGCGTGCAGTGCCGGGAAGATGGACAACTTGACTGGATAATCCGGCTAAACCAGGATGGGAATATGGTTGCTTCTTTTTTCTTTTTCGTCTTCCCCTGTTCTCCTGAGGAAGGCAGCTTTCGGAGCAAGATGAAATCATTAGTGGGATCAAGCCTAATGGGCTCGTCCGCGGCAACCGTGTCGTCGGACCCGAGTTTGGATATAGACAGTAGTAGGAGGTCCCGACGATAGAGTGGCCGTTACTGGACCGACGGGAGAGAGTATAGCCCAGGGCTAATGAAGTCGCGAGCTGCAGTAGCAGAGCGCCTAAAAAATAAACTGTAAAGGCATCGAGCAGGGATGGACTTCAAGGGGAGGCGGATGATTAGTAGTAGTGCCAATGCCTACACTGCATTGTATGTGACCTAGGTAGGTGTACCTTAGAATACCTTACTCTTTGGATTTCTGGGAGCCAGATGCCACTGGTTAGCAGTTTCAGTGATGTTGTTCTCTTCTGTTTTTCGGTTGCAAGTCGTGCCTCGAAGACTCGGACCATCTGAAGAGAACAAAAGGTCAACTTGAACATGGTGCCCCTTGTTGAAACACCAGCAGAAAGACTTCCTCTCTGCCCCACCAACTGCGGCAGGCACAGATACCACACGCGGTAGGCAATGTTAGGTACCTAAGATTATTATTAGTAGTGGTTGCTGGCGGTGGTGTGCCCCGGACAGTTTCTCCCTGCCAATGCCAGAGCCAGCTGAGCGTGCCGTGTAAAATAAAAATAAGGTAATAATAATGCGGCTTGCAATTGCTGGCCTGCCGCTACCAGGATGTTGGCAGCACTCATGCGAACAGTGTTCACAGTTCATGCTATACAATTGCATTGCCAGGGCAGTGGTAGTACTACGAGCAGCAGTAGTTTGGTAGTCTGATTGTTTCTCATCGAATAGAGCCAGTGGGCTGTTTGTTCTCTTTCCAGTAGCACAGGGTCCGTAACTTGAAGGGTACCGTATGTCCACTCGCTCACCGGCACTGCGTTACTGCTAGCACCAGTCCAGTACTGCTAGCATTATTGCGCTGCATGGCACTGCGCTACCCAGTACTACGAACTTGGACCACTCGCCTGCATACTCGTTATACACTCCTCCTCCCAAACCGAATGCCCGCAGTCGTCCACTACCAACGACCAGTTTCTTCCTTCTCCTGGCAGTTTTGCTGACCTGATGTAGGCTGTGAGGCCCTTTGTTCGCAGTGTGAGAGGACGACAAGGCCGGACCACGCTTCTTTCGCGTCAGACGCCACCCCTCCTGCTGTCTTTCATCCCTTTGCGGTTCCACACCTACAACCCTCGACAAGAGCAGCGTCACTGATCTCTCGCCCTCAGTGAAATCCCCTCCGCTACCAACCCGAGTTTATCTTTCCTGCGGTATGGAAATGTCAAGCTAGCAGAGGCCTCTGGACCACCCGGGCGGGTTGATAGTCTTGGGACGCATCCCGGTCCTCCGCGACAACTCACCTCGCTCCATCGAACCGCCAACACGTCCTAAAAGAAGCACAAGTAATGGCAGAGGATGGCTCTACAGGACAGTTTTTGCAGCCGCCTGCAATTGCTGCTCTCAAGGGCGAAGTTGGGTTTGGCAATGACATGACTCGCCATGCTATGGAGAGGTCATTCAGCCAGGACATACAAGAGGGTACCCAGGAGCTGAAAGAGGCGGCGGAGCAGACACGCAACATCATTCTTGACCTCAGCCTCGATGGCCATGTACGATGGGTCAGCCCCTCCTGGACCGACGTGGTCGGCACGGAGCTGGACGCTGTCCGCGGACACAAAATCTCGGAATTCGTCAGCGATAATCCCGATGTGTTTGACTCGGCAATAGAGGCCTTGAAGAGCAATTACTCCAAAAGCCAAATAGTCAAGTTTTCTGTGAGGATCGCCACCTCTTCGGACATGGCACCCATGCTTCCGACTGAGGACGGGGAAGAACCTGGAGAAGATAATGTCGAAACCGATGATGCCGGAAAAGCAACCCTTGAGCTAGAAGGCCAGGGTATCATGGTATACGACCGCACCTCCGGCGGAGAGTCTCATACCATGTGGATGTTGCAGCCAGCTACTAAGCCTATTCGCATTGAAATCGCGCTTCCACAAGCATTGGTCGAAACGCTTGGGTTTGGCGCCGAGATACTTGCCAAATACCTCACTGAGCTTGCAGAGGCGGGTGCTAACGACCCAGAGAACCATCCTCCGCCGTTGCCAATCCTCTGTCGAGTCTGTGAGCGTTCCATAGTGCCGTGGTGGTTCGAAAAGCATTCGGATTTGTGTGTGCAGGAGCACAAGGCCGAGATGGATGTTCAGATGATACAGGAGAACCTTGCGGAACATCGTCACGCCATTGTCAAGATTCTGGATGCATTCGAAGCTCGCCAAGGAAGACCTTCTGGTATCGACACTCCTTCAACTTCTACTCCGGCTATAGAGTACAAAGGCCTGCCAATCGGGCCGTCCCCGACCCCAGCATCTGCCGTGTCCTCGGCTTCAGCATCTCATGCCGCCAGCCCTGTGAGATCCAGAAGCCCATCCACTGCTGGGCTCGGCCATGCCCGCGCTCGGTCGTTTGTGGTTCGCAGACCACTTGTTCGTATCGTGGAGCTCATCCTTGATCTTTGTGACACCGCCCTCGAGATAAATGTACCGTCGTTTAAAGACAGCAAGAATGGTTCGGAAGACGACTTCAGTTCACAATCGCCGCACTCCGAATCAAAAATCTCTCAGATCAAGCAATGGCAGCCCCCAATCAGCCTGGAGAATGAGCCTGGATTAGCTGCTCTGAGCGCCGACACGGAAAGACTGGCTCGGGCAAAGGTCGACGCCGTGTACCGACATCAATACATCTTGGAATATGCGGAACGCATCCGCCAAGAGTATATGGCTGAAGTTGACGAATGTATCCGCGAAGCGCTGATCAAGGCCGAAAGAGCTGCAGCGGGCGAGGCGTTGTCGTCTAGTGAGAGCGATTTCGACGAAGAGACCGCCACGGAAGAAAACGTTGAAGCCCAAGGAGACACCGACGAATTCATTGACGAGTCCACTCCGCAAGCAGTTGAACCTCAGGATAGCCACAGTGGCTCGTATGTTGGCCTCAGGTCCATGGCCTCCGCCCTTAGACATCCCCGTGACATACCGAACGTTACAATGAGGAGTCAGAGGCGGTCGTCCTCCCAAGCAGTCTCTACAGGTTCGAACAGCCCAGTCGAGTGTCCTACACCCAAGTCATACAAGAGTACTCATGTGTCTCAACCACAACCAATTTCCGCCAGGCGACCAATATATGTCGAAGACGCCAATGACAGCGACAACAGCCTACCTTCATCCTCGATATTGTCCAACCATTGGCGTGCCGAGTCTCCTCTGTCGACGTCGGAGCATGGCCGCAAGGGAACTTCCCGTGATAGGAAAACGAGAAGTTTACACCTTAGTAATCTCAACTCAGCTTCTCCTCATCGCCAGCAGTCCCCTGTGAGGTACCCTCCGCCATCGTCGCCACTCCGCATGTCGAAGCCGAGGATTCCGAGTGGAGAACTCGCCCAGTCGCCTATCGTCTCGCCGTTGTTGACTACAGGAGAGTTTATGCCTCCCATGCATAGTCACCATGCTCACCGAAGGCAATCGTCCATGCACTCGTCCGACAAAGCGCCCTCGTCTCCAAGGCTGAACTCAATCAACCATCCCCAACAGCGTGCCCAGCCTCCATCGATCAAAGATTTCGAGGTGATCAAGCCCATCAGTAGAGGCGCTTTTGGTAGTGTCTACTTGGCCAAGAAGAAGATCACGGGTGAATATTTTGCCATCAAGGTTTTAAGGAAATCCGACATGGTTGCCAAAAATCAAGTGACCAACGTCAAGGCTGAACGTGCCATCATGATGTGGCAAGGCGAGAGTGATTTCGTTGCTAAACTATACTGGACCTTCTCGAGCAAAGACTACCTCTACTTGGTCATGGAATACCTCAATGGAGGGGATTGCGCCTCTCTCGTGAAGATCCTGGGTGGCTTGAGTGAAGATTGGGCAAAGAAATACATCGCCGAAGTCGTTCTCGGTGTTGAGCATTTGCACAGCCGAGGCATCGTCCACCGTGACCTTAAGCCGGACAATCTCTTGATTGACCACAAGGGCCATCTCAAGCTGACAGATTTTGGTCTTTCGCGCATGGGCTTGATCGGTCGACAGAAGCGTGCTCTCAAACAACCTGACGAACCTGCACCCGATTTGTTGAAGCAAGGACCCTTCACGCACACAGGTTCCGCCTCAGGTTCAGGTCCGACGTCAAGGTCTGCGTCCTTCGACTACCAAGGGCCACATTCACCTGCTCCGACCCCTCTGATGACACCAGCTCTAGCCGGTGGCCTCGACCAACCATCCTATTTCAGCTTGAACAGGGAAAGCTCCTTGAATCGGGAGCTCTATTGGAAAAGCCCTGGCGATCGTAGTGACAGTGGGTCCAGTTATGATTTGACACAATACTTCAAGAAGCTTGAGATCCAAGAATCCCCTGACGCTCCAACCCAGGCGACGCCTCGGGGAAGCGTTGTCGAAGATGATACACGCAGCCAAGGTAGCGAATCGCCCGATCTCTTCCCGCTGTCACAATCCATGAGCAACATCTCGCAACCTCCCCCAGCCCCTGCCACTTCTCAGGTGCTGCCACCCTTATTTGATCCCGAGGCCACTGATCGGCGCTTTGTCGGTACTCCCGATTACTTGGCACCAGAAACCATCAATGGTACTGGGCAGGACGAGATGTGCGATTGGTGGTCTCTGGGGTGCATCATGTTCGAATTCCTCTACGGATATCCGCCTTTTAATGCGGAGAGCACCGAGAAGGTGTTTGACAACATTCTCAACAGGAGGATTGCCTGGCCCGAGGATGATGAGGTGGAAGTTAGCCCCGAGGCAAAGGACCTTATCAATAAACTACTCCAATTGGACCCTAGAGAACGGCTTGGAGCCAACCTGGACGAGAAGTATCCCAGTGGCGGGCGTGAGATTCAAGCACACCCATGGTTCGCCGATATCAATTGGGATACATTGCTCGAGGATGAGGCTCAGTTCATTCCAAACCCCGAGCATCCCGAAGACACGGAGTACTTTGATGCCCGTGGAGCCACGCTGTCATCATTCCCGGAAGAGCTAGAGGATCAGCTTTCACCGGCAGTGCCTACTCCAAATGAAGCCGATTACGCCAATCGTCCACATGATGCGTTATTCCGTGTCAAATCTCAAGCTGGTTCAAGCAAACGGGGTCTGATGCCGCTGCACATTCCTCCTCACATTGTTCGTGACTCGCGCAGTCGAAGATTGAGTGAGCCGGTTCTCGCTGATGACTTCGGGAATTTCACGTTCAAAAACCTGCCTGTGTTGGAGAAAGCCAACAAAGACATTGTTGAAAAGATGAGGAGGGAAGCCATGCAGGCCCAAGCGCGGGGCTACTCGCATTCTCAGGCCATTTCTGCCGCCAACAGTCCGGCTGTAGGCTCTCCCGGTCCTTCGGTTGAAGGAAGTCCAATGATGCCAATGCCCGTCAAGCGCGCATTGTCAATCAGCAAAGGCCACAGGCCAGGATCTCCCTCGGGCCTGGCGACCTCGAATTCCTCGCCGAGCAGACCGTCTCAGCCTTCTTCTCCCTTGCTAGTCCAGTTCTCCACCGCCCAACACCACGAAAGAAGGAAGACTTCCGGCTCGTCGCAAGGAAGCAGTTCGCTTGTGCCCGGGAGTTTCTTCGACATCCCTCCCGAATCCATCAAGCAAGGCCCTTCTACTTCTTCTTCCCCTGGTAAACCTTTCCGAATGCCTGCACTGTCTCCCGCAAAGGCCATGACAGCGCCCCAACGGCAGACGAGCTTACATGGTCGGACCCGTTCTCAAACGGTTGGATCACAGGAAAGTGACGGTCAAACTCCCCGGGAGGGCTTTATTCCTGGCCATCACAAACGCAGAAGTCAGCTGCTGGTACGGGATATTTCACCTTCATCATCCGATAACGAGTCAGCTCATGCCAAGGCACTACTCAAAGTCCAGCGTCGGAGACAGAGCTCAAGGAGGTTGTCACAGATCAACTTCCTGGACGGTCCAATGTATCGACCCTTGGACGTGTTGATTTGTGAAGACCACCCGGTGTCTCGCATGGTGATGGAGAGGCTGTTTGAGAAACTCCGTTGTCGCACAGTGACGGCGAGCAACGGCCCTGATGCACTTCGGTTAGCAGTCAGTCAGATCCAGTTTGACATCATCTTCATGGAGTTCAAGCTGCCGCTCATCAACGGCGTGGATGTTGCAAGGATGATCCGAGATACGAAGAGCGCCAATACACATACACCCATTGTGTGTATCACTGGTTATCTGAAGGACTTGCCCGAGAGTCACAACTTTGACACGCTGATGCAGAAGCCACCCACGATGCAGAAGTTGACCGAGATGCTCTGCAAATACTGTGCATGGAAACCGCCGCCAAAGGACATGAAACTGGCCACGCCGCTCGCTATTCCCCCCATCGCCACTCGTTTCGACCCTGTGCGCAGTCAGGACAGCCCGAGCTCGGTTGCATCTAGTCAGCCTCCAACCATGCCAGACTCCTCTTACAAGGCGTCCAGCCGTGAAGATTCAATCGGTAGTAGCGGATTCTTCAGCGATCTGGAGTCCTTCAAGGGCGATGACATCCCAGTTATCGTGTCGCGGGCAGCGACTGACGAGTGGGCAAAAGGAGGTCTAGGTATTTCGGACGATATTGTCGTTGGACAGCCTCCCTACGTTCACACAGGATATCCTCACCTGGTCCATACGGAGTCGGCGCCTCCGAGTGCCTGCACAGACGACCGTGCTGGATATGGCCTACGAACTCCGCGCCGGCAAACATCTTCTGACGCGGTCAAATTGAAGCGGGAGCACCTGGAGAAGAATTTGCGGAACTCCACTGGCGCAGCAGAAGAAGGAGACGATGAGGATGAAGAGCTTGGCGATGTACAAGTTCGGGCTCGATCGCCAGTTGGGAAGAACACCCGTCCCAGTTCGAAACTTGGGACTGAAATGCTGCGTACCAACAGTCGCGGCAGTGTCATTTCCATGAACGACGAGCGTACAGCCGAGCCGGATAGCCTCCGAAAGTCGTTGGAAATCCTCGAAGAGCAGATGGAGAATCTGAGAATTCCGGAGGAGCCTTCTTCCGCCACCAGTCTCTCGGCGATGCAACCACGCAAGTGGACACAGAGGACATCGTCGCAGCACTCTCATCCTGGGCCGGACTTGGAGCGCTCACCAAGTCGGGGCCATATCACACCCCCGATCATCTTCCCACCACAGCCAGGAACCAACGTGGCGGACATCGAAATGGACCCAGAGGTGACTCCTGTTCCGAACAAGACTGTCGATCTCGAAGAGGAGCCCACTCCTAGGCCACAGGGAAGTCCGTCGGGGAGACGGCCAATGCCCTCCGATCGTTAAATTGTGTTTTTCCTTTCATTTTCTCTCTTTCATGTATTACGATTAAAACGAGTTGACGTATTTGCTTCGACAGCGGGCTCTGGATTTCCTTTGTTTTGTGCTTTGCACGGCGCTGGTGGCGAGAACCAACATCGATGGTCTGTTTATGGTTGTGGAAATTGCCGATATGGCGCCCATGTATGTTGTAATCTGGCGTTCACGTTTCGCTTGTTTGCCGCAGGCCATTTGCTCGTGCTCGACAGCTGGCCTGGAAAACGCAGACAAGCCAGAGCTTTTCCGAATAGCACGGGTGATCTTAGGGCAAGTGATGACAAAGTCTTTGATACTTTGGATCCGACATGTTTTGGGACTATTGATTATTTTTGTGTATGTCTATTATTGTTGCGCGGCTAGATTCTATCTACAATGTCCGCGCAACGAAGTGGGAGAGTGGAAATTCTGCTAAGAGAGATGGCTCATAATGTTCAACTATACAATGTAGTACTGAACTGCCAGTGTAGGGTTGATTTCCTGGCCGCCACCTAGAACAAGCTTTTGTACACTGCACAGAGCTGTACTTGACAGCGGCAGATCTGCTGCCAAGGTGCTTTAGGCACGCCAACAGTTCACGGATCTCCGAATACTTAACTTTACTTAGGTACGTACTTTTGTTCCGCACGGGTACAAATCTAGTCAAGCTGAGTCACTACCGGCATCGTTACTCTTCATACTTAACCTGCTCTTCTCTCTCATCTGCCACAGTACTTCACATCTTGCTTCGCTCCTATTGCCACTGTCACCTACTTAACGGCGCAACTACCATGTCGCGCCGCAGTATATGTTCGGTAGAAAAATGCCTACGGTAGAAAAGGGTGGACTACTTGTACGGTATATATACTATACAGGGGTCTAAGGTATATAGACCTTGTCCACGTCTTTCTATTGCGTTGGTCCTCACCAATATCCCAGTCCACCGTGCGGTCGCGCCCTATGCAACCTCAAACCCCTCGCCTGTAACTGTTACGAGATCAGGCAGCCCCTCTATTTCTGCAGAGCTGGTCCTCACGCGATGAATTCCCCTCTTTTTCTGCCCGGAGAGCGCTACAACGACATCCTCGAAGCAATCGGCGACCTCGATGCTCGACCTGCAAGAGAAATGACCGTCATAGTCACCGGCGTCTTCAGCAAAGAGCGGCCCGTGGAGTCAAGCCAGAAGTTCAGCTTTAACAAAGACATTTCCAAGACAGTATTACAGAGCATCATCGAGATCCAGAGACTGACCAACAAAGTCATCAAGATTGCCCAGAACTACCAGACCGTTGATGGAAAGAGTGAGAGGCTAAAGCAGGTCGACAAGTATCTAGGGAGTATTATCCTCCTGAATCAGCTGCTGGCTCAACAGGCTCTCAAAGTTTACCATGTCCTTCGTGAAATACAAGAAACCCGTGGACGGATTGACCAGAAAGAGTTGGCGAACATGAGACCCGAGCCCAGGGAAAGTGTTCGGACAGGTAAGCGTGTTTGCATCGATATCCTCTCCAAAAAAAATGTGAGCCTTTCCCCCCTAACCAACCTCGATAGGCGGAAAGCGGAAAGCCAGCTCAGCTTTCCCAACGAGTGGCTTCATAGAAATCACGACGCGTGATTTCGATATGTTACAAGATAAACACGACTCCCACTCGTATCTCATGCAGCATGCTGCAACTTGGAGGAAGGAAATTCTCAATGCTGTCAATGATGGTGCATCGACGGATGCTATTGCTGTTCTCTTCTCCGCCGAGTCTGCCGCGGCCGTTCTGGGGCGTCGTGGGATTGCGGAAACGGGAGAAAGAAGAGACAAAATCAGAAGGCAGGCAATCGAGTGCTACGGAGCCCACCTAGAGGATGACGAGCCTGACGGCAAAGACACATGGTTGTGGTGTGCCGTGACCAAGCGTTACTGGCCCAGAGAGCTGGTCAAAACAGCTCACATCATCCCAGCAGATACTGCCGAGGGGACAATCGAGTATGCTTTCGGAGAGATCGATGACCGGGCTATGCTTAATTCGATGCGCAACTTTATCATGCTCCACACCAGGATCGCGGAGGCTTTTGATCGGGGACAGATATCCATCGTTCCGTCATCGAGCCTTTCAGAGCAAGATTCGGACCGTCCGATCAGCCTTCGCCTCTTTTTCATTGACCGACAGTTGGTTTTGGGCCATCAGCAGGCTTTCAGAGCACTGGATCGGCAGCCGGTTTACTGGAGTGATCTCGCAGCAGACCCGGTCCTGGAGTTCCAGAACGACAATCGACCCGGCCAGAGGAATCTGTTCTGGCATCTTCTGACCAGTCTGACAAAGGCCAAAAAGGCTGGCTATGTTGGTTTCACCGACGCGCTGAATGAACTCGAGGCCAAAGAGGTGTGGGCAAAGCCTCAGCCGTGGATACAGAAGAGCGCACTGAAAAGCATGGCGGACTTGTTCATGATGCCACAAATCTACCGCCAAGATGCTATCATGGACGACGATCCCAAACTTCAGCAGATCAAGAGGGACATCGCCTCCCTTGCCAGCTTTAGGCTGTCCTCGCCTAGGCTGCAGCCGCACTTCGAGTGGGAGGAGGAGGAGGAAGACCACGAGCAAGAAGGACTGGAGGGTCTAGCGCATCCCAATTTTGCCCCAGAAGAGTATTTTTCACCACAGGCACTTCTACCGCTGAGCCCAGGCACACCAGGCTGCGCGGCGACACCAATACCTGATCAAATGGCACGTTAGGATCGTGCCAGAGCTGACAGTCCGGAAAGTCCCACGCCTGGCAATCGTCTACATGAAAAGCGGGTACGTCAAGGCAAGACGTATCGCAAAGCTTCAGGCGTCTCCGCCAAGGTTCGCGTCTCGAGCCTAAGCGAGCGCCTTCGGTCACTTAAGAAGTGAGGGATACCGTTAGCCATCCAGCTCGCTGGGAAGACAAACTCCAGGCGCAAGGGGGCGAAACCGCAGTGGTCGGTAAGGGACAGGTATTGGGGGACTCGGCAGCCGTTGGCGTGCCCCAGGAACTGGCAGGATAAAGCCCGACGACCTCAAATTCATACGACACGAGACGGCATAGAGCTGTGCGAGATGTCCGGCGATGCTCGTCGCATAGAGCGTACAAGTCCAAATCAACGTTGCGTCGAAGATGAGAAAACATTTCAGAGTAAGAGCGGAGATTGAAACCCGCAGAGTCGTTGAACCATCTTTATTACCCGACGAGCCAAAGCACTGGCAGTCACAGCTGCCTAGATGAAACAGATCGTCCTGATATCAGGTTCTGACATGGAGCACGTGCCTGTCCACCACCTGTTCCTGAATTTGAAGGCCTTTTGTCATGACTGTCCCAAGTGTGCCAGAGACACGAGTTGGCCCGGTCGCCGCGGTGGCAAGTTCGCGGCACACACGGCACATGCTAGCGCAGTCGGGAACATATCGATGACAACTTGAACTACAACTTGGACGGCAGGATCTTGAAGGATACTTGTGTTGCAGATAATTGTAGCTGACCGTAGAATGCTGCCATTTTAACCATGTCCTTAGGCACCTGCCTGGTAGGTGTCTTCTGTTTGATGATACTATACGTTTGTCGAGGTACTGTATCACAGTCACACAGTACTAGTATGTGCGCGGAGAAAATCGTTGACGTCTGTCTGTCTTGTGGGCGCGTGGATGATTGAATTGAATTGAATCGTGTCTTTCAAAGTTACCATCCGCACAGTCCCGCAAACTAGTTCTTATCACGGCCGCTAAAGCTTAGAATGGCCCGTTCTGGACAACCGTGGAGCCGCAGTGGCTGTTACCAAGCATTTCTTGCTGGGTGTGGCCCTGCTAAAAGTAAAGTATTATTACTAGCGGACCTAAAGCTGGCCCTCGTGCCTGGTCAGCTGCCAGGTCTTTGGGGCGCCACTGCTGGGGTTTGCCAGCCATTAGGGATGCCTGCGTCCAGCCCCAGGCGACCTTCGCTGCGAACCAGCCTCTTTTTCACGCTGCGACTGGCACTGCAGGCCTAAGGAGCCCTTAAACCAGACCCAGCACTGCACTGGGCTGGGCTGCGTCGTCGGCTCCTCTTCTCGCCAGTCCAGTCTTTTGCGCTCCCCGCGAAACGAAACTGCAACTTGCAAGACTGCCACTGCAAGTGTCAATCGTCAAAACTTCGCCAACTCATCCCATCATCAACCATCTCCCTTGCATCTCCTAATTCATCATTCTCTACTCCTCGGTCGACAACCCCTAAAGGACTGACCGAGTCATCGCTTCTTTTTTGGCCCCCGGCAAAGCAAAGCCTCCCGTTACACATTCCTCCTTCCAATTTTGCGCCGCCTTGCAGGGTGCGGTCTGTCGGTGACTTGAAACAACTCAGGCTGCGGTCGGTCACTCAAGTCCAAACGCCACACCTGGCACTTCCAGTCGGTGCCAACTTCCACACCACCTCCTTCGTTCACTCTTCCGACCTGTCCTTTTATTTCATCCAAGTCTTGATCGTCTTGACGACGGTCATCGACCCGCGCGTTCTTTGGCATACATTGGATTCGATGTCCTCGTCACTGTGAATAATCGATCAGCCATCGACCCGGTCGTCAACGCCTTGACGCTGCGCCCTACACACCTCGCCCAGGATGGCTTCGTCCACAACATTAGCTACTATGTCGGCCAGTGCCACTCCCACTCCTACGAGTACCCAGAGCAAGGGAGGTTCTGGTCCCAGCTCGCCACTGCTGTTTTTCGTCGCCCTTGGTTTCGGTGTCGTCTTCACCAACTTATGGTGAGCATCCCTCGAAGAAACGACATCTCCTTGTCCCAGCTAATGGTTTCTTCCTTCGCAGGATTATCGTCGGTGTAAAATACTGCTTCAGATACAATCAACGTAACCGACAGCGCATGAATGGAGAAGATCCCGATGGAGTCGACCTCGGCGCCATGCCTCGCCAACATCGTCGCAGGCGCGAAAAGAGGTTGATGACGATGGACGAAGTCAATGAAAAGTTTCCTTTGATTAAATACAAAACTTGGCGCTCCAATCGAGCCGACGAAGGGTTGCCCACTGCAGGAGGTATTACAACAGCTTCAAGACCAGCCTCCAGACCGACTTCAAGACCGGCTAGTATATCCAATCATCCAACGGATATCAAGGATGGAGGTGAGACTAGCGAGTCTAAGGAAGTCATGGACGCGCATACCGCCACGACCGCAGACGATGACTCTGTTCGGCTTGAACATGGAAATCCCGAAATTGTAGCAGAGAAAAGCGCTGCTGATGCTCCTCGGCCGGCAACTCCGCCACCACCCAAGTCCAGTCAATCGACAGTGGCTCCTGAAACTCCCATCCACAAAATCACCACGAATGACGAGGAGGAGGATGAGGAGCCGATACAAACTGCCGTGCCTGCTGAGCAATTGCCGGATCCTGGCGATGCTTGTGCTATTTGTATTGATACCATCGAAGATGATGATGATATCCGTGGTCTACACTGCGGTCATGCATTCCATGCATCTTGCGTCGATCCCTGGCTGACTTCGCGCCGGGCATGCTGTCCTCTTTGCAAGGCCGACTATTATGTTCCCAAACCTCGTCCAGAAGGTGCAAATGTCGACGGATTTGCCAGAAATGGTGCCCACGTCGACTTGCAACAGCCACCCGGCGCTTTCTCCCTCATTGGAAATGGTCGACCCGGTAGACGACCGGCAATGATCATTCCCGGGCGATTCATGAGCATTGTCTACCATGACCGCGACCGACACGGTTTTCCCGTTGTCGAACGTGCCGGGAGACCCGGTCATGCAGAACGTGAACGGCGACGACAACGGCAAAGAATGGCCACTGCTACCAGCACTGTTCAGGAAGGGCAGTCTGCGCCACCTAGCCTTTTTGCGAGGATTCGCTATGCTATGCCTGGTCGGACCCAAGCGGCTCAACCGCAAAACTCAGCTATCCCAGCAGCTGAGTCTCAGCCCACACCTTCGCAGCTTGAAGCTGGGAGATGAGACTATAGCAACGATGTTCTTCACGGGCGTTAATGAAATAACATGATTACGAGTATGCATGGATGATGGGTCCCGGGTTTGTTCAGCGCGCTTTGCTGGGATCCCATAACTTGGAATGGGCTACGTGGGATCAAGTGCCTCAGCTTACTCTGTTTTGGCTTGCGAAAATGGGAAGTGATGAGGTACTCAAATTGATTACATTGGTATCGCCTGGAGGACAGCTTGCCCTCCAGATTATGATCTGCCTGTTGTGACGTGGCCTGCCGTCCGGCTGCTAGTTGACAAAGATGTTGGATATAACTTCAAAATCCACATGCAGGGCACCATATGCAACTCTCCTGGTCCGGCTTGAATCAAGGCTAATAATGTAATGTACATTTTGTAAACTCCGCCAAATGTTCCGCTGGCCTGGCTGCCCACTCCGTACATGCACTGCAGGTTCTTGTTTGCTTGTGTTTGCTTGTGTTTGCTTGTGTTTGCTTGTGTTTGCTTGTGTTTGCTTGTGTTTGCTTGTGTTTGCTTGTGTTTGCTTGTGTTTGCTTGTCCTTGTGAGATGAGTAAAAAAAATGATAGTGACTAGGTATCCAGCGTATCCTACTACATGGTGTTGAACCGGGTTAACTAACAAGGCAGATGGAAGCCGGGAGAGTAGCGGTGAGAAACCTGGCACTATTTAATATTTCTACCAAGGCACGCTCAATTGGGCTGCATTCTTTCAGGTTGTTCAAGACTCAAGTGTGGCGAAGTACAATGTCTCTATTTATCTCACTGCAAGGGCCAAAAAACAATCCAGATCAATATCCAGAGTCATCGCGATATTGTGCGCGAACAAAAAAGGAATTGGCGGCACTCGGAATCGAACCGAGGTCAGAACGGACGCTGGAGTTGGAAGCCACAACGTTCTATGCTAACCACTACACTATACCACCGCCGATGAGATAACTCGCTGGTTATTCATGTCTGGAACTTGGAGACTTAATACTATATGCAATCTTGAATTGTGGGTCACGTGATGTGCCGACAAATCCGCTTCGCAATCATGCTCGGATCCACACCTTGCTCTGCATACAGTGGGGGAAACGGCTCGGGAACATGATCCGTATGTACGAGGGCCATCATCATTCGTACAAGGACCGATCCGAGGTATGAACAGACATCGGGGGTGAGTGTCGGATCAAGTCAACATCCAAAAACAATATCATGATGACCAGGACCAGTTCAAGTTCAGTATACTGGTACCTCCTCCACTACATTGCAACATCTATATAAGCAGGACATGGGTTCTTCAAGAACCATTGCTAGGCTGTCGTGAAAAAGAACACTAATGGGCAATACCGGTGATTCCTAACCTTTACTGACACCTTCTCTGTGCCCTCGTTCAAGTGATCCACTGTCTGAACAAACATGTCCCAATCTCAGCGAGCTGCCTTGCTGGCAAACCATCTGAGCGGCTCGCAGCAAGACGGTTCAAGTTCAGAAAAGCATAAGCATGCCCCTGCAACGACGCCTGCAGACAAGCCTTTTGAAGTTGCCATTATCGGCGGCGGAATTGCTGGACTGACGCTGGCTATCGCCTTATATCACCGACAAGTACCTGTGACGATCTATGAGCAGGCGCCGCAATTCGGCGAAATCGGGGCCGGGGTCTCGTTCAGTCCCAATGCCGTCCAGGCCATGAAGATCTGCCATCAGGGAGTCTATGACGCCTTTGAAAAGGTGTGCACGAGGAACGTATGGCCGGAGAAACAGAAAGTGTGGTTCGACTATCTCAATGGCCTGGAAGATCTCCCCGCGGACGGCTCGCGTCAGCACATTGCCTTCACCATATACAACAGTCTAGGTCAAAATGGGGTGCACCGCGCCCGGTATTTGGACGAGATTGTCAAACTCATCCCAAAGGAGATTGCAAGATTTGGCAAAAGGCTTCGGGACGTGGAGAAGGGTGTCAATGGTAAGCTGAAGATGGTTTTCGAGGACGGCACTACAGCCGAGGCCGATGCTGTGGTTGGATGTGATGGGATCAAGTCGCGCGTCCGTCAGGTCATCGTAGGACCTGACCACCCGTCGGCTCATCCTGTGTACACTCACAAATATGCGTATCGAGGCCTTGCCCCAATGGAACAAGCAATTGACGCGATCGGCGAGGAACTGGCGCAGAATTCGTGCATGCATGTAAGTGGCTTGGGGCTTTGCACTCAATATTTCATGGTCTTCCTTACTGAACGCAAGTCAGATTGGACCCGATGGCCATCTTCTGACTTTCCCTGTCGACCATGGCAAGACACTCAACATAGTCGCGTTCAGGGCGGATCCTAACGACTGGCCGGATTCCACTCGACTCACAAAGCCTGCTAAGCGGGAGGATGCTCTGCGTGACTTTGCAGGATTTGGACAGAATGTGATCAAGTTGTTGAATCTCACCAAGCCCAACGTCGATATTGTGAGTCGTGCTTCCGCCGGCTAGAAAGACTGGAGAAACTGATTATTTACACAGTGGGCAATCTTCGATTTGGGAGAACATCCGGTTCCATACTTCAACAAAGGCCGCATCTGCATCTCTGGTGACGCGGCCCATGCCACATCGCCTCACCATGGAGCCGGTGCCGGGTTCTGCATTGAAGACAGCGCCGTTTTGGCCGAACTCCTCGCCGACAAACGGGTGCGCACTCCTCAACACCTCGAAGCCGTCTTTGAAACATTCAACGAACAACGCAAAGAAAGAGGCCAGTGGCTGGTTCAATCGAGTAGGTTCATCGGTGACTGCTATGAATGGCGGGCGCCTGGGGTCGGGCGAGACTTTGCAAAGATCGAGCAGGAAATCAATACTCGGATTGGAATAATCAACAATGTAGACGTTGGCGAGATGTGTGAGCAGGCGAGACGAGCATTGGGCGTCAGGTTGGCTTGACGAGGTTCGACGGGATTCAACTTGTGCTCCTCTACATTTGGCGACGCGTCCTTCTGGCGGTCAATCCTCTCATCTCAGGGAGGTTCTGGACAAAAGTTCCGGTGTTACATGCTCTGGACAACACTCGCCTGTCGGAGGAAGCCGTACGGCTGCCGTCGGTTGCCCTTGAACACCGCGAAGGGGGACTAGATGGACTACTCGTAGAGCTGTAGCATCGGCAGTATAGATCTGTGCGATAACAAAAAGACTGGCACACATTCGAGGTCCCCGTGTTCGAGTTTGTAAGAGGCAAGTTCAAAAAGTGGTGTGCATTTAAAGTTGGTCACCCCGCGGCGCTTGGATTTTTTAAACTTATATTTATTTGCCATTTATTTCCAGCAACTCCAATTGAACGCGTCTCGCGACGACATATTGAATGTGCTACAGTGCGGACGTGATTCTGCGATGCTCACGATGGTAAGAACTTGCAACGTCTTGATGTCTACCTAGATCACGATTTACTGGCCCTCTCCTGTAGAATTGACGCGTTGTCGTGTTCTCTACGGTTGCAACATCTCTCACCACTTGAAGCCTCGCCATGGCGTCCGGCGCTGTTCTGCCGCTGGCTTCTTCTCCCCTTTCATCCCCGCCCCCTTCGCAATCTTTGTCGAAGCAAGACCCTGGCGCGGAGCCGAAAGAATCTTATCGAGAACCGATACAACTCCCTTTTGAATTGGCTCAACATGTGCGAACTTATTATGAGGAAAGTTTGTTTGCACAGGCTTTCAATTTCCTGCTGTCCATTACTGGGAATAGCGCATCCTCCATGAACCGCCAGGCGTCGGTTATGATCCCCCCAGCTTCACACCTTGCTCTTGCAGCCACGCTCTCAGTCCACCCAGTTTTCACCTCGAGGACCAATGCACGAGACAAATGGGAGCAAGCGGCCGCTGCACGCCGGCTGCTTCGCTTGGTCCACACAACCGTCGGTCCGGTCAATGCCAATTTCGCGACGGCCTTCAGCTTTCGGAGGTACGAGGTTCGGTCTTCACGGTATACCGGGACCGACAACGAGTATGGTGATGACGGCGGGAGCCCAGGCGAGCACTCCTCGTCCGAGGATGACCTCAACACCCCATTTGCCGGACCCCAGGCCCTGTGGCTCCGCGCGGAGGACTTCTGGCATGTTGTCGGCTGGGCTTTCAATTGCGCAAGTCTTACCGGCGTACATACTACACGATGGGACTATTACAGCCTTCTCCTGGAATTTATGGTGGACGTACTTGAGACCGATTGGCGTCTTCGCACCAGCGGATCCGATCCGTCTCCCGAAGAGAGTCTAATATGGCAGTACATTGAGCTTGCCGCAGGAGGCCATGCAAGAGCTAGACGGATTCTACGAGCAATCTTTGCGGACGGAGGCACACGGTCAACAAGCGAGTTTCGCGCCATCTTTCCAAACGAGCTTAAGGAGCCCGTGGAGGAGCAAGCCAAGCCTAAGAAGCGAGAGGTCGATGTCGATATTGAACAAGATATCTACGGCGATTACCTCGCTCAGGATGAATCGGACTTATCTGACCCCGAAGATCTGGCTAGTGCCGGCACGCCGGCCGGAACGGCTGCTAGACTTGTGAGACGGACGACGCGCACACGAAACCGCACGCCATCATCGCGGCGACTCACACCCCAGACCAGCACAGGCAGTCTGCGGGATGACATAGACAATAATGGCGACACCTCGGCAGCACCGTCTACGGCATACAAGATGTCAGATCCTACATCATTGGACCTGCGACTCCGGCTGATGCGTCTTCTGGTCGAAGTGTCCTCACACCCGACGCTGACTTCGACCTCGCCCACGACTTTCCCTGACCTGGAAGAACTGCTGACCCTGTTCGTGGAATTCACCAAGCCCCTGCCTCTTCCGGTCTTTGCACGAATCGTCCTTCCTTCGACGGCATCGACGCCGACACCCGCGATTCATCAACAGGCGGACACGGACACCGCAGGCGCGTCGTGGTCGCACATATTCCAGCCACAGACATTGACTTTGTTTTGCGAATCGCTCTTACAACGTATCCTCGAAAACTCGTCGCCGTCTATCCGCTCGCACGTGCTCTTGTCCCAGGACAAACTGGAAAACGAATACCTACCCTTTGCGGCTGGGAGGAATAGCATTGACGCCAACGCTCGCGTCTCCTTGCTGTTGGAATCCCTGACGCGATCCCTGGCATTGTTGGGTGCCTTGGAAAGGACGGAAAAGCTTACCGACGCTGTCAAGAACGGGGTTGAGAGGCGCTTGGGTCGAGTTGTCGACCTAGGCGAAGGGAAAAGGCAAAAGAAGCTTCAGAAGGAAGAGCAGCAGACAGCATGGACATGGTTGGCGGAGAGTGGGGAGAGGATGATCAAGGTGGTCGAGGGACTAACATGATTCAACGAAGCACTTGCAGCGGGATCTAACCGAGCAAAAATTGAGCAGGCCATCCAACACCGTTGATGTGTGCATGATTTTCGAATCTGTGTGCAGAATGCTTCAATTGCAGGCATGAAAGAATGCACACCATCACCGGTGCACCATTGGTAGCAGACCCTTGGTCATCCGTGAGATAGACGTGGATTCCAGTCCACGGTATAAGGCAGGTACATCTGATGGTTTCTCAAGGCGGTGGCCTCGGGCCGATGATCTGTCGCCTTGCTCCTCCGACACCTAGGCCAGGACCGCCCCGATTTTGACTATCACCGCCCATGTACCCATATTGATGCACGTCCCAGGAATGTCCAGGCGCGCTTCCTTCGCCCCTATCGCGTGCTCTGGAGGCCATCGCCTGCTGCTCCTCTTCCCATTCACGCTGGCGTTCACGTTCACGCTCCATCTCACGCTCAAGAAGAGATTTCGAGGCCCAGCCACCTGCTTTGGTGCGTGCCTGCGATTGAATGCGTCGCTCTTGTTCGAGGTCGACTTCGGTCGTGGTGGAATAGTCCTGTGGACGGTGTGAGGCGGCTTGAGGCTGGGCCGGCGGTGGATGGGAGGCAAGGTATCGGTCTGTGCGGTTTGTGCCAGGGGTGTAGGTGGCCGGGTCTGGAAGAGGTCGGCTCGAGGAGCTGGCATTGACACGCGGGGGCTTTGTCGGGGCGCGTTGACTTTCCGAATCTTGAGCCTTTTGCCACTCTTGCTTCAGGTAGTCTCTCTCGGAAATGTCCCAGTCTTCTTCCCGGCTCGTCTGGGGAGCCTGAGGCCTGCTTGGCAAGGGAGGAGCAGGAGGCTCCGGCTCTGACTCTGGCCCAACTTCCGGCACTCGCCTGGCCGTTTGTCTTTGCTGAGCCTTCATTTCCTCCAATTGACGTTCAAGCTCAGCAATCCGTTTGCTTTCGGCAGTCTGCTGCGCGACGAGCGGCTTCGCTGGGGCGGTATCATGGGCGCGGGCTTGTTCGGACTGGTACTGGCTGAGAAACTGGCCGTTCAAGCGGGCGTCACTGGTCGCGCGTTGGCGACTACGTTCCTTTTCCATCCGAGACTCTCGTTCCGCTTGTTCAACGGTTTCCCGCTCACGATCACGCTCATAAGCTCGTTGCTGCCGACGCTGTTCTTCTTGCCGAACTCGTTCCTCTTCTTGTAGTCGCTGCCGCTCTGCCGTCCGCTGTTCTTCTGCTTCGCGCTCTTGTAGTCGGCGCGTCTCTTCGGCCCATCTGCGCTCCTCCTCTAGCCGGGCTTGCTCCTCTTCAGCGGCCTGTTGGGCCCGTAGTCGCCTCTCCTGTTCTTCTGCTTCGCGTTGCTTCCTCTCGGCTTCTTCTTTCAGACGCTTCTCTTTCTCCGCGAGACTCGGCACATTTGGTGCAGGAGAGGTAATCTGCCTTCGGGCTCCAAATGCAACGCCCTGATTGCCTTGGCTCGCTCCACCCATATAGCCATATTGATGTATGTTCCATGCGGGAACTGTCTTGCCCTCGTCGTTTTTGTTGCTCCAACTGCTCACTGTGCCTCCACTGGCCAGGCCTCCTCGGGCAAGATTACTCTTAGTAGGGCTCACCCGGCCTGCGTAGGTTGCGCGGTTTATGCTGTTGAAGGCAAGCGAGGGACTTTCGGCGGCCGTGTTGCTGGTTCCGCGCGGTCTGGTTGCGGTGGTTGTATAGGCAGGCGATCTTGGTCCACTAGATCCGGTGCCCTGAGGGCTCATTGAGGAGGCCTTGCTCTTGGCTCCCAAGGTGGTTGGAAAGACCGAAGGGTTAATTGCATTTGCGGCGCGGCTGAAAGCTGCAATGCATTGTATGACCTGGGCTGGATCCTTGGAATCGTACAGGTCGACGGTAAGGAAGCGGTCATGCGAGGGGAGATTCAAAGGTGGCATCTCGCATGCGCGTAAGAAGTGGGAGATGTTTTCCATTTGGACAAACGGCATGTTTGACTGCTTGTATTTGATCCCGGGGGAGACAGCTAAGTTGACGAGCCTGTAAAGAACATCAGTCTCATGTTCATTGCATGCGCGATATTACCATACTTGCAGAGTGCGACACCGTCTTTGAGCGCGTCCATCAGATCGCCAGGCGGCAGCTTTTCACCCAAGACACTCTCGATCCAAGTGCGCACTTCTTTTGCGGCGCCAGGCGTGTATCGGTCCAGGCGCAACTTGCGCATATCTTGGTCCAGGCTAGTTACGGACGCCATGGTTGCGGTTCCCAAGGTCGTGTCCCGGATGACGACCTCTCAATTGGCGAGAAGCAAGAAACGTAGGTATGCTTGAAGAGTGAAATGCCGACGGCGAGTGTAAGCAGACTAATACGCAACCCAATACCAGCATCTGACTGCGACTTGAACTGTTAGGAACGATACTAGGTACTGTATGGTGGAGGGAGATGGCTGTGCTCGCGTAATGTCGGAGTCGTAAAGGCAGGAAATTGAACCCTCTGCAAGTTGACGTCGGTTTATTAGCCGGCACCGTTACCAGCGCGGCGGCCGTCCGCGTAATGGCAACTTGAACCTCCAACTTGAACTTCAACTTTTGTACATTTGTAGAGTACTGCACTGCAACAACTTGAATGGCTTGAATACTGTGGCCACGGCAACTTATCCTCACATCGGCCAACCCAACAGCAGCAACACGATGGGCGCAGCTAGAGATCTGTGGTTGCGATGGAAGATGCTCAGGTTGCCGTGGAGGAAGAAGTTTTTGATAGGTACGTGCACCTCTAAGCGAGGCGAAGCAAGCAGTGCCAGTGATCTAATGGCTAAGCAGGTCAAGATCTTCACGGGAACCTTTTCTGGGAGTTCAAAGACACTCTCAACCCTGGCCGATGGCGCCGTATGGTGCAGGCCAACCGCCGAACCCATTTTGCGGACGTTCAAGTATCGCCTCAATGGCATCAATGGCTCCGACAAACCCGCCAGGATCCCCCAAGTTTACAGGAACAAGCTGCAGACCTTCAAAGACAAGCCTTGTTAAAACATAATGCTCGATTGGCTGATGCCAGGTGGGCGGCCAAAGCAAAGTACATTGAGACTCCCAAGCCAACAGCGACACCTTTGCTGCGTGGTGATCCAGCCATCGACAGAGCGAATGCTAAATCCGCCCCGGGACACTCGCCTCAACCGGAGAAGACGAAGAGTGCTGTTGAGAGCCCAGCACCTATCCAGCCTTTGAAAAAGGTGAAAGAGACGGGAGCCAATCCCGGAGCTACCTTCCAGCCCGAAGCCTGGGTTCCTGGACGTGCAAAGAGATGATCCGACCCGGTCAGGCTGAATGTTGTACAGAGTCAGATGCAACGGCGACTTTTTGAAGATTGACAAGGCCACCTTGTAGTTGGGACGCTATGCATGCCCATACAACATTGCGACCGGTGCCAGTATGGCCCCTGTGGCTCGTTGCATCGAGGAAAAGTGTGGCTTTGATCTTGTTGTTCTTGACAATACCAAGGCAACACTGTCCGATGTCGAAAGATTCAGCCTCGCTTGACAGTTTGCACTGATTGACTCCGCGCTGTTCGCTGGTCCATTGGGCGCTCCTGGAGGAAGCAGCACAACAACACAGGCCCCTGCGTACGAATACGAGAATGGGTTCATCTTACGGGTTGCCCAGGTGTCGACTTGGGCTTCAGAGACCCTGCCTATCACAATTTTAGGCGAAACTGCTCATCTCCGAAGATGTTTAAGAGGGTGGTCTGCCGCCGGGCGTACCAGACTGACAGATTTCAAAACGGCCAAAGATTTGTGGAACTGGGCGCTTCCAACGAATGCAGAGGTTTCTCCACTGTTTGCCATATTATGCAGCGCCTGCCTGGGAGCTGGGCTGTATGACCTTTCCCATTGCCCGAGGAATTACAAGATGAGGGTTCATGGGATGAGCCTTGTCTTCATGCTTGTTGCCGTGGCACCATCTGCGACCATGAAATTTCGAAATGACCTCATGCGGTTGTGAGTCGGCAAAATGGAGTTGAGCAATGCTAGACGGACTTCCATGCGCTGACAGAATCCATTCCATCCGACATCATCACCGCTTGAATCCATGGACAATCTCGCTGTCTATCATGCTGCTTATTACGAAGCTTTCCGGTTGGAAAGACGTGCAGCCTACTGCCTCTCCGTGATTCCTGTTATCTCACTGGCTCAATATCCAATCGGCCGATATTTTTGCGCAGATTACGAACGAAAGTATCACCCTATATCATCTTGCTTCTGTATCTGGACACTGGCTTGACGCCGCCGATGCCTGACACTGCAAGCAGGAGGAACACCATAGCCTTGTGCCAATCAACAAGCGATGCATAAACTCCATTTGCTCGAATACGCCATCTGTACCTATTGCGTCAACCGAAATGTCCCCGAGTATAGTTGTACTAATTGGTCGCTTCGAATAAGACGGATACTCCATCGCCCACAAGCCATCTGGAACGCCTTGCGCCCCTTTCAAGTTGTTGTCCGTATCATGAACATTGTGTACACTAGCTTACCTGAAAGAGTCTGTGGTGAGGGTAAGTTAGTGAATTCTCTTCGGCTACCCTTCCTAGCCTGTGCAGCATCGAGTGCTTGTCACTTAACCCTCACCCTGGTCATGATTTATACACCTGCCGATCTCCCACCCACTCCGTGCTTCCTACTTCTGTTCTCTCAATCCTGTCTTGTCATCTCCCAAGACTCTCAGATGTTCCTCTACTTTCTCATCATCGCGTACGTCCTCTTCCCGCGCCAATATCCCTCCCTCTTGGGGCTTCGCGTCAGAAACATGGAGGCCATCACTGAGAAGACAATGAATTCACTCTTCGGTCCGACAATGACTAGAGTGCGATCCCCTCCTTCCGGATTCAAAGGTGATCCAGAGTTAGGAGTCGCTTTTGTAAGTGAAGACCCACCTTGCTATTGAGGCGAAGGACCGCAGGCGATCTGCACACCAGATCGACCGATTTACCCAGTTGAACATTCCTTGCACCAGACACAACACACATCCTTCTTCGCTTACTTGTCCGCTCGATTGTATCTGACTGCCTATACAGTACTACTGCTCTGAGAAACCCTGCGACAGCATCTGGGGCGTCTACTGGAAGGATTTCGGAGAGCAACCCCGCGAGCTCATGACCCTCCCGCAGCACCAGGCCCTTGCCACTGCAGAAGTTTGTACCAAGTGCGCCTGGTATGTGCATATGCAGAAAACCTTAGAGAATGTCTCCCAGAACATCGCCAAGGCAACACCTGCGTTGTACAAGACTGGGGAGTTCCTCACGGACGACGAAATCGACCGGATCTACTTGAAGAAACTTGGCGAGTACGAGGCCAAGAAGAAATCCGGAGTCGTTGATTATTTCCCATTCTCGGGCTTCTGGGACGGTCCTATGGAGGATCAGTACCGCAGAGCTTGGGTCCCACAGAGCCGCAAACACCTCCGCAAACCAGTTCCATTGGGCAACAGAAAGTGGGCCGCCGAGGACAAGGGTGGCAAAGGCAGCACCGACACAGAGCTTGAGCCAGAACTGGACGAAGACTGGGATGTGATTGAGCATCGCGAAGCAGAGGAAACATGGCAGGTGTTGTAACCAACGTGCCAGCGAAGCCGTTCAAGGTCAGACGATCGTCAGTTGGGACACAACAGAGATTCTGGCAAGGTCAAGGAGTTTGCAACGAGAAGATGTTCTTGCAAACAGCTAGGCTCAAAAGGAGCAAACAAGCTTCATACCCGAGAGGCAGTGAAACTGTCCATAGCATGATAGCCTCCAGACAGTGAGAACAAACAGAGGCGCTCTCCAACACAATGAAATTGCTTTTGTAACGACGATGATAGCACTAAATCATTCCTCTGACCGGTCATAAGATGGGTGGGCTTTCGGGAACAAGTAACCTGTTTTCTTATGCTTTGCCACAGTGTGAATGACGTTGCTACTGCACCCTGTCGAAGGATGATTGCTTGTCTGTACTCCTAGAGAGAATGCATAAAACCCTGCTAACCTGAGGATTCCCGCACGGTAATCGGGAGCAGGTCTCGGAGCCTGTCATCTTGAGATCCCGCCTCCAACAATACGAAATATCAGGGCATGCAGCCTTGCCCCTGACTATACCGACGTCAACAGCCTCGCACGGAACGAGTTTATCCGATGTGCGACCGCAGCTGGGACCCAGGAAGGTTTGCCGAAAATTGAACGCTGATGGCCCTGCAGTGCCAGTGCTTCATCTGCACGCTCCCACCCATACTATACCAGGTACTACAAGTACAGGACATAAACCCGCCCCAACCTTGATCTGCGAACCTTGAGAAGACTCTCAAGCAGGGTCAATTCTGCCGCAAAGATGGCCGTGCAAGGGACAGAACAGGTGATCAACAGAGATCCCGCCTTGTTGTACGTTTTCTGTTTTGGATGCCGCCGATTTGACCATGCCGCAACTCACACATTGAGAATAGCTACTGGATCCTGCTTCCTATCACGATTGTTATGATCCTTACTGGTGTGCTTCGCCATTATGCCACTGTCCTCCTTGCCAGCCCTCCTAAACCGCCCGCTACTCTCGTCGAGTCTCGTGAGCGACAAGCGCTACTTCGGGGAGTGAACTTGCGAAACAACGCCCCAGCGGCCATAACCACCTCGTCATTCAACGCGCGGAAAGAGTACCTCATCGATGCATACAAGAAAGGCATATTCCTCAAGGGCGGAGCAGAGTCCCGAGGACAGGCGGCGCCAAATCCAATGTCTGACCCGGCCGCAATGGAGGGGATGATGGGCATGATGAAGGGAAATATGGCCATGATGATTCCACAGACCCTCATTATGTCTTGGATCAATGCCTTCTTTGCCGGCTTTGTCATCCTGAAGTTGCCATTTCCTCTCACCATTCGGTTCAAGTCGATGCTACAGTCCGGAGTCATGACTCGAGATCTAGATGTCAGATGGGTCTCGAGCTTGTCTTGGTACTTCCTATGTTTGTTCGGCTTGCAGAGCGTGTTCATTTTCATCCTGGGGAATGAGAACGCAGCCAGCCAGATGGCCCAGCAAGTGGCTCAAATGAATCCTGGGGCCAACGCCAATCCATTCGGCCCTGGTCAAGAGCCCGACAAGATGTTTCAAGCGGAAGCGGAGAATTTGGAGGTACTCGAGCATTGGAGTGTCCTAGATGGTGCTGAAGATAGGTTGTTACAGATCTATGCTAGCTAGGTCAATGTACGCTGGCAAGTAACAGTACACCTTTGGCGTCGGGCGAGAGTATGGCGTCGACATTTGGGAGACAAGGCTCTGAACCTCCAAGCATGGAAGACACGAGCTTTACTTTGAGAGTGACGAGCCCAGGTCCATTGCCTCCGTATTCTTAGAGAGCCTCTGTTCACTCCTGCGATGTTCCAGAGCCCCACGATTCAGCGATGCTACGGAACCTGCCTGTTTGAATTCAGTGTCGAAGCGGACTTGATTTACATGAACAAGAAGCATCGGCTCTGCCCTGCGGTTTGCTTCGGACAATGGCAGGTTCCTCCCATTCCGGATTAGAACTAACCGGCGCCCCAGGAGCTGGTTTCGTGGACCTCAATCTGCAACGGCGGCAGCTCCCATGGTCCGGAATTGGCATCTTGGTCCACCGTCACAGGCCTCGAATAAGGAATCCTGAGGCCTCCATTGGGAGGACGCCAAATAAACAATCTTTACATGCTGCGGTCCAAGCCGGGCTTCAAACAAGACAATATTGACGCTGAATTCTTTCAAGGGGTATCGCTCACAACAAATCCAAGTATGTGCTGTACACCTGATTTACATCAATTGGGCCTCGTTCGGGAGGCAAGGCAATAGACTGGTTCAAAGAGTCTTGTCGAGCGCCTCTGCCAACTTGTCCACTTCCGCGTCCTTCTTCAATGGAACGTTCAGATCTTCCACTTCTTCGTCCTGCTTGACGAGCTTCTCTCTTTCTTCCTCTTCCTCTTCTTCCTCCTCGGCCTCTTCGCCTTCTTCCTCCACCTCGCTGTCTTCTCCCTCCAGCTCATCCAGATCGTCTAGACCCCAGTGGTCCACGGGATCGTCATGCTTGCCTCCCTCATCCTGTCGATCGCTCAGAAGGCTAGCCAAAGCCTCCACTGATGGATCATCTTCCTCGAACTTGTTGCCATTCAGTTCCACTCGCCGCAGTTTGGGAAGACCATCCTGAGCAGCTTGTAGGAGAGCTTTGAGACCAGCCGGATGAATATCGTTGTACTGCAACCTGAGAATCTCGATGGCTTTATTGTTACCCGAGGTGAGCGCCTCAAAAACCTTGGTTGCACCTCTCCCGCCCAGCAGATCATCGCCAACGCCCAGTTCCTTCAATCCAGACCAGCCCTTGATGGCTTTTGCCAGAGCCTGGGCTCCCTTGAGTGTAAATGTATTGTCTTGCATGTCGAGGACCTCAAGGTTACTGCAGATGGATAAACCCGAGGAAATCAGGTGCGAGATACCCTCTGGCCGGATACCGTTCTGCGTCATTTTGACACTCTTGATGCCAGTTTTGTGTGCCTCGTATGCCTTTGCCCACGCCGCCATGCTGCCATTTTCCAACCGATTCCTGCCGCAGACGATGCTCTCCAGATACGGGACATCCTTGCCTTCTTTTCTAGCGGAATCTTTTCGCTCGGCCAGTGTCACCAATGCTTCGGCGATCGACGTTCCCGCAATGGGGCCCATGCCATTATTGTTCAAGATAAGATGCTTTAGCGGGGTGTGTTTGGACAGAAAATCGACTAGAGGTTCCTTGGTATTGAGTCCGAAGGCATTATCGCTCAGATCGATCGTGTGTAGGTTGGGACATTCCAACAAGGCGGTCAGCAGGGACGAAAGAGCAGGAGGGATTTCCTCGAGTAGTCTGGACGTGAAGATATCGTGCAGATCGGCGCTCTCCAGAGTCGACTTGGAGGCTAATATGGGAGCGAGCGCGGCACACGCGGCCACGCCCAGCGTGTTTCCCGAAAGGTCGATGTGGGTGACCGTGGACGATTCAATAAGTGGCTGAATGTGCTTTTCGATGTCTTCTTTGGTGTCGAGTTTTAATCCGCGGCCTGCGAGCGAGAACTTGGTACCCTCCATGATGCGCAACTGTCTTTGAAAGTGTCCAACGAAGGTATGAATCTGTCTATGCAACTTTCGAGAAGGGGTGTCAACAGAAGTTGCGAAGGCAAATGTTTATTATGCCCTTTACATGCGCATGAAATTCGGAGAGGGACCGCAGCGCAGCCTTCCCTCGTTCTCGCTGCCTTTTGCCACTAGAGCGGCATCACTATTTTCCCAAGAGGAGTTGACAGAGTACAACCACTGGCCTTATGTCATTCAAGTACATCTACAGTGTTGTGTCCGGCCACGAGTGTCCCTGCGCTGGTTACCGACGCAACTTCGATGTCAACTCTGATTGCATTGGAAGTTTCTGGTGCCCGGGATGAGAGGTTGTCGAGTCCTTTCCGCTGCACTGGCATTCGCATTCTGTCTTGCTAGCGAAAGTGCTTTCAGCGTCAATGACGATCTATTCGCCTTTCCGCAGGTACACAGTCTCCGCCCATTGAGCACGTTCCATACTTACGGTTGATAGTATGATATCCAGCTCCTAGACTCGTATGTCCTAGACTCCGAGCCTTTAGCTACTTTACACTCGAACCAATATACGCCTGAGAAGTCCAAGGCGGCCAAATCCCATTCTCACGATGTATCGTCCTATCGACCCCATGGCTCACCCGATGGCCCTACGCTAGATGCGGATGAGATATCCACTGGGACTTACGAGCGCATCCTTCTTCATGGGTATCCCCATATTTGCCATATCCCAGAACCCAGAGTCAGCGCCGGCAATGACACGACGCCCGAGCACTCTGCGGCAGACCGCGAAAAGGAGTTGGAGCGCGCTGTCAGTCGAGCGTCGCAGCTCCTTCAGGAAATGGCGTCCAACCAGTGCCTTTATTATTCTACCGGCTGGTGGACTTATTCGTTCTGCTACAATGGACAGGTGACACAATTTCATGCGCTTCCACCGGGCACAAACGGCAGACTGTGGCCACCGCAGGAAGATCCGACAACACCGAGTTATGTCCTGGGCAAGTTCAACAGTGATGGCAGTGAAGGTTCGCCTTCGGAGGGGCATGCAGACCGTAGTCCATCGACAGAGGTACGGTCGAAGGCGGAGACAAACTACCTGGTTCAACGGTTGGAAGGCGGAACCAGATGTGACCTTACGGGAAACGACCGAAAGGTTGAGGTACAGTTTCATTGTAATCCCCAGGTGACCGATCGAATTGCTTGGATCAAAGAGACCGCGACTTGTTCATATCTCATGATCATCTATACACCACGCTTGTGTAACGATGTCACCTTCCAGCCACCAAAGGAGACCCGGGTTCATCCAATCACTTGCAGGGAAATCATTTCGGAAGACGACATATCGTCGTGGGAAACTAGACGCCTGAACATGAAATACCGCCAAGCTTTCGGTGAAGACCAGAATCCACACGAGCATGTCATGCTGGGAAATGTGGAATTGGGTGCCGGGAAGTATGTGGGCAACGATGGGAAGAGGTTGGAACGAGGGCGAATAGTGTTGACGCAGGACGAAAGAGCCGAAACGGTGATCATGCAGAAGAATGGTCAAATCTCTAGTCTTTCCAAGGCAGAGCTCAAAAAGCTTGATCTCAGCCCAGAAGACGTTGACACATTTCGCAAAGAGCTCCAGAAACTGGCAGGCACAAAAGACTGGAAAATCGAACGGTTGGATGATGTCGATGGACATGTTCAGCTGCGCGGAGTCGTAAGTGCCGATGACGATGAGGAGAAGGCCAAAAAAGATTCTTCCGAAAAGAAGCCTGAGGAAAAGGAACCTATAGAAACGGAGCCTGTGCAAAAGCAGCCTGATGAACAAGAGCCTGTGGAAAAGGAGCCTCCGGAATCTGGAAGTGAAGAGGAATACATCGACGAAATTTGACGTCTTCATACACCAGAATCAGATCTACTGACCATCGCAGTGCTTGCAAATGTTCAAGTCTCAACCGACAAGGGAAAGCACAAGACGGGAGGACACATTTTCGCCGTGTACGGAGACGTTGGGAACATGGAGACAAATAACAATGGTCTCGGCCGGCCAAAGCCTTGGGTTCCAGCAAATGTCAAGGAGCGGTCTGGTGAAAGGCCTGAAGCTGCAGCGGGAAAGACTCGCTGTCGAAGTATCGGGCTCTCCCTAAAGAGCCACGAGCCATGACGGAAGACAAATGCAACTTCTTCTCAGGGGTTGCAATGCCGGGGTGACCATGCAGCACTGTTTGCGGGTTGGTGTGCCATCGAGGCCATTTTGTTCGTCTCGCGGACTCAGTTTGTTGGCGTTGCTGCTGTAGTTGGTGTCCTTTACCGGGTTCGGTGCAAAAATAAATATCTGTGGGCCAGATTGAAAGCTTGACGGGAACAACAATTGAAGCATCATGAAGCACTGCTCTGGGATTCACTCGTCCTAGCACCACAAATTCGTACGACAACCATGCACATTGTAGGGCGGGCTCTGGGGCGTGTAGGGCTGGCAGCCTTGCGTCAGGGCGAGGCTATCAGGTACCTTTGTGCCTTGCTTGTGGATGGTGACCAGGTGGCTGTCTGCAGGTGCCCCAGATTCTGCAGTCAGAGACCGCAGTGCCGGCATCGTGGCTTACGGCTGACACGGAAAAGTCTAGGTAGGTACATAGTACCTAGGTAGTAGTACCTGGTAGTCCCTGGACAAGGGTGTTGCGATGCCGGTGCTCTGTACAACTTGAACCATGTTCAGCTGTAGACTCGGCCTTAGCCTCCCCCAAAGTGGCTTGGGAGGATCAGAGGACCTGAAGCGCAGCTGCCACTGCCACTGCCACTGCTTAGGCTGGAGGACGGAGGGCGGCGTCCACAGTTCGAGTTGAAGTTGGGCTAAAGAGGCGTGCTGCGGTGCCACTGCGCCCTGTTCGCTCCCAGCTCCTGCGGGTTCCGGCCCTTGTAGTAGCTACCAGCACCACAGTACAACACCGGTGCCGTACCAGTAATGGCCAACATCTCTCCCAACTCTGAAGCATTGCATGATTCAGCGACCACTACTTTCGCCCTGACGCTGCACCGGACTGCTGCCTCCTCTACGCTTTTGATTTATCTGTCGCACCTCACATGAGACAGACTGGTAGAACATTTGCCTCGCAGTCAGTGATACACTCGCATCAACTCGGCGTTTGTCGCCCGAACATCTTCTTGTTTGGTTCAGTCGCCAGCCGACAACATCACCTGGGAAGGACCGGTTACCACGTCCTCGATCCCACGCCGGCCGATTAATCCCTCCCACCTTGATGGCAGTGTCATCAACCAAGCTGTCTGATTGAAAGCTACCGACCAGTACAGCATCGGCCGTCTCACACCATGGGTTTCGTAGGGGTATGCACCGCGGTCTACGATTACCACCCTCAGAGCACAGGGGAGCTGGAGATTCGGGAAGGAGAACTGCTATATATCCTGGAGAAAAGCACCGAGGACGACTGGTGGAAAGCAAAGAAGAAGGCCAGTGGAGATGACGAGGATGAGCCCGAGGGCTTGATCCCAAACAATTATGTGGAGGACGCAAAGCCCATTTCGACTGCCAAAGCGCTGTATGATTACACAAGGCAAACCGACGAGGAAGTATCCTTTACGGAAGACGCTGTGCTTGCTGTGTACGATACCTCTGATCCCGACTGGACACTGGTCGGCGTAGGTAACGATTTCGGCTTTGCGCCCGCCAACTACATAGAGATTACTACTGGAGCTGCGCCAGAGTCTTCGAGCCCTCCCACACAGCAATCTCCTCCATCGACGGTGGAACCCGATGTGTTCCCTCCTCCCGCCTCTCCGACAAGGTCGGCAGAGGATCCTGCGGCAAATCTGGCCCGAGTCCTCGGAGGAGGTGCTGCTTTGCCAGCAGCAGCCCGTCCGCCCGGCCCCCCTCCTCAAGAGTCCACCGCTGAGGTCTCTGACGGCGAGGAGGTTGCTCCTGCGCTGCCGCAAAGGCCCGCGTCCCAAACGATTGCTCCGCCCTTGGCGCCGATGCCATCACACCGCGACCAAGATTCTCGTGGGGTGCTCCCTTCCCCTCCATACAATCGTGCGCTGCCGAGGCCAGAAGAGGACGACGCTCCCATCCGCTCGCCAGGCGGGTTTCACCTATATAATGTTAATGAGATGGTTTCTGCCATGGGCCGGCGGCGGAAGATGCCGACCACTTTGGGCATCAACATCGCGACCGGTACCATCATGCTCTCGCCGGAGAAATCAAGAGATGGGCCTTCCCAAGAATGGACCGCTGACAAGTTGACACACTATTCGATCGAGGGCAAGCATGTTTTCATGGAGCTGGTTCGGCCAAGCAAGAGCCTGGACCTGCACGCGGGGGCCAAGGACACCGCGGAAGAGATTGTAGCTGCGCTTGGAGAGATTGCAGGCGCTCACCGGGCCGAGGGCTTTCGCGAGGTTATTGAAGCAGCCGCTGGAGGAGGGACTCACAAGAAGGGGCAAGTGCTGTACGACTTCATGGCTCAAGGTGACGACGAGGTGACGGTTGCCGTGGGTGACGAGGTCATCATTTTGGACGACACAAAGTCCGAAGAGTGGTGGAATGTAAGGCGCGTGAGAAATGGCAAAGAAGGTGTCGTGCCGAGTAGCTACATTGAAGTTACCGGCTTCGTCAACGTCGAGCCTCCTTCGCGGACGGGAGTCAATGCTGGGCTTTCCTCCGTTGAGCAAAACCGGCTTGAAGAGGCGAGGCTCGCAAGAGAGGCAGCTCGTGTCGACAACGCTCAGCAGGACTCTGTTCACGGACGGACTCGCAGCGGATCTGGCCATGGCGCGCTCCCTCAGCGCGGTAGCAGCCTTGCTGACGACCAACCACATCGGAGGGAGCGAAAAGACAAAGACGATCGAAAAAAGAGCCGGTCGAAGCCTGATCCTGCCAAGGTCAGGACATGGACAGATCACTCCGGAACCTTCAAAGTTGAAGCACAGTTCCTCGGTGTGGCAGATGGCAAGATCCACTTGCACAAAGTCAATGGCGTAAAGATTGCTGTGCCTGTGACCAAAATGTCTCCAGAAGATCTGGAATATGTTGAGAAGGTAACCAATGAGTCGATCGAAGAAAATATTCCAGTGGCTGATCTGATCAAGATGAAGCGTCGGAGTCAATCGTCTGAACAAGCGAAGTCGAGAAGCGGTGCCATCTTGGAACCTCGCAGTCCGGAACCACCGAAAGGCCCCGAGTATGACTGGTTCGATTTCTTCCTCAAGGCGGGAGTCGGCCCTCACCAGTGCGAGAGATATTCACAGGCCATGATACGGGACTCGATGGACGAAACTGTTCTACCTGACATCACGGCAGAGAATCTAAGAACGCTGGGATTGAAAGAAGGGGATGTTCTCAAAGTCATGAAATATCTTGACCACAAGTTTGGACGAACGCGCAGCCCAGTCGCCAATGGTACCGGCAATGACGCTGCCACAGGTGGAATCTTTTCAGGGCCCGGTGGAACATTGCACAACAACACCCGCAGAGGCAGGCCTGAAGCGAATCGACAGACAAACGACGTGGTGGACCCGGATGCTTTTACCAAAGCCGAAGCCGATAAAGCGCCACCTGCTGAGGCGAAAGCCACGGTTCTCACAGAGGCACCTCCGAGGGAGCCGACCGCTGGGTTCGACGACGATGCTTGGACCGTCAAGCCGCCCAGTCAACCCTCTGCAGCTGCACAGCAACCTACATCCCCGGCGGCCAAACCACCTACAGGTGCATTGAAGGAATTGTCCTTACTTGACGCCCCTCTGCAGCCGACGCCAGCTCAGCCTCCTGCACCCCCTGTCAACCAACAACCGAATCCACAACCTCAGCCCCAACTTCCGACTCAACCTACTTCCCCTCCCACGGTGCCTTCCATCCAACAGTCGCAGCAGACAGGCGCAACACCTCAGTTTTTCTCCCAAGTTAACCAGATTCCAGGGCAAGTCCCAGCTCTAGCGACGGGCGTCCAGAACCAGCAAGTCAATCTACCTCGTCAACGACCGGCTGCGCCACAGCAAAACTTTACTGGCACGTCTTTGCTACCGCCTCCTCCGCGGCCAACGTCGGCTCCCCAGAACCCGCAACAGAATCAGTTCGGTCTCCAGCCTTTGCAACAGCAATTGACGGGAGTTCCGCGCACGTCTGCGTTGCAGGCGCCGCCTGGTCAAAGCCTCAACGACCTATCGCAACAACGGTTGCAGCAGCAATACCACCAGCAGCAATTGCAACCTCAATTGACGGGCGGTCTAACACCTAATCAGGGTTTCGGGCAATATGGCCTTGCACCTCAACCTACCGGCTTCCAAGCACCGCGCCCATTTAGCCAGTTTGGGCAGCCTTATCTGAATGGAAATGCAACCGGAAGCCCGTTTGCCGATCCCCGACCGTCTTTCCAGGCTCAGCCTACCGGAATGTCATACACACAAGGTCCGCAACCGACCGGCATCAATTCCGTCCTCCCACCAGCTCTACAACCACAACCAACCGGGTTCTCCTCTCCACAGCCACAGATGAATGGGTTTGGTCAGGGAATTCAGCCTCAGCCTACAGGTTTCCCTCAATCTTTCTCCATTCCCGTCCAACCCACAGGATTTCAACAGCCGCTGCAGCCACAGCCCACCGGCTTCGGACAGATGCCCCAGCAAAACAGTCTAGGGGGGTTTCAGCCGCCGCCTGCCCCGCCTGTCCCTCAGTTACCAACTCTTGCACCACTACACCCACAAAAGACTGGACCTGCTCCGCCCGTGAGATTTGGACTCACCGAAACCAAGAAGCTGACTCCTCAACCAACAGGACGGAGAGCAAATCTTGCAAATGCTAGTGAGTTTGACATCCCAAAATTTAACTTGCGTATGACTGACAATATCCAGCGGCTCAAAACCCATTTGGCTTTTAGGCTGGGCTGTCAAGCTTGCGAGATCGCCGGACCTGCCTTGCCCCTTCTTTCCCAATCCCTGTCATCGATTGAAGTCCTGTATGCAGCTGCGAATCTAGTCAGTTGTCACAGGCAAGGGCCAAACCAGTGGCAGTTACAACAATGCTAGATCCGCGCCTTGAATTGGTATGGGCAGAAAGGATATGGTTTAGATGATGAAAAGAGCAAGCCTGTGCATTCTCGCATACAAGAGATTTCCGTCAGCGTTACCCCAGCTTCTTGTACGTCAACAGCATCATCTAAGGGCATCTATGATGTTGAGGATTGAGCTTCCATGAGCGGCGTCATGCAGGTGGGAAAGTGGTTCATAGCCTGGTGCAACGGGGTGAGGTATATACTTTCGCCTGATTTAATCAAAGATTTTAAGCTTGTCGCTATCGCCGTGCGCTCACGAATTGCCTCTTCGGTTGTGCTGTAACAGGATGGCAGCAATCCCCGTAAAGTGGCAATAACCACAACTCGAGGGCAGTCAGCTGCATAACAGATGTTACTGGGACTCTGTTTTGTTGCAGTAGAATGAACCTGGAAGTCTGGGAATACTACGAGATATGGGCAGCAAACATGCCAAGAAGTGGACAAACCTCCCGTTTTGCGGTTGCAAGCCTAGTTCAGTTGGAGTACAGCATACAATTGCACTGCTAAAATTGGTGGACTTCAATGTAATAAGTTACCATCAACATTAAATGCGCCGATCAAGAAATAGACAAGGATTGTTCTAAATACACGACCATTCCTGGGAAAGTCGCAGCTTCTGGATTCTCGCGATTCAAACAGTGTTGACAGTCATACCCTTCCACCATGATCTGCTCAAGTTGCCGACGGTCTTTACTCACCCGTATTCGATACCCTCCGCCTTCATCTCTGTTCAGCATTCGACATGCGTCCACCGTTCCCGCTACACCCAATGCTGCCCCGACCCAAGCGCCTCCCTCGATTGCCATAGAAGGCGCGAATCCGGTGCACTCGTCCAAAACGGCGGGGATCTCACAGCCACTCTCCGAACCACACACCCCCTCGACCTCGAGCGCGAAGACGGGATCCTCATCCTCTTCCAAAGATACCGGAAAGAAACCTGCAAAAGTCAAGAGTTCGGTCCCTGGCGGTGAAATCTTGAAAGGGCTGGGATATACGAAGGCGCAGCCGAATATATTGGCAAAGGAGGACCATGAGTACCCGGATTGGCTGTGGACGCTGCTCGACGACAACAAGATGGCCACGGGGGAGACCAAGGTGGACTTGTCAGGTATGCTTGTTTTCAAGAATCCCATCCATTGGCCGTCTGTCGCGAAATTGGGCTGGCAGATCTTCTTTCAAGAGACGCATGCTAACGAAAAGGTAACTACAGCAATGACCAAGAAACAACGCGCCAGATACGAGAAACAGCAGGAAAAACTGCTCAAAGACCTTCCTGTCACCATTCCTCCGCACGAACAAAGTGCAGACTTGACCCGCCCTGGCGATGACGCTGTTACCAGTTTACAACGCAGACACGAGATCACCAAGAGTGCTCGGGCGGCCAGGAGAAAAGCCATCCGGGAGAGCAATTTTTTGAAGTCAATGTAGATGGGCGCGCATTGAACATCGGGAGTGTTCTATGGAGGTACTCTGGTGTTCTGTATCTCCTGGTCTATTTTCGATTCGGGCCATATTTGATGTATAGTAAGTCGACAGAAAAATCACAATGGTTTACAGTTGTCTGGAGCAAAGAATTCTCCTGCTCAGAACTGAGTACACTCCAGATTTGATTTGGCGTCTAATTGGTATACCCATACTATCGCATATACTGGTGCGGCAAAAAAAAAGCCTGTCCTGCGCCCTGAATATACGCCACTGTCATAAACCTGCAATGTCATGCTTCGTCAACCGTTTCCGCGAATCATCCAAAACTGCGCCTCAAGTTGTGTAGACCAGCTAGGATACCAAATCGGGCCGCATTCGCTTGTCACGGACGAGCAGCCCGTTTCATCCTGGCCAGCCTGTTTCAAGAGACAATTCTGTCCAGATCAACATGTGCTGATGTTGCTCGGAGTCGAAGTCCATCTTAACCGGCGAAGACCACTTCCGCTTGGACTGCCGCGCAACGCCTCACGCCCACAGCTACCTCCCGTGATTCCCATATCGCCTTCCAATCTACCTACCTCGCGCCCCCAAGCATAGCCTGCACTGAAGCTGATGGCCGAGAATACGAGCACTACTCCCGCTGATATCATCCATGAGGCAAGGGTAGGGCTGATGAGCTCATCGCCGGCCACCGCCGCTTTGGCAGCCCGGGCTTTCTTAGCATGTCGTTCTTTGCTAGATTCTCTGGATTTCCGCTTGACGTGCTTGGGAGAGGGAGATTGTCGAGATCGAACGGTCGTGTCGAGTTCTGACTCAGGGACTAACCGCAAGGCTGTTGGTTGAGTGGAGGCACGAGCGGGGGCTGGTCGATGCCCAGAAGCTTTTGGCCGAACAGCAGCGGCGCAAGATAGCAGCGTGGTCAATGAGGCGCGTAAAGCTGCATCATGGTCGGCTTGATAAGATGATCTGCCTGCTCGATGTCGAGGATGGGTCTGCCTTTCGTAACTCCGTTGGGTTATTGTCCGATCCTCAGCTGCCGACAGTGGTGTCGTCGCCGGCGCAGGCGGGAAATATGAATCTGGTATAGCCCGTTCTTGCGAGGAAGGTGGATGAGAGAATGCGTTCGGCTGAGGCGTGAAGACCCTGTTAAGGCTGCCAACACCAAGAGCCGTGGAAGTTTCATCGTCATCGGCAGTATCGCCTTGGGAGATGTCTTCATTCGAACTGCTCAAAACCCGGTCACTCTCGCTTTCGCTTTCGTCATATTCGTCTTGACTGCTCCCTGTTGCGCTAGTCGAACGAGGCTGCACGACAGAAGGGCCGCCCGATGCGTGGACAGAACGGGAAAATCGCTCTTGATGAGGGCGAACTTGGAGGCCGGTAGTAATGATGTCGTTGCTTGTAGACGAGAGGGATGACGAAGAGGGCCGCGAAGAGACCTCGACCCACGAATCTATGGAGACGTTAGCAGAGGCCTTCCGGAAAGTCTCGCGCAGGAGGCTATGATGGGCTTGTATTACCTTCGGAGCGCATTGCTCGCATGGACGAGTTGTTATGTGCCAGTGCGGCATCGGCACCCCTTGCAAAACGGCCTTCGCGTTCAGTTCTCTGTGGGCCATACGGCTCGCTCTGCGTTGGACGCATTTCTCCAATCTGCACCACGGTGGTCACGTTGATTGTGGTCTGGTTTGGATTCGGAGCACGACGGTCAGCGTTGAGCCTCCTCGGTTGCGCCGCAATCAGGCGATGATATTGCAGTACCGTCGCCCTGGCCGGGATGAGAAGAGAGGATGATGGCCGACCCTCAACTCTTGATAGTTCGCAGCACCTGCAGGCTAAGTTGTTGGGTCAAGGCCGCCGGAATCGCTGCTCGTCTCACCGCTGACGATGAGATGGTGGGGGTGACGGCCGTTGATTGGGATCTGAGCCACTTTAGGGATCCGCACGAAACGCGCCACGAATCTCCGCCGAGTAGTCGGGGTGGGGATAGATCCAAGTTTCAGAGCGACTCGCGCAGAGGAGGATTGAGATGGCAAAGTTCGACCGCAAGATGGTTTGTGAGATGGCAAAGGGGATACGGCCTTTGTAGCTTTGACAGCTGGGGCGCAGGATTGGGACCTGGCAGTGCCGCGTGTTGACGACTTTGATTATTGGGCTGGCACCACTGGCAGAGCAGGCAAGGTATAAGGTAAGGGATGCAGGGAGAAGATGCCTGCAAGGGGACCTTGTACTTGTCTCTCCCTGAGCAAGATACCTACTTGTAACCAACTTGGACGGGCAGCAGGGAATCTGGTTTGTTGCGCACTGACCTGCCCATCATCTTCGTCAGGTGTCAAGCCTAACTTGACGGGATGACCTGGCGCATCACGAGATCCGGGTTGGTTGGTTGGACTCGACTGATGTAGAAGTATCACTTGTCACTTCTGCTTCCCGCTTGGGGGCACTCTCTCCCAGGCTGTCTCCAACAGGCGCCTCACTGGATCTCTTCCCGCCATTTGGTGGCCGATTTCGGTCTCGACTACCAACGTTGGTTTCTAACGATTGCTGCATACCATCACAGGAAAAGGTGGTCAAGGTGCATTATTTGATTTCTATGAAAGACTGCAATTCGACACATTTTTTGGACTAGAAAGAAAGCAAAATGAAACACAAAGCACCGAACTTTTTACATACTTTACCTTGTTCTGCGAGCGCTTCCCAATTGAAGAGGGTCACACGAGAGCAAAGTCACCCAGCAAACATACTCACGGGTATCCAGCGAGACGCACACACACGTAGTCCAAAGAACACCACTGATCAGGTGCCTTTAGAACTAAAAGGTGGTCTTCTTTCCCGAGAAATCACCAAATCCACCGCGGTTGGTAGAGCCACCACGGCCACCACGGCCGCCTCCGCGACCACCTCGTCCGCCACGATCACCGAACCCACCGCGGCCACCGCGACCACCGAATCCACCACGGCCACCACGACCGCCAAATCCTCCACGTGCGGGAGAGTCGCCGTTCTGGGGACGGGGTTGGCTGTAGTCGAGACGGATGGGACGGTTCTTGATGTAACCACCCTGCATGGCCTCAAGAGCAGCTTTGGCCTCGTCGACAGAGCCAAAGGTGACATAACCGAAACCCTTGGGGGCACCAGTCTCACGGTCAGTAGGCAGGCGGATGCCCATGACCGTTCCATGAGGAGCGAATGCCTCGGAAACATCCTCCTGAGTGCAGTCAAAGGAGAGGTTGCCAAGGAACAATGTGTCGGTCGGCTCGCCGAGTTGGTCTCCATAGGACTTGCGACGGTTGTCGGCCGGCTTGTTGTCATTGCTGCGAGCGTTGGCAAAGTCAACATTCAAGGGACGGCCATCGAGCTCAGCGCCCTGCTTGGCGGCATAGGCTTTGGCGGCATCGGCGGCGTCAACGAACTCGACATAACCGAATCTAAGAGTCTGTTAGTCATGTAACTGAAGCGGATCAGCATTGTCCACATACCCTTTGGATCGTCCAGTTTGACGATCAGTCATCAAGCGAACACCGCTGAGCTCACCGAACTCCTCGAACTCGGATCGCAGCCAGTTCTCGTCAACGTTCCAGGACAGGTTACCAACGAACAGGTTCGGGCCCTTGGATGTGTCAACGTCGGCGACCTTGCTCTTCTTGGCAGCTGGGGTTTCGTCGTCTTCGGCCTTGCGTTTGGCAGATTTCGGTTTGGCTTCGGCCTCATCATCCTCATCGGAGTCGCTGCTGTCTTCGCTGCTTTCGTCTTCATCAGACTCGTCATCGTCATCGCTGCTTGCCTCATCATCAGCGGCGGGCTTAACGCCATTGGCCTTGGGAGCGGTCTCTTCTTCGTCGTCGCTGTCAGACTCCTCGGAGCTGTCGTCGTCCTCAGAGGAAGCTGCCTTGGCGTCTTCCATGGTGGCGTCTTCGGAGTCAGACTCGGATTCTTCGCTGTCGCTGGAGTCGGATTCTTTGGCGGCAGCCTTGGCAGGTGCGGTGGCCTTCTTAGCAGCGCCGTTCACCTTCGGAGCCTCATCTTCAGAAGCAGAGTCATCCGAGTCAGACTCCTCGCTGGACTCGTCGCTGGACTCAGCCTTGGCAGCGGGCTTGACAGCCCTCTTTCCCTTGGTCTCGACCTTTTCGCTCTCATCGGATGTTGAGCTGGTGTCGTCATCCTCCTCCTCAGAGCTAGACTCCGGAGTTGGCTCCTTGACAGGAACCTTCTTCGGCTTCTTCTCCTCCTTTGCAGCGACCTTCTTGGCCACCTCCTTGCTCTTGGTCTTCTGGCTTTGCGCAGGCTTGGTGACCGCAGCCCCTTTGACCTTGGTCAAGACATCGGACTTGGTGGCTTTGGCGGCGGCGCCAGACTTGGACTTGGACTTGGACATGTTGGATGTATTCTATGATGGTTAGAATTGAGTAGAAGATGACGAGAATTGTTTTCCAACCAACCTGATAACCCTCGGAGATGAATGGAATCCCTCGGACCTCTTCAAGTGCGGCGGTGTAAACCCTCAACCCACAGTGTGAATAAGAGCCCTCGACCTCGTGTCAAATGCCGTAGCAGATGACAAGCAGAAAAAAATTTCTGCGAAGCGCGCAACACCACGGACTTGGAAAATCGGACTGAATCTGGTCGACAGGGTAGACAAGCAGACCTGTGACTAATTTGTATGCCCTCGATCTCAAAACCCACGAAGCCCTCGATAGACGTCAATTGATGCCCTCGATAAAAATGCCCGCAGAATACTGAAGAAGGATACGGTTGCCGTGAAACAAGATGGCAGTGCAGTGTGTAGGAAGAAGGAAAAGTCGGAGAGCCTGAAAATTTGGCGGCAATTAAATATCCTTATCTTAGCGTCAGTTTGGAAATTTCAGCGCGATAAGAATCCAGTTGCGGGTCTCAGGGTCTGCGGTGAGGGTCTGAAGGATCTGCGCTGGAGCCTGAGAGGCCCTACAACTACTAGTACCACTGTAGATTTGCCTTGGGGGGCTGGGAAACTGGGAAATGAGCGGTCACGAGGGTTCGGAATAACGTTAGTCCGGCCAGCTAGGTGTGCTCGATATCAGTTCCTGAAGTGATACCTAGGTTCAATCACGATGTACACGGAGATATGTTTGCATAGAGCCCCATAACTGCTTCTTGAACCCTATCTTGACCTTTGGCTGTGTGTACGACTCGCCGTTCACTGTCATGTCGGGCTCTTCTCAATCGCATCGACCCCGGAAAAAGCGGAAACAGTTGTCGACCTTGACCCGAAGTCCTACGATCACGGACATTGTCAAGGTGGACGCACAAGACAATGCCGTCAGTCCTGAGTTTCCCTTGGTGGCCTTTCTCTGGCCCTCCCGTGGCACGACTTCGCAATGGATCCTCTTGCCATTAATTCTGATGGTGGTGGCCATTTTTCGCTGGAGCGTGGGACTCTGGGGTTACTCGGGGTACCAGCAACCTCCTATGCATGGCGACTTCGAAGCCCAGAGACATTGGATGGAGATCACTACACATTTACCAGTATCTAGATGGTACTTTTATGACCTTCAGTACTGGGGGTTGGATTATCCTCCTTTGACTGCTTATCATAGCTGGGTCTGCGGCAAGATGTAAGCTGTCTTGTTCCCACAGCTTCGACCAATGCTAACCGGTCTAGTGGTTCGCTTTTCAATGAGGATTGGTTTGCTTTGGACAGTTCTCGTGGCCTCGAAGATCCTACGCTCAAAGTATTCATGCGCGCGACGGTGCTTGTGTCAGAATATCTCGTCTACATCCCTGCTCTGGTCGTCTTCCTACGCCATTACAGCCGGTCAGAAGGCACCGGAACGACGTCTGTCTCCATCGCGCTTGTGGCCATCCTCATGCAGCCTGCAACCATGCTAATTGACCATGGCCACTTCCAGTACAACACCGTGATGCTTGGCTTTGTGGTCGCTACTTTGTCAAGTATTTATGCTGGACGGTTACTGTGGTCGTGTGTCTTCTTCGTCGCCGCACTGGGCTTCAAGCAGATGGCACTGTACTACTCCCCAATCGTGTTTGCCTATCTCTTGGGCTCATGTATACGTCCGCGAATTCGTTTCGGTCGATTCGTGGCCATCGCCGCCGCGACTATACTTGCGTTTGTGGTTTTATTCGCCCCGTTACTGCTGGGTGCTTTGTATGAAAGTTATACGACGCCAAACATGACCGACTTGCCGACACCACCTTTGATCGCAGACAGGGGCATTGGATTGAATCCGAACATTCCTGTACAAATGGTTGCCCTCCAACTGAGCCAGGTTATCCATCGCGTCTTTCCTTTTGCGCGTGGATTGTTCGAGGACAAAGTCGCCAATTTTTGGTGCTTCACCAACACCTTCTACAAGCTTCGCAAACTTGAAGGAATCGTTGATCTCTCTCGAATTTCTGCTGTCCTCACGCTGGCGTCAGTTTCCGGACCGATGCTGATCGTGGCCGCCGTCCCAAAAAAGGCGCTGCTTCCATACGCATTGGCTACGTCGGCATGGGGTTTCTTCCTATTTTCTTTTCAGGTGCACGAGAAGTCCGTGTTACTGCCCCTTCTGCCTATGACGCTTCTTCTAGGAAGCAGCAAAGGCCTCAGTAAGGAATATCGAGCGTGGATCGGCTGGGCTAACCTTTTGGGTGTGTGGACAATGTATCCGCTCTTAAAGCGAGATGGCCTACAGACACCTTATGTTGTGGTGTCCCTTCTATGGTCCTATCTCATGGGCCTCCCTCCCACGAGCACAAATGCTTATTACGATCCTGCCTATGAGAATGTCACCGGCCGACCTTTAGCCGCGGACGATTTGCGGACTCCGACCAAAATTCTACACTTTCAGACCTACATTGTCATGGCGTTTTGGCACCTGCTTGCTGCCTTTGCAACTCCTCCGGAAGACAAGCCCGATCTTTGGGTTGTTTCAAACGCCTGTATTGGGGCACTCTGTTTTGGTGTTTGTTATCTTTGGTGTTACTGGAAGCTGGTGTCTGAAAGCGGCCTGCTTAATGAGCTAGGGAATACGAGTGCACCAGCGGCGACAGACAAGTCGAAATCCCACCAGAAAAGTATCAAATAGACATACCCGGCAACTTGGAAAACCTTGATTTGGATAGACAAATAAACACAGGTCCAGAATAACGTCTTTCATCATAGCAATATCATAACGATAGTCGTCCCTCGTAGCACTCTTCTGGGTCAATCTATGCATAGTTCACCACGCCTCTGATTGCCCAAACTTCGCCATTCCCGACGCGTCCGACGATTCCGTCCACAATCAAATTGCCTGGCTTGATTACCTTGTGACCGTCTTGTTCATCCCACCATAGTTCTTGACCGCCCAACGTCTTGATCTTCCCTTCGGGTCCTCTTTTCCAGGGACTGGTCGGTACCACATGTTCTTCCACGAACCGCTTCAGATTTTGCGCGGCTTTGTCTTCGTTCCTTTCAGCCGACACGCCCGAATTATCATCTGGCCGATCTTCCCAGGGCTTTCGAGGAAGCGCTTGCATCACGCTATTCAGCGGCGCAAGAAGCGTGGTATTATCTTCGGGTTTGGTGGATTCTAGGCGACCAGTCACCGTAGAAACATCGCGGGTCAGGGACGCGAAAATGTTGATTTTGCGGGTTTGAGGAAGGACATCTGAGATGGAAAGTGTACTATCATCCACACCGCCGCCGGTGATGGCCGACTGCCCATTGGAACTGGCTTGAGCAGAGACTGCGGCCATTGCGTGCTGCTTACTGTTGAGGAATGAGAGGGAACGACGAACGACTGAGGCGGGTTCACGGAGGAGATCCAAAGGGAACAGGGCGGCCCCTGTCGACAGCGAGGCGCAAAAGGCTGTGATAAGTAATACAGGGTGCATTGTGGTAGAACTCTGATCAGCGAGTTCTCCGTCGTTGCATGAGTTGATTGAAGAGAAGGAATTGTCTGTCGACCCGACCAGCACTGCCGGTGACCCAATAAGCGGCGCTGCGGTACCGCGGCTGAGGATGACGTCGGCGCAGGCGGGCGTCAAATGTTTTTCTACGGGCGTCAAACACCATCACAATCACCACGGCAGATTGTTTTTACTGGCCTGGTTGCTCGTTCACTGGCGAGACATGATTTTCCGTGTCTCATGGGTGCCGTAGTCTATCTACTTATGGTGAAGCCCCCGTCAACGCGAATGTCTGCTCCATTGATCATGGCACTTTCATCTCGGCATAGAAATTCAATGGCGTGGGCAATTTCAGAAGGCATGCTGAAACGTCCCGTCGGAATCTGAGCGAGATGCTTTTCTTTCTTCGCCTCGTCCGCCCACGCCTTTGCTGCCAGGGGAGTCCATGTTACTGTTGGGCTGACAGTGTTTGCAGTGATACCTTTGGGACCCCATTCACTTGCCATGCACCTCGTATGCCCGATGAGTCCGGCTTTCGAGGCACAGTATGCCCCGTGGCCATCGAGGGCAACATGAGCAGCCTGAGACGCAATGCTCACGATTCGTCCTGGTGGAACATGGCTTTTGTCCACTTGCGAAGCCCGAGTCTGGTACAAATGGAAGAACGCATTGCTGGTGATGAATGGACCTAGCATGTTGGGCAGCAGGTTCCTCATCACCTCCTCTGCTGATGTCTCCTCCAAAGGCTGTACGGAAACATATCCTGCAGCATTGATCAAGATACATGGGAAGGACTCGAGCTTGCCGATCCTCTCGAAGACTTGCTTGACTGACGGTTCCGAAGTGATGTCGCACTCAAAGGTATGGACCCGTTCCGGGGTCTTGGTCTCGAAAACGCGCTCGAGAGTTTCCTCAACTCGTCCTGCTTCGAATGGAGCGTAGAGCAATGCGACATCAGCTCCATGTTCGCGCAACCGTTGGGCTGTGACAGAGCCCAGGCCGCCTAATCCAGTCAGTCGAAGGTATGTTTGAAGCCGACAGTGTCCATACCGATGCCGCCCGCCACGATTGCAAGTCTTCCTGAGTACGCCATCAGCGAATATGTTGTGACGGACAGTAGAATATCAATATGGAATAAACACGGTGTCCTGGTTTCGAGGAGGATACTGGGCACGGGGCGTCAAGAGCCAGCAACTGCCATGGCTCTTCCCCGCATCTTGTGCCCACTCCGACGATGAATACTGGCACTGCGAACTATGCGCGCGCAGAGTCTGGGATGCTTGCGGACATTGTAAGTGACCAGAACTCTGAGTCGTGTAGAGGGAATGTCCACATGGCTACATCCACGGTATCCTGATCATTTGCATCCTGTCCGTTATGAATTTACCAGAGTTGAAGCTCGAATTGCGGAGGATCTGCGTGGAGCGATAAGGATGGTCACGGAGAAGAGCGATGCAATATTTTTGTTGGATTCGGGGGAGAATAAGATGAAGGTCATTTTATTAAATCAGCGAAACATCACCACTGTTGTGGTCTTTCGCCATTACTCTTCTTGATTGGACGGGTACAAAAAGTCGTCGATAGTATAGAAATTCTCCTTGATCGTCCGTTGGGAGATGAACCGTGTCAGAAGACCACTTGATCCAGCCTTGTCGTTGGTACCGCTGGCTCTAGAGCCGCCGAATGGTTGGTGTCCAGGCATGGCTCCGGTGCATTGATCGCTATTGAGCTGTTAGCAATTGGGCTGCGTGGAGATGATGGTATGTACTTACTTGACGTAGAAGTTGCCAGCGGAGAATCTCAGTTCCTCAGTCGCCTCAGTGACGGCCGCACGATCGCGGGAGAATATCGAACCGGACAATGCGTACTCCGAGGTCGTGTCGATGAGCTCAAAGAGTTTGGGACCGAATTCGACGTCTTTGTAGACATAGATGCAGACAAAAGGACCAAAGATTTCCTCTCTCATGAACTTGCTGTGAGGATTCGTTGTCTCAACCACAGTCGGCCGAATATACCAACCAACCGAGTCGTCATACTCTCCGCCCGCGAGAATTGTAACTTCAGAGTCCTTCTTGGCATCTTCAATGTACGTCGAAACACGTTTGAAAGCTGCTTGGCTGATCACCGGGCCGGCAAAGTCGGTGAACTTCTCTCCCATTGTGATCTTCTTGGTTTCAGACACCAGTATCGACTTGAACTCTTCTGCCACAGATGCGGGTACATAGATGCGGGACAGAGCGCTGCATTTCTGGCCCTGATACTCGAATGCTGCTCGCAGAGACTTCAGTGCTGCATTTTTGATATCGGCGCTGGGATGGATCAGATGGAAGTTTTTGCCTCCGGTTTCGCCCACCATGCGCGGGTATGATTTCCAATAGTTGATCTTTTCCCCGAGCCTCTGGATGAGCCTGCGGAACACGGCTGTGCTGCCTGTGAAATGCAATCCACCCAGGTCTCTGCTTTCGTACACCTGCTTTGTAATAACGTCGGCATCTCCGGGGAGAAACTGAACCACACCGGCCGGCATGCCTGCTTCGATCATGATTTGGTGGAATAGCCAGCTGGAGTAGATGGCACCTGGACTTGGCTTCCAGACCACCACATTACCCACGATCAATGGCGCAAGCACCAAGTTGACAGCCAATGCCGTGAAGTTGAATGGTGACACTGCGTAAACAAATCCGTCGATTGGGCGTACTTCAGTGCGGCTGTCCTTGGTCAGTATGGTTTTAAGGTGCTTGGGGAGTAGACCACGTACTTCCACACCCCAGGAGCGTTGAACGGCGGCTGTGTCTTGTACAGGCCCTCTGCAAGGCTTGGGAAGATTTTTAAAAAGTCGATGGACTGTGCCAGATTAGAGACAGTGTCAACATTGGTATCATTCGGTGCTCACCTCGGCAACACAGTCGATATCGGCCTGGTAAGCATTCTTGCCTTGACCCAACATGGTAGCTGCCATCATCTTGTACTTGTAAGTCGTTTGGAGGAGTGCAGCCGCCCGTAGGAAGATGGCTGCACGCTCATGCAACGAAGTCCGGGACCATTTCTTTTTCGCCTCGAGGGCATCGGTGATTGCTTGCGAGACAAGTTCCGGCGTCGAGCTTGGGTATTTTGCAAGGACGAGTCTATGTCGGAACGGTGAGAGCTGCTGTTCCGTGGCTTCACTCTCTACCTGGTTCAATGTTAGTTGTGTCAAACATGATAATGAAGAGGGACAGTACCTACATCTTTGCCGTTCACATTTGGAAAGACTGTGTATGGTGCGCCTTGTTCCAACTCTTTCACCGCTTGGGTAAGGTGTTTTCGTTCTGGGGATCCCGGTCCATACGAGGTCTGTAGTCAACGATCAGCATTCGCATCGTGTTGGTTTCATGTGCCGGCTTACAAATGGTTCGTTGACCAGCTGCGGAAGCGTAAAGGTACCAAGATTTGAGGCCTGCATGGTTGCGTTTCCGGACGACGGTGCGAATCTATGGGACAGGACAAACTTGAAGGCTTTGAAGAACAATATTTCAAGTCATCCAGGATGAAAATAAAGGAAGGCAACTCGTAGGGCATCTCCGGTTGGAGAATCCATTTCCAAAGATTGTAGGACTGCCATTGACTCGGCTACATCCCGTGAGACCTCCATGTGCTGGACCCTTTCCGAACTATGAAAGCAACATTGTTGGACTGGGGAAGCTCCATAAGAGTAGCATGAAGTTCGGTGCGAACTGTCAACCAGGGTCCACATGAGGAAACGGTTGCGAGCCTCGGGCGGAGAATTATAAGGCCGTCGAATGTTCCCCAGCCTCGCGTGGAGCTGGAGTTGGTTAACCGGGTGCGGAGATGTAAATTCTTTGTGCACAATTACCTAGCCATCAATTGAGAATCTATCTACCATGTCTATCTGAGTTTTCTTCGGTCCATGATCTCGGTTACTGCTGCAGTGAAAGACCCAACCAGCTCATCAACTTGTGATTTGCTGATAATGAACGAAGGGCAGAAAAGCACGGCATCAACTGCGGGCGAGCACAAGTAGACTGCAGCCCCCTTTTCAAACGTCAGCGATGCCACCTCGCTCGCTAGAGGGCTTCCTGAGGGATCGATCGGTGCAAATTCCACTGTTTGGAAAAGTCCAATTCCTCGGATTTCCCTGACTGCACTCTTGGGAAGCTGCTGCGTCAGCCTTGATACGAGATACGCTCCCATACCTCGGACATTTTGGAGTAAATTGTCGTTGATGAGTGTCTGTTGGACAGCAAGTCCCGCTGCACATCCGATGGCGTGAGCTTGATAAGTGTGACCGCTCAAGAAGACCCGGCTCTTACTCGACTGCTGCAGCTTTTCCGATATTCTGGAGTTGACAAGCACCGCAGAGAGAGGCTGATAGCCTGCTGCAAGTCCTTTGCCAATCGTTTGCATATCGGGAGGAGGGCCTCCAAGAGATTGCCACGCGTGAAGAGTTCCAGCTCTGCCCATCCCACACATTACCTCGTCATAGATGAGAAGAGAACCATATTGATCGCATAGTTTGCGTAAGGGATTGAGGTAGCCTTCAACTGCGGGTACAGAGCCAAGAGTTGCTCCAACAACAGGTTCCACAATAACAGCAGCAATGGTGGTAGGACCCAGCTGTTGGAACATCTCGTCATACTCCTTGATCAATCGCTCGACGTACTGCCCGGGTGTTTCGCCCTTGGCGGCGTCTTGAGAGTAGAAGCAGCGAGATACGTGGTGGAAGGCTGGTGAGAGTAAGGGTGCATATTGATCACGTCGGGCGGGATTCCATCCGGCCGCTAATGCGCCCAGAGTATTTCCATGGTATGAGTGTTTCCGGCCAATGATATTGACCCGATCCGGCTCATTGTTGCACAGGTGATAGTGACGAGCAAGCTTTAGTGCAGATTCGACCGCCTCCGAACCTATGATGCCAGGTCAGTCGGAATCACTGGCTGAGACACAAAGCACCTACCAGAACTGAAAAATGTGACTTTGGAGAAGGCAGAGCCGCTCTGGTCTATCAAAAGAGCCGCCAGTTGCTCGGCGGGATCGTTGGTGAAGAACGAAGTGTGAGCGAATGAAAGGGTTTGTGCTTGTTTGATAATTGCGTTTATGACCGCCTGATGACTGTGTCCTAGACAAGACACTGCCGCTCCAGAGCTACCATCGAGGACTTTTTGGCCGTTGGCAGCTACCAGGTAGACCCCATCACCTCCAACAGCGTTGGGATATGTTTTTGCCAGAGACCGATGTAAGATGGACGTCATGTTGAAGATAAACCGTAAACGATGGTTTGGCAAAGCATAGCCTCCATAGGCTTTGGTCCGATTGCTTTTATCAGTACTACAGGATTCATCGAGGACGACTAGATACCCATGTCCAAGATCCAAAGTGGTATTTCGGATAAACCCGATGTTCGGCATATCACAGGGAGGACCCGTTCGCGGGGACAAGGCTGAATGACTAATTTCAGGGCGGCTCACGTGCCCATTTGGCCCATTGCAGCCTCGGGGCACGAATCAGGCAACATCTCGCCGTCAAAGATAAGTCGGATGCCCCCATTTCGCTCGGCACCCCAACTTTCGTGGCTGGGTCATAAAGACTAGCTTGGAAGTTCGCTTCCTCTCTTCGCGACTTTGCATCTTTGCAACATCGGCCGTTGCAATTCTCGCGCACGGTATTGCGGACCTTAAGGGGCGTTTGACACACACAGCGAAGCCTGGAACATCAGCCCACACATAGGGCAACATGCACGAGTCTTTACAGCTTGCCCGGGTCCACCCCCAGACAACGTGGAGCCTTGGGAAGTCCATCACATTCCCTTCGCTGTCAGCGTCTTTCAACACCAGCCCTCCGAACACAATTGCTCGTGCTAGGATTGGCGAGGCTGTGCCTCCTTCGGGGCCTGAGGCCGACAATGGCAGACCACTCGGAGTGCCAATAATGTCAGCCAATACAGCCTCACTCATTCATGCATCGTCCGTGGGCGTTGCATTTCCTAAGGACACAGACCTAGATGGACCTCGACCTACTAAGCGCCGGAAGGGAGGCAAGATATACCATGTAAGATAGTATAACGACGGCCTTGAGGACGCCTAAACTTACCACTGCAAAAAGGGATGCAACACTTGTCGTCAAAGAAAAATCAAGGTAAGAACCTTTGTCAGTTATAGTCCGAGAGCTAACCGTAGCAGTGTGATCAACGACGGCCGACTTGCTATAACTGCGAGAGATCCCGTCAGTACATATGTGATGGCTATAGCCACGAGGATGGCCAGAATGTTGGAAATCCGGCAGATGCAAGACCTCGACAACCTGGCAATGCCAGCTTGTCCAGTGACTCAAGCAGCCCGGGGCAGGAGAGAAAATCTTCCGAACAAACCGAAGTGATTCCTCGAGATGCTGTACATCAAACATCACTCGGTTACAATCTTAATCAGCCACTTGAATGGTCGGAGCGGTCGCCTTCACCACTTTCAGAAGACAACACTGGATTTTTGGCCTATCTGCAACACGCATTCCCGGATGGAACGAACGAATTTGATTTGCCTTTGGATCACAATGAAGACATTTCGTTATGGTCGCCTTCGTTGGGTCAACAAGGGGATGACCTGTATTCGCAAGCATTTCCTGTTGTCAGATCGGAATTACCACGCCATACGCTCGAGGAGCTCACCCAAGAGCAGCCAGCCATCACAAGCCAGCAGGAACAGGAAACTTGTCCTTCCCCGCCGCGTGGATTGTCCCTAGAATTTCATGGATTTTCTCACGAGACTCGCCAGTTGTTGCATCATTACGGGACCCATGTTTGCCAATTGATGATGCCGACCGAAGCTCCGTCTCATAATCCCTGGTTGCAACTTTATCTTCCCATCGCCGTCCAAGAGCCCACATCCGCCGCAAAGCAAGCACTCCTTCACTCTATTCTGGCTGTTTCCGCTTTCAATCAAGCCGGGCTCCGGAGATCGAAGGGCCAACCGTTCAGAGCTCAGGCAACAGAGCACTCAAAGAAGGCAGCACGCCTTTTATGCTCTGGGGACTTTACAGCAGAACAATCACGTGGCAATGAGGTGGACAGTACAAACAAGAAGGCTTTATTAGCGGCTGCGCTGACAATGACGACCATTGAGGTAAGTGCGACACCTGCCTTGGAGGGGTTTATGCTGATTGATTTGAATAGGTCTTTAGTGGCGCGCAAGATGGAAGATGGCACGAGTATTTGCGAACAGCCAAGGACATTATCGAACGCACCGGAGGTAGTCAATGGTGGCTTTCAGAACCCGCAAGAGCAACATTACTTCAGATCTTCCGGTGTCTGCGCATAGTTTCCGAGACGTCGGGCTGGACCGATCGCAAAGAGCGCACTCAAGGTCCAAAAAGGTCCTCTGATGATCCAAACAGCAAGCCGGAGGAACCGGTGGCACCTAGTCCTTATGAGTACACCCTTGATGTGTCGTTCGGTATTTCCATGAAGACTCTATGGTGTCTCAACAAGATTGTCGACCTAGCAGCTATCAAAGCTGCAGCAGCACCCGGAGACTGCTGGTGGAAGGACCATAGCAGCGACTTGTGCAAACTGGAAAAGGAGCTGTTTGATCTGATGGAGGACCCGTATGCCTTTGCGAACGACGAATCTGTTGTGATTCCTCGGTCAACCGATGACCAGACTTTGTACGGTGGGCAGAATACTCCCGGGAAAAGTCCACAAGACCGTTTCCAACCCTTCACCTTTGGCGTCCCTCAAGTTGTCAGTGAAGAGATCCGGGAAAACCATTTGTGGGCATTCCACTACAGTGTCGCACTATTTTACCGGCGTGCCATCTGTGGTGGCGGCAACAACACCACATCTCCGGTGGCCACAGATTCGACTGCTCATTGCCCGTCTGGCCAGCATCTGGTTTCGAAGGTATTGGATCACTTGGAGAATATCGACGCTCTCACAGTTGGCACTCCTGTGGCGAACACGTTATGGCCCGGGTTCATTGCTGCCGTTGAAGCAGTGAATACGGAATTGCGTCATCGCGTGCTTGTGTGGTTTGCTCGGGCGCAGCGACATGGGATTGGGAATATAGCCGCTGCAAAATCGTTGGTCCTTGAGGTTTGGAGGAGGCTCGACCGCCAAACTTACTACAATCATGACCGGAATGAGTCGCCTACGGAACTCGGTTCTGTAGATTGGAGGGATGTGATGCGAGAGAAAGGCATGTATATCATGCTGACTTGAAAGTAGAAAAAATTTGTACACCTTCAAACTGGACTGATACCCATTTCATAACGCTAAATAAAGTACATCATTGTTTTGGTGTTTGACCTATATCAACTATCCTTGGCTGTCACCTCACGCAGATGAGGGCCTAGAACGTCTTTCCATAAATGCTTGTTTTTGTAGGACGCAATCTCATCCGTGTAACTGTTGATACTGGTCTGCAAAGCCTCAGCCACTTCTCTGTCTTTGGTGACTTCCGTGATTGGAGTGATGTATGTTCTGATGGAGAAAACAATGCCTCGTGTTTTCGGTAGTCGTTGGAGAAACTGCCTTTCGACGCGGAGGTGCAGGTGGTCCAGGGTCAAGGGGTGTTTCAAGTCTTCGAGTTTCAAGTTATGGTGCGAATTGATATGGAAAAGCTCGGGCGAGATGTCGATTGCATAGTTGAAGCGCATGATAGGTGAGTCGACCCGCAGACGAAGGAAGAATCGGTCCATGGATTTGGCGAGATTTTGCTCGTATTGTGGCACATTACCAGCATGAATCTGCCACAGGCTAAGCCCCATACGTTCCCGAAGTTTCCAGCCAGCTGGAGATATGTCAGTAGCCAGAAGAATACGGACACTGACAACTTACCTGGGAAACAGTTGGCTCCAGCTTTGAGACGTGTTTGTCCATCTTCTTCATTTTGGAGGATGAACCAATCCTCCGTTGTAAGCAGTCCCATCACCTGCAGAGGATGATAAGATTTCCATGTGTCGGCATCGCGGCGCAAATCCCATGTTTCGTTCACGACCAGATTTCGAATTCCTCCAGGCACTTTCCCGAACATGGAGGGGTAACGATGGACTAGGTGATCGACCAACAATTCCAGCGCTTCAAATGATGCTTCCTCACTGCCAGGTCGGGCTGCGAGCGTTTCTTCGGGGTGCTCGGCGAACAGGATTCGCTTATATCGATACCGATCAAGGTATTGGTTGTCGATCTCGACCCAATCGTCCAAGCTGGTCTTCTTCACACCTATGTAGACCATTAGTTGTGGCTCGTACTCTGCCTTATGCAATGTTCGCACCCATTGTGACATGGTAAGGCCCATTGTTCCATGGTCGGTAAGGCGTGGGGGCCTGCTTTCGCCAGTCGAAATCAGGTATAGGTTTCAGAGTTGAGAAATCGACCGAATCCCAGTCTGTTAATGTCAGTATGCTCCTGCAAATGCCGGGTGGTGCTGCTGACCTGGCTTTTTGTCCTTGGTTTCGGGAGCTGACCGTGGCGTGGTGTATCCGGACGAGGCTGTGGCGACCTTTTTCTGCGACCGTTGTCTAGTACGCAAGTATGCCAATATCGATAAAAGGCATGCCACAGGGATCGCGTATATTAACGGAATCGCAAAGGGAAACATTTCGATTTCAGTGAACGACGGTCGACTGCGATTGTCCGCTCACTGTTGAGGATATGATTGAGCGCTGTTTGGCTCTTCCTCGAGAATTTTGTGGCTTGAAGTTAGTTACCTCGTTCAATGAACGAACATCAAAGGCAGTCATCCACGCTCAACTTTGCTTATACTCGTCAGCTCTGGGTACGCCTCGCTTCTTGCTTCATGCATTTTTAGTTTGACAAGTGAACTCCGCAGAGAAACTTCGGGCTCGGAGTATGCCGTCCCCCACTGTGAAGCCTGGAGTTTGGGAATTTGCGGAGAGCCCGAAGCGGCCATACCTAGAATTGGTCTAGTAGTGCGAGAGTTCGGCGCGAAGAAGGTGGGAGTTGACGATTGGCTTTCGTAGCTACCTAAGTTCAGCCAACCCAACCTTCAAGTTGTGAGCGGATCTGCGACCTTCGAGAAGAAAAAGGTGTTGTGGTTTTATGCACATTTGGCCTAATATTCATCATTATTATCATTCATCGCAATTTATCATTCTCCCTATCTAGGTACAACTGTCTCCAGCAGCCCGAGCGTCCTGGCAAGCGTGACAATCGAGTAGAGCCTCTGCACTTGTTGATCTAGGAACCTCCTATCGATCATCTATCCTGTTGGTGAGTCTATTGGTGCAAAATAGGTATATATGTAATTAGTGCAAGGCTATGATGCCTCTGCCTGTGTGGTCGCGTAGGCTGCCACACTGCCCATGGCCCGAGGATACTGCACCTTTGGTGGCTGTCTTGTCTCTTCAATCTTCGTCTGGGCTTCGACTGGACCATAGCCACCACCACCAGGTGTGTGAATCACACAGCGGTCGCCAGCTTGCATTGCCACCATGTTCTTGGGACCAAGGTTGATCCAACGGTCAGAGCCATCGGGGTTCTTCTTGACCCAGTAATTTCCACCGCGACCACCCTCTTGGCCGCCATGCATCCCGTACGGTGCTGTGATCCGGCGTTCAGTGATGACACTGAATTTGAGGGGCGCACGGCACTCGATGTCTCGGACCACACCATTGCCACCGCATCGCATACCCTTACCGCCTGAGCCAGCACGGATAGAGAACTCACGCAGAACCACAGGATAGCGCTTTTCTAATGATTCTGGATCGGTGATCCTCGTGTTGGTCATATGTGTGTGAACCGCGCTGGCACCGTGAGCAATAGCAGTCGCGCCAGAGCCACCACAGATGGTCTCTCCAAAAGCATAGGCATGACCAGCCAGTGCTTTGCCTTCTGCGTCGCGGCCTCCTTCCCCGAAGAAACCGAGGCAGTTCATGCATCCTTGCGATGCGCCGGCAACTTCGAAGGCGCGCAGGATCACATCGCAAATGCGCTGGGAAGTTTGCGTGTTGCCCGCACATACAGCCGCGCCCGCGGATGGATTGATAAACGACCCCTCGGGCAGGATAACTTTTGTTGGTGCTAGGCAACCCTGGTTCATGGGAATTTCCGTGCCGATGAGTAGTCGCAAGCAGTACAAAAGGGCTGAATGTGTAATGGCAGGCGGCGCATTCATGTTACCGAACATCTCACATGAGGTGCCCGAAAAATCGAAGGTAGCGCTGCCATCTTCAGAAATGCTGACTTTAAGGTTGACGAAAGATCCATTGTCCATGCGATCTTGGGCCAACAAGACCGGTCCCCGCTCACGAAGAGTCTTTTTCAAGAAAGCTCTCACAGCAATTTCGGCATTTTGTTGGATTGCTGACATGTACAAATGCACAATGTCTTGAGAGTATTCCTCCATCAGGGCTTTGACCAAAGTGGAACCTTTATTGTTGGCAGCGACTTGTGCTTTGAGATCTGAAAGGTTGTCTCCCAGTCGGCGGCTACCGTTACAGCCTTTGTACTTGCCGGGCTCCAACAGGATCTTTGTTATACCCTCTTCGTCGAAGTGACCTTTGTGAATTAGCTTGAACGATCTTATGGCAGCACCTTCCTGCCAGAGCTCAGTCGAGTTGGGAGGCATCGACGTTCCACCGAGGCCACCGATATCGGTGTGGTGACCACGAGACGCCACGTAAAAGACCACATCCTTCTCCTGAGCATCAAACACAGGGGTAATGACAGTAATGTCCGGAAGATGGGTACCACCAGATGACGGGTGGTTGGACACAAGGACATCCCCAGGAGTGAGCTTGCCCTTGTGCAGTTCATGTTGGTACCTGACAGCATAACTCATGGAACCGAGATGAACAGGTACGTGTGGCGCATTGGCAACCAGGCCGGCTGATTGACTGTCAGTACACCTTCACCACGAAGCAATCGAGAGCAAGAGAGTTCACTCACCGTCTGGCCCAAAGATGGCACAGGAGAAATCTAGGCGTTCTTTGATGTTCAGGGACACTGATGTGTTTTGCAGCGCACGTCCCATTTGTTCTGCAATGCTCATGAATCTATGACCAAACACGCTCAGTGTGGCTGGGTCAACTGCATGGCTAGACAAGTCCTGTCTCATCGTTGAGATGATATTGATCACAACATGCGAAGACAGAATCTTTGCCTGAGCCTCTGGAACCACCAACAGAGTCTGGGTGGAATCGATGATGATAGCAGGACCCTTGACACAGGTGCCCGGTGCGAGGTCATGCAGAAGGTAGATCGGTGTTTCAACGCTGCCTTGCTTTTTGAAGTATACCATTTTCTTCGCATTGGGAGCCTGTTTGGGCTCCTTGAAGGTCAATGTGTTGAGCTCATGAGCTAACTCAGCAGTTCCACCGATGGTAGCCTTGCTTTTACCGATGCCACGCACCCGAATATCGTCAATCAGGATCTGCCGATCGTCGGGGAAGACGAAGTTGAATTCCTGGAGATGTCGCTTGAGGAACTCCTGCCTGAAGTCGGAGCCTTCTTTCTCCATGGTCATCATGGATGTTTCCGTGCCTTGGTAGCGCATGTTCAGGTAGTACTCGTACTCGATATTGGAGTCAGTGATCCCTTGGCTGACTAGCTTGGACTGAACTTGAGACCTCATGTCTTCAAACACATCCCCAAGGACGCGCCTTGAATCTGAGCTGTACACTTGACTGCAGGGCCTTTGGACTTCCTGGACCACATCCGCAAGAGCCATACCATAGGCAGAAAGAATGCTAGAGTATTTGTGAATGACCACAGTGTCGATGCCGAGTTTCGATGCCACATCACAGGCATGTTGCCCTCCGGCACCACCAAACGAGCTCAAGCGGTGGTTCGCTGCAAGCCTATCAGTCATTCTGTCCCGCGTCCGCAAAAACGAACAAACTTACCTATCGCATGCCCCTTGGCCTCTGTCAAGGCCCGAATCGGCCGGCACATTGCTTCGTTAGCAACATCCAAGAATCCGCAGGCAATCTCCTGCGGCGTTAGGGAGCCACCAGTCTCAGCGTTGATTTGCTCTGTCAGGGCTTTGAACTTCACGTGTACAATGTCTTCATCGAGGGGCTCATTTTCGTGAGGTCCAAATACCTTTGGGAAGGACTCAGGAACTAGTCGGCCCAGGAACAAGTTGGCGTCGGTCACTGTTAATGGCCCACCTTTTCGGTAACAAGCTGGACCCGGGTGTGACGACGCACTTTCTGGGCCCACGGCGAAAAGACCATTTTTCCAGGCAAGAATGGAGCCACCTCCTGCGGCGACAGTGTTGATATCCAGCTGGGGACTCTGAATGGTAACTCCAGCGGTAGTGGTCTCGAAAACGTGCTCAAAGGTACCACCGTATCGCGAAACGTCGGTGCTTGTGCCACCCATATCGAAGCCAATTACGGCAATACGGTTTGTTTCATCGTAGGATGTCCTTGCATATCCCACAACACCACCAGCAGGTCCGGAAAGAATTCCTTTCAAGCCCGAGAACTGGTCATACCGGACAAGGCCACCATCGGACTGCATAAATTCGCATCTGACGTCATTGAGATGGCCGCCTTCGAACCCTTTCTGGAATCCGGCAATATACTTCTTGATCTCGGGTGTGAGGTAGGCATCCGCGGTTGCTGAGCTACCTCGGGGCACCATCTTGATCATGTTTGCCGCCACTTGCGACGAGAGAGAAACGTGGGTGAATCCTGCTTGGATGGCCAACTCCCCAGCTCTCAGCTCATGATTAGGATATGCGTAAGAGTGAGCCAAGCAAATCGCAATGGTATCGATGCCTTTTGCTCTGAGCTCACTCAGATGAGCATTGAGGCTGGATTCATCGAGTGGTGTGAGAATCCTCACAAGTTGCCCATTGGCTCCCATCTCGAGGACCCCAGGGACGACTTCAGTGCTGTCGAATTGACCATCGATGTCTTCGTCAAAACCTTCAATGGTCACACGCTCGTCGACTTCGCAGACCTCCGAGTACAAGACCTCTGGCTTGGAGATGTTCAGGTCGAAAAGTCGTGGCCGTGACTGATACCCAATCTCTAGCAGATCTCGGAATCCCTTGGTGACCAAGAAGGCATGCCTCCGGCCTTTTCTCTCCAGTAAGGCATTTGTAGCAACGGTGGTGCCCATTCGGATGCTCTCAATGTTCGACTTTGGCAGAGGCGTATTCCGCGGAATCTCGGTATTACCATAAGTCGAGAGAACCCTTCGGATACCTAGACATTGGGTTAGTGAAGATATCCAAGCATCATCGCGAAAGCCATACCTTCAGTGGGCGCATCACTGTAATTGGCAGGGTCAACGGACAACAACTTGAACACAAGGTCAGGCTGTCCGGGGGCTGTAGCCCATATGTCTGTGAATGTCCCACCTCTATCGATGGCGATCTTGATTCCCGTCACAGGGACATCCTGCTGGATTGAACCCATCTTTGTCGTCTACTCGGTTGATGCTGAAGCAGAAAAAGCCTCCAAGGGTTTTAGGAGTCATCAATTTATATCGTCTGATACTGCTATTTACCTGGTCGTCAACGAATCGCACAAGGCTCCAAAGGCGTATCACCACCCGTGCCCATGCTGGATATTCACATCCCAAGCCGGAAGGTCAATACGATGCCCCAGGGGCCCCGCATCTGTTTCCAGGAGGCCGGACCAGGGCATCGGTAAAAGATATCCCACGAGTGGAGTACAACGTGGCAAGAGCACCAGACTAATGGATTATCGAAAGACGCACAGGCCTTCATCGTATTGACCTTCTGCTTCTGCAAGAAGTGGACCATTTTTACTTCGGGCTAGAACACGAGCGAGCGGAGCCAGAATAAACCAAGCCGACTTCTGACTGGCCATCGTATTGACCTTCCACATCCATTCCAGGAAATCGATTGTGGCAAACAACAAAAAAGCGTCAATTGATATTACTTCGGCTTGTCGTATTGACCTTCTCCTTGAAGTTGGGATCTATCTTGTCAATGTCCCTTTGTCCCCAGATCCCCCGCGTACCCGAGCGAGGAAGGTCTATGTCCTCCACCTGGAGGACATCGTGGTCGAATATTCAGATAGGAAAAAGGCTAGAATCCAGGAGGTGCTAGACGGGACGTCTTATCGCACGCGACAACTCACAGGACACGGCTTCAAGCGACTTGAAAAAGTATTTCAAGGACCATTGCCCCCCTCAACCTGGCTGTTTCTTTCTTCCTATCTCATCATTCCAAGCTGTCAATATTTCGAGCAACACTCTGCTCACTTGAAGTCTTCATCTATTCCAGTCCTTCACTGCTATGGACAACATCGAGAAGGCCTCCCACACGGAGACTACCACGGCACAACCTATCAAGAATGTGGACGGGAAGCAGGCCGATCAAGCCGCTCTCTTTCTTGCCCAAGCAGGAGTCGAGACCACACTTACTGCGGCGCAAGAGAAACGTCTCAAGAGGAAGATTGACTGGATTTTGATCCCCATGGTATGCCTTACTCTGTACCTTCAACTACCAGGTTTACGGTGCTAATGATGCATACGCAGCTCTTCCTGACTGCTACATTTGGTGCCGTCGACAAGGTCGCTCTTAGCACGGCGGCCATCTACGGGCTACGCGATGACGCCAACCTTCACGGCCAACAATACTCGTGGCTTGGGTCGATCTTGAGTTTGGGCGCCTTGGTCGGTATGCTACCATCCTCGGCCTTGCTACACAAACTCCCTTCCGCCAAGTACCTCTGTACATGTTCCATGGGCTGGTCTGCGATGGCCCTTGTCATGCCCGCCTGCAAGAGTTGGAGCAGCATGATGGCGGTCCGCTTCCTGATGGGCATGTTTGAGGCCATTATCGTCCCCGGCATTTCCTTGATGGTTGCAGGCTGGTATAAGAAAGACGAGCAGCCTCCAAGAAATGCTCTGGTGTTTGCGAACGCTAGTTCGGTGGTGAATGGCTTTCTCTCCTGGGCCATTGGGCATATTCCCGACAGCGCGCCTCTTTCAAAGTGGCAGTACTTGTACCTCCTGATTGGATCCATCACCATGCTCTGGTCGATATTCGTCTTTATCTACCTCCCTGCCACTCCGATGGAAGCCAAGTTTTTGAACAAAGACGAGAAAGTCTTTTGGGTCGAGAGACTCGCCGAGAACAACACGGGCATCGAAAACAAAGTCTGGAAATGGGACCAGGCTCTGGAGGCAGTCATGGACCTCAAAACATGGCTCATCTTCTTCTTCAATATTGCCATTAACATTCCAAACGGTGGCCTTACAACATTCAGTGGTATCATCATTGCAAACCTGGGTTTCACGGCAGTCAATGCGTCTCTGCTCTCCATGCCCACTGGAGTTTGTTCAACCCTTGCATCATTTACCTTTTCAATGGCAGCTGCGAAGTTCCATAACCGCCGTTGCTTGGTCAACATTGTGGCCTGCTGCGTCCCAATCATTGGCACTGGAATTCTCTATGGTGTTCCTCGCACTGCTGTGGGCGCGCAACTCGTCGGGCTGTACTTCGTGTACACCTATTTCGGTCCTTATGCAGTGGGCATCTCTCTCGCGCAGGCGAACACAGCTGGGCACACCAAGAAAAGCCTTTCTTTCGCCATTCTGTACATTGCTTATGCTGTGGGCAATCTGATAGGTATGAATTTCCAAGGTATCGCCGAGAAGTTTTCATCTGACACAGATTCAATTTTTTCAGGTCCTCAAACATTCCGAGCGAATCAAGCTCCAGCTTACACCGGTGGAGTTGTAGCAATGTTGGTCTGCTATTGCGTCTGCATCGCCTTGATGGTCGCTTACTGGATCTTCTGCATCTCTCTCAACAGGCGACGAGCCGTGACAGAACAGCTGCCGGCTAGCGAAGAGGATCTGGTGGAAGCTTTCCAAGACCTGAGTGACTTCAAGAAGCCGAACTTCCGGTACACTACGTAGAATCAAGAGCACGATGGGGACAGGCACCATGCATAGTGATTGTTCCCTTAGTAGATTAGGTGGGCAAATGTATTTTGAGGAAGTTGTGATTTTGTGGAGTTCATAGGACCACGCAAGATGTGGAAAGTGTGAATCCACGATGCATCATCATTTGACAAATCCGACATGTAAATCATGCTTTGTCGACTATAATAAAATGCTCTCAGGTGATGGTTCTCAACATAACGAGGAGAGTACCAAATAGAGTTGACTAGCAAAGGGTTGTCACAAGCGAAGTGCTCCACAGCCTGTTGAGCTGAGGTATAAAATATCAAGCCCGCCCATCTTTCTCTTCCATCTCGCTTCTCCCACCATCGCCTAAGTCGACGCCATGACATCCCGTCCTGCAACGCCAGAAACGTCCATCTACATAGTAGGTGGATCGGTCTTTGGCTTGTCTACTGCTTTGCACCTTTCGGCTGCCGGATATAAGGATATAACAGTGTTCGACCGAGCCGCTCCTTTGCCATCACCGTTCGCGGCAAGCAATGACTTGAACAAGATCATCCGCGCAGAGTACGGCGTCGGTCATGCGGAGGATGATTTCTATACGGACTTGGCCCTGCGTGCAGTGGCAGCCTGGAAGGCACCAGATGATGTTGGTGGCTGGAGTAGCTGCTACAACGAAGTGGGATACTTGAGAGTTGCAAGCTCCACGGCAAAGCTACAAGCCATAAACAAAGACAAGGAGTACTTCACATCGCCACGAACCAAAGAAGCTGGGAGCCTCTGGTTTCCTGACGGTTCGTTCCGGGCCATCCAAGGCCTAGCAGATATTCATTCGGCAGCGCCGCAACTGGAGAAGGTCGACTTTGCCACTCAATGGCGAGGATATCTAAACATGCACGGAGGATATGCACTGGCGTCTGAGGCTATCAAGCTCGCATATAGACGCTGTGTGCATCTGGGTGTCAAGTTCGTGCTCGGTGAAGACGGCCACATATCGTCACTTGTGTCAGCCGGCCCAATGCGGTCGATTACGGGCGTACAGGCTGAAAACGGTCTCGTTCACTCCCATCCACCAGGCAAACCGTGCCTCACTATCCTGTGCATGGGAGCACACCTGCCACGTGTGCTATCGGCTGCAGCATCCCAAGTCACAGCCAAAGCTTGGTCGGTGGCTCACCTAGAATTGACAGAATCGGAAGCCCAGGCGTTGGCAGGTGTACCGGTGATGAACTTTTCCGAACTGGGATTCTGGATGGAACCGCTGTTCGTCAAGCAAGGCGAAGATGGGAGTGAGGTCGTCGAACGTGTTCAAACACCAACGAGCTCAACGGCAACGAAAAGGCCAAGGGCGGACGGAAAATATCTTCTCAAATTCGCTTGTCATGGGGGAGGCTGGACGAATTTCCAAAGCATCCAGGTACCTGGGTCAAGCAGTGCCCGAACCGTGGCATGCTCGGTACCACCTACGAACGCAACATCCCTTGTTCCACCGGCGGTTGATGAAGCCCAGCTTCGCAGATTAGTCAAAGTCTCGCTCCCCGCATCACTTCACGAGCGGCCATTCGTTCGCAAGTCTATGTGCTGGTGCGCCGATACATCCAGCTCGGACTTTGTCGTCGACTTCGTCCCCGGTTACCAAGACTTGATCCTGGCAGGTGCGGATAGTGGGCATATGTTTAAATTCCTGCCTACTGCTGGAGAGTGGGTTAGGGATTTGGTGCAGAGTGGATATCAAAAGATCCCAAGGTGGCGGTGGAAAACGGCTCAAAGTGCAGGGGAAAATGGGAAGGGCACTGTTGCATGGAGAGGAGGCGATGTCAGGGATCTGACAGAGCTTCCAGGTCATGGCAAGTCTCGGAGTTCTAAATTGTAGTGATGTACGTGGCCTGCGCGGGAGATGACATGGTCTATTCGACAAACACTGATTATTCCAATGAGTCTGATGTTGAAAGTACTAGTACCACCGTTGAGGTCCTTACCTAAGCATCCCCATTCCAAGAACAAACTCACGTGATATGGATATGGTCATGTGAGCAGAAAAGTGAGAAATTATGACTAACCAGATTGAGACTAGGTTTGCAGGTTGGCGAGCCGAGTACCGTTTGTACCGTACCCTACCCGTAGCCTCATCCTTATCATTCTTGTCCCAAGTGACTGACACTCGTCGTTTTCCACTCTCTCTATCGTCATCCACGACGACATTTACTTTCGGCAACACTGCGAAACTGCGCCCATTTCATTCAATGTCGTAAACCTAGATCAGTCGAGGCTCTCAACATTGCTCCTGAATTCGCTCTCTCCTTCATGGGAAAGAGGAGGGTTCACACCGCATCTAACAGTAGGAAGGGCTGTTTCACATGCAAGAGTAAGTCAGCTGCACGATGTCCCGGTCATCAATCAACCAGCTGTAACAACTGTACTCACATCGATGATCCAACAGAGGCCCATGTCAAATGCAGCGAAGAAAGACCAATCTGTAGCCGTTGTACACGGCTAGGCCTGGAGTGTAGCTATGGGTTGAAACTCCTCTGGGAAGAGGATGCCCAACAGAGGAATATAGCACACGGCCGAGCTGGTGAGACATTCCGCAAATTCGAAACAAGACCTCAATCTGGCCGGTAGCTGATTAACAGATAAGGGCTCTGGTCACGACACAGCCACACCAACGCAACACGAGGGCAGACTCCGCTTGACGAACAGTTCTTCATTGATTTTCCTAGTTCTCAAAGCTCCGGGACGCTTTTCTTCCTCAACTTCACCGCAGAGCATTTCCAAGAAGGAGGTCTGCCTCAAGTCTTGGAGGATGAGATCACGGAACTCGAGCAGCGCCCCGTGGACGACTTGACGGGAGAAGCCCTCGATGACGGTCAACTCTATGGACTTGCCGACGTCCCATCCCCTCTATCTCTGATACTAGCGCACTCACCGTACCACGGCATCAACAAGACTTTACTCGAGTATTATATTCACGTCCTGTCGCCACAGTGCTCTCTCAGCGAGACCAACAATCCCTACATCAATGTCCTCCTTCCGGTAGCGTACGAATTCGACCCGCTGCGGAGCGCATTACTCGCGGCTGCGGCGAACCACCTACGGCTACATGACGATCTACGATTTGAACGACATGCATTGGAGTTGAAGACGGCGGCGATCAAGGGTCTACGCAACCATCTTCGCACAAATGCTATGGATTGGCAGAGTCTTGCCACCACTCTTATGTTTTGCTTCTACGATGTATGTGCTCTTGGCGTTGAACTGTTCCAACACTCTGCTCTAACATATCTAGATTTCTGATGGTTGTGCACCATCGTGGATTACCCATTTGAGAATGGGCCTGCAAATGCTGACATACCTCACGACGCGGACGCCTGTCGACGATAGTCTCAAAGCGTTTTGTGAGATTTATTTCGTGGCACACGAAGTCATGGGTGGGACGGCATGGTACGGGGGATCCAACCCGGATAGTTATGGTTTTGCTCTCGCCCACTCAGAAGAGGTAGGTTTCTTCGCTTTGGACATTCCTCCCCAACCCCCCCGGACCCCTTCTCTTCCATATCCCAGGTCATTGATTGAGATTCCTCCAGATTGATCCTTTAATGGGCTGTTCGCGTGAACTGATATCTATTGTCGGTCAAATCTCGACTCTGGCCCGCAGAGCCCATACAACTGAGTCGATCGTGGAAACAAATGATTTTCTGAACGCCCGGAACGACCTAAGGACTAAACTCCGGCGTCTACAGCAGCGCGCGCCGAGTTCGTGTAAGGACCAGCCTCTCCTCATGCAGATCGCAGAGGTGAAACGCCTTGCTGCGATGCTCTACTTGGAAGAGCGGGTACCTCGTCTCACCGCGGACGCCTCGGTGCTGAGTAGCGTCCCTTCACCAAAGAGTCTCGGCAAAAAACGACTAGTTGACTGTATAGTATCGTCTCTGCGTCTGCTTCCCGAGACATGCGCAGCGTCACTGTGGCCCTTGTTCGTCTTGGGCAATTCGAAACTCGAGTCCGAGGAACAACGCCATTTTGTGCTCACGAGGCTTGGCCAACTAGAAGATTCACGCAAACTGGGGAGCATCTACCACGCCCGGCGGCTGGTCGAGAGGTACATTGCCGCAAGTACATTGCCTTCCGCGGGTATGCGATCCAATCCTCTGGGAAACTTGCCACAAGGCATGGCACTATCCGAGAACGAGAGATGGATCAGCTTGGCATAATAACATGACGACACTGTACTATATATGCTTTTAAGTACCTATCCAAGAGGATCATACTACACGACTTCTTTATTTGGCGACACCTTCTCCCCTACCGAGTCAAGTCCCGTGTCAATCTTCTTTTCGCCTGTGATTTGCTGAGTTTCCGCCTCCATCTCTGCGTCTCGTTTCTTGAGGTTGATCTCCTTCATGAAAAGCATGGCCACGAGAGCGAGGACGAAGACTGCCGTTCCTGATATCGCGAGAAGCCGAGTTGTTTCGCGGTAAGCCCGGTCAATTGCAATACGGGTCGGTTGTCCCACCGGGAACTTCATGGCCACGACCATCGACTTGTAGATCCGTTTGGCCTGGGACCGGCTCTCAGCAGGTAGGTACTTATTCAGCTTATCCGGGAGGTAATGGTTCCAAATAGCTCCAGCCATACTGCATTCATGTTAGCTGGAGGAAAGCTTCTCAAAGGGAAGAATGACATACCTTTTCCCAATCGACCCACCGATACTCATTGAGGCCATAAAGATAGCTGTAACAACCGCGATTTCTTGCCGGGTCACCAAAGCCTGGCAGGATACCAGTGAAGCTGTTTGGTAGAAGCCACGTCCTAATCCGACAAGTACTTTCGAAGTAACAAGGGATGCTTCATTGCCAGCCCTTTCTCCGTCGACATTGCACAGATAAATCATGATTCCATGACCGATCACTGCTATCGGAACCCCAATGTAAACAAACATCTGGGTCCTGTTCGTGAAGCGCATCAGGAACCCCACCAGAACGGAGGCAACCTGGAAGGTCACTCGGATCGCATTACTGTCTTCAAGTCAGCACCCATAAGGAGGTCTTGGGTAGATCAGTCAACGTACTTGATACGAGTAGCATGGCCAGCGTGATAATGGCCTGCGACTTGAAGGTAACTGGAAAAGAATGTAGCAAGTGCTCCGTAGGCAACAAAGTCCACCAGCCCAATGAAGCAAGCTGCGATCACCGTCCTTTCACGGATCATTCGGTAAGGAACAAAGGGTTTCTGGGCGTATCTGGTGTCCCAAACGAAAAAGACTGCAAGCAGAATCACGCCGATAACGATCATGGAGATTGTGGAAGCATCTCCCCATTTGTGGCTGTTGTTAGAGCCTGTGATTGACAGAGGAACCAGCGTCAGAGCCAGGCCGGCAGTAAGGAGAATGGCGCCAACAAGGTCTAGCTCGATATAGAGAAGATGGAAAGCCTTGCGGGAGAAGGAAGCCCGGTCTGGCAAACCTCGCAGGATAGCAAGCTTCTGGTTTTCGGTTTCCATTGTCTTCTTCGACCGACGCTGATAGTAGCCCAGTATCACGATCATTGGAATAGCAGCCACGGGTAAAATGATTGCCCACATTCCATAGCCCCAACGCCAAGTTGAGTGCTTCAGTACGCTGTCACCAATAATGGTTCCGACGTATAGCATTGGCACCACCACCACTGCATCGACAAGAGATGACCAGATACCACGATTGATCAGCTTGGTGGTGTCGGCGATGAACACTTGCTGCATGATGGTGAAACCCGTGTTCCCGATGGCGTCGAAGATGCCAGAGGCCTAAGCTTGGTTAAGCGCTCTGTCATTGACTTGCTGTGGACGACTTACCACATAGGTTTCAATGTCCTGGCACGCCGCAGAGAGAATCAACCCGAGAACGATAAATGCAATCGATAATGAGAGACCTTCAGCTCGACCGAAGACATCTGAGAGTTTGGCAATGATTGGGTACGAGGCCACCGTCGCTATGTTCTCGACGATACCGGCAGTGGTGATGAGAGAGTGCTGCTTGAAGGCACTGGTCGCATAAGGCTGATAGACGGTCACGGAGTAAGTCATCATGTTAATGATCCATGTGGTCGCAAAGAGCCTGCAACCGTGTTAGTTCTTCTGGAAACCCAACAGAACGGTACGACTCACCCAACATAGGCAATGATAACGCCCTTCTTGGTCCATTGTGCGTGTACAAGTTCTGCTTTCAATGCTCCAGTCTGGATATCTTGTTCTTTCAGTACCGCCTCTTTTGGCGGCTTCGGTTCGTTCCCTGTCGTGTTATTGACTGCCTGAAACAGCTTGACACGCATCTCGAAGCAATGGTGATTTGGAAGACTCAAAGATATTGGTGTACTATACTGCAGATAACCTTTTCAGTCGCAACCATAGACCATTCAGTTGTAGGGGCAGTAGACTATTTATGCAAGCTCTTTCTCCTTCTCTCGGGGAAAGCTTCTCTCCAGTCCCCTTGCCCGTTCGTAGTAGAGGCATTTTCGGAGCAAACTTAGAGAGATCCACCAGATCCTGTTTTCATGTCCAAATTCACCCTTTACTCGATACTATGGGTACCCTGACGCAGACTGAAAATTCTGATCAGATAAAATAAGATAAGACCGGCGGAACCTGTAGCGGACCTGCTTTTGTCATCGTGTTCGGCTCCTCCTTGCTCGCTTCTCGTTGGACAAGCGGAAGCGGTGCCAAGATGCCAAGAAAGCGGACAGGAAATGGTTTGCTTCAGTTGCCTATCAGATGAACTCCTGCGGAGGGACAACACGTGTCGTTGTGTCAAGAAGCGAGCGCAACGACCAAAAGTGGCCGATATCGGGGACTTGCTTCCATTGAAGTTTCGAAGGTTCTGCGTTGGGTTTGCAAAGATCATCTTTGTATTCATGACAATGCAGCTACCGCACTATACCGTTCATGAGGCAGAAAGTTGCGCCGATGCCGTAAACACAACACAATGGGACATGCGTAACTACGATGGCGAGGAAATTCGTGTTCAATTGGCGTGGCCATTAGCGTGGAGAACCCCCTCGGAGCAAGGTGCTTCAGCCCCGGTAATGTGTGTCATCTGATCATGGTAATAAGTTGTGTCTCATGACGAGCCTTGCTATAGCTACGTTCTTGACGGAAACACACTCTTCTTCAGTGCAGTAGAGACCGTCAGGCGCAGTACTGCGCTGCAAACCAGCGAGGACGCCATCGTCGTTGGCATCGGATATCCTCCTACAGCGTCCGCATCCCCGTACGATCCCCGAAGAAACTATGACCTAACGCCTCCGTCTCCAACTTACACTCCTCCACGTGGACCTGATGGAAAACCCCATCCTGCGCCACACGGAGGCGCTACGAAATTTCTGCAATTTGTCACACAATCGGTTCGAGAGTTCTTATTCTCGGATATTTGTGAAGGAGTCACACCCAGCAAGGAAGTATTGGTTGGCCACTCATTCGGCGGACTCTGCACTCTACATGCTTTGTTTAGTTCTCTCACGCCATTCACCACCTTCATTGCCTTGAGCCCTTCAATATGGTGGAACGATAGATATATTCTTTCCGAGGAAGAACACTTTCGCAACTCCAGCGTTGTCGGTCAGAAGCCAACCTTGCTGATTGCCTATGGGTCTTATGAGCAAGAACCAAGACGTCGTCCTAGCTGGAGTGAAGAATGGTATTCACGGATACGGGATAAGTGTCATGAAAGGCGTATGAAAGACAACGCCGATGAAATGGCTGGGCGCCTAAGGGCAAGTAGCAAGCTTGAAGCACTTCATGTGCGAGAGTATAATGGCGAGGACCATGGAAGTCTGGCGGCTTGTGGCTTAAGCTGGGGGATAAGTGCAGTTTTGGATGAGGATAGATTTGAATGAAAGGGCAGCTTTATATTACTTTTTTAGTACTAGATACCCTATACTATTAAGGACTTTAGCTTTAACTTTAGCTACCCTACTACCCTACTCTATAGTACCTATTAATCAGTACCAAGACTTTTTATATAATAGGTACTGAGGAAATCTCGACTACCTATATTACTTAGTACCTGTTACGGAACAAGCCCAGATATGGTTACATGACTAGCATATAACCACTTAGCACGTAATGTGGACGGCGCTAAGCTATATTTAGTATTTATAGCTAGTATATATGCGAGCCTCAGTCTAATACTTCTACTAACCGAGCGCTCCTAACTCTCTTTATAGTTCTTCGTATAATAATTTACTTAATTAACGCATCTCTTGCTCGCGCCGTAAGATTTTATTATACTAACTTTTTACCCTCGCTCTAGCTAGTTAAACTATCTAAAGCGTAGTACCTTTTTCTTTTCTTATACCTTCTCACTTTAATTCGTTTAATAGAGCGTACTCTATTATCTATAGATCGGCGTATCGTAAATTAGAAAGAGATAAGTATACTCTATTAAACGTTTAAAGCCTTTATTATATCTCGTTATAGAGACTCTTAAGATTAACTACGCTATAAACTCGAGTTCTTTTTAATATTACCTATAATATACCCTCTAGACTATAGTCGACCCTTAAGACTTATTAATTCGACTAAGACTCTTAAGATCGGCTGTACTGTAAACTCGAGTTATAGCTACTTAACTAGTCTTAATCTTCTATATATCTCCTTAATTGAGACCTTCTATTCGAACTCTATTATTTCGATCGAATCTCTCTACTCGAACCTTATATAGTTAAGTAGAATTAGAGAAATACTAAGTAAGAGATTAGAATATATATACTAAGTTAATAAGATAGCGGATAAAGATAAAGATAAAGGCTAAGTTAGTTCGACTAGTTATACTTCTAGACTATTATAATTAACTATCTAAACTATCTAGAGTACTTAAGGTACTTAAGCTATACTGAGTACTTAACCGATTTTAACTACTACTAGTATATCTATTACTTCTAGTTATTACTCATTACTATTAGATTTATCTTTATTATCTATAGAATAGTCTCTCTCGCGTTATACTAAAGACGATAAAATCTTTATCGAAGATTAAGCCGAAGTAGAATTTGATTCTAATATTACTCGCGCTCTAGAAGAACTTAAAGAGAAACTAGTAAGAGACGAATAACTATAATATTGTCACGAATGCCGATGCTAACTGCCGACAACTTGTATCCCTCGGCTATTCGGATAGAGCTAAGAGATATAAACTATCTAGTAGTCATTCACCACTTAGGTTTAGACCTTTTTCTATATAATAATTTTTATTTTATAGTACTACTAGAAAGCCCTTCTCTTACTGATTCCAAAAGTACTTTCCTTTTTTTTATATCTTATTATATACGTATAGGAAAAGTCTCTAAAGTATACGTATTCTAGCACCTTTTAATAGAGGATACTTATATAAGTCTCTACTATTACTAAGACCGTAGTAATTCCTACCCTAATATAGAATAGTCTAGTATAGCGTAATAATTCCCGTTCTATTATAGAATAGTCTATATCTAGCGTAATAATTCCCGTCCTATTATAGAATAGTCTATATCTAGCGTAATAATTCGCAACCCCGTGATAATTCGCAACCCCGTGATAATTCGTAACCCCGTGATAATTCGCAACCCCGTGATAATTCGCAACGCTAACAATATAACATGGCAACTGGAACCAAGATGCCATATAATTTTAAGGTTTTATATGCCAGCTTAGCGTACTTCGACTCTAGATAATATAACTTAAGATTCTAGTATATAGCCAAGAGACCTACTAATTATTATCTATACTACCCTACTGCCTATATATACTAGATTTAACTCTAGATACTACTATACTAGCTATACTTAACGCCGCTATACTCTAGATTCACTACTAATTTAACTCTAGATACTATTATACTACCTACTACGTACGCTACTACGCTCTAAATACCTTACGGTTATTTAACTCTAGATTCTACTATCCTATCTATACTAGCCGTTACTATATCCTAAATAGTAATTAATACTTAACTCTAGATACTACTACCCTATCTACGCTATACGCTACTAGATTCTAAATATCTAGATACCTACTAAGTATTTAACTCTCGATACTACTACTCTAGCTATAGTATAAATATAATACTCTAAATATCTACTAAGCGCTCGACTCTTCGGTCTACTACCCTATTACGCCTTAAATTCCTACTACGTACTTATAAATTATACGGAGATTCTATAGTAAGTACTCTTCTACGACGAAGGCGATATTTAGCTATTACGTATTCTAAACTCTCTAATAAGCTTAACGAAGTAATTTTAGGCTAGTCTCTATACTAGTAATAATAATAGCTTTTATTCTAGCTTTTATAATAAGTACGCTACTTCTAGGTATAATATCTCGAATACTAGTTATTATACTAAAGGTAGATTCTCGATCGTATCGCTTCGTTAGCCTTTTCTTAAGTAGCTATAAAATTACGATAAAGAGTAAGGATTTAGGAATAGTCGAGATTAGAATAATTATAAGCTATCTTAAACTTAAACTAGTTAAATAAAGATAAGAAGAAGAGATAGTATTAATTTAAGATTATTAAATATAAGAAAAATAAAGATAGTATTAGTAGAATAGACTAGATACTCGATAATATAGTCGAGAAGAGAGAAGACGACGTTCGTAATAATTAGGATTATCTTAGTAGAAGAAGAAAAAGTTAATTTAGAGTAAATAGATCTATATAAGAAGTCTTACTTTATACTTATTTTACTTTTACTTTATATTAGTAAGTTTATATCGAAGTAAGAGTAAAAGATATACTAAGGCTTCTAAGATCTTATATATCTTAAGTTATTTCTCTTCTTCTCTCTTCTCTTCTCTCTTCTTTTATTCGACGCTATCTTCTTTCTTTTATTCTACTACTCTATCTTTATAGACTATCTCTTCTTTATTTACGCTATTACTTTATATAAAGATCTTATATATCTTAAGTTATTCCTCTTCTTCTCTCTTCTTCTATCTAATACTATCTATTTCTTTCGTTCTATTACTCTACTCTTATTAACTATCTCTTCTTTATTTATACTATTACTTTATATAGAGAAGATATCTTATATATCTTAAGTTATTTCT